TAGGGCACCATTCAGCTGGAGGCTACTCGAAACGAGGCGCCTGGAGAGCGCCACTCCGAGCTCTCCCTCGGTTCGCCGGTGCCGCCGGCTCCGGCGCGACGCTCGCCAGCATCAAGCACGCCATGGACGTGTGAATGGTCGCCGTAATCTCTACTGATGTCAAGATGGACCGAGTCACAGCCAAGCTCCTGCCACCTCGCTCGTTTCATCACTTCGCGTTCACGTGTATTGGAGAGCTCCGCCCCGCCTCCCGCCCCGCCTCAATTGACTGTCTCCCCACTCGGACGCGGGAGCTCTGTGGCATGTGGGGGGATGAACACTTCATGTTGTTCGTTGAGAGTGGGGGAAGGTTGACCACTGTGATCGAGCGAGAGGAGAAAGGCTACAAGTCAGTGCAACCGGATTGCGCACACTGGCAGGCATATGCAGTGGCCCGCCCATAATGGGAAAGAGATTGATGCTTTCCACGGCGCGCAGCTAAGTTAGGTCTGAGCCGATCGTGCGGAGGTGGCAGTGTGGCAGGATCACTGACCAAGGAAGGGCGCACAATGCCAATGTGGCACTTCTCACATCATCAACAGCCACGAGCGATCCGCACAGCATGAACACACTCCATGGCCCATTCGCTTACGTCAGGATAAACCAGGGCGAACTCCAACACTTCAGCTCGATCTAGCCAAGTCACCTCCCTACATCCAGCAGCCCTCGTGGCGCGTAACTCCTGGGTAAGGTTGTTTTCACTCGCCGGACCCATTGATGACTATTCATCGCCCGGTCGCCGTTCTACTTGAGTGGAGCCCTTCCACGATACGTACTCCCAAGAGCTGCGTACTTACTGACCCTTCGAGGCTCCCTCACCAACATCCTCGAACAATGCACCGCTGATCACTGGCTGACGACATCCCAACTCACTGCAGACGCCCAGTTCCTGACGCGCTTCTCGCGGGACTCCAAGTTTTGAACTTAACCCGCGTGACGCAAGGTTGAGGGCTGAACTTTGATTCCTGGCTCGAGGCGGACGAATTCTGCTCCGTCTAAGCTCGCGACTCCCTCCCTCTATTCCCGGTCCGCAGGATGATCTACCTCGGATCAACCTTGTTGGTGTTGATGCGTGCGGCCGAATTATCGCGCGCTTGGCTGCGATGGAAGATGTTCTGAATCGCCGCTGTCGTCATTGCCGGGGATGTGAAAGGGATGGACGCATGTGCGTGTTACTAACCGAGTGGTCTGTATGCAACTTCACCGGCTGTACTGCGCTAAGAGCACCACAGACATTCAGCCACTTGCAGTGCTTCGCAACTGGGAGCCGAGTGGGCGCCCATGGGGCCGACCATGCAGAGAGCCTTACAACTTCACCAATCTGCGCCACCTGGCTGGCCACCGGCGCTTCGGAACACCAAAACGTCGATCAACAGTCCACCCAGCGCGATCCAGCGGGTGATCGGGGGTTCCTGCCGCCACTGGCGTCACTGGTGACCCAGAAATCCATCTCTAAGTCCGCTTGGCGCTCCGAGCCTCCTGGCCCGAAGGCCCTTGTCAGGAGCCCCGCCTGGCGACGCGCAGGATTCCAGCTCTGGCGACAATTGGACGCGACAATTAGAGTTGCGTCCACTGCGGCAGGGCGTTCCAGTTGCTTGTTGCACAATTGATGGCTGGACGTCGTCACGCGAACCTCTCTACTCTGCAGCACACGAGGGTGCGAGTGGGGGACGCGGAGCAGCCCCGCCAGTTTCCCGTGCAGGAGGCGCGGGCTTCGCTGCGCGGGAGCGGACCGGCGCGGCAGGAAGCCCGTCTTCCCTTCGTCACACTACACCATGTGAGATGGCCCGCATGACGGAGGCTGCGTAAACCAGTCGCTGTGGAAGCACATGTCATCCGCAGTCAGTCGGCGCGTGCCCCGCTGGCATGTGACCGCCGGAGTTGATGCTTCCGAACGCCGAGAGCAGCAATCAAGCTCACTCCGTGTCGGCTGTCCCGACTCCGAGTTTTCCGCGGCCAGAAGTTAAGAAGGATCTCGACCATGTCTAGGTCGCGGCTTCGGAGAGGAGCTACGAACGTTGTTTGGCCGGTGGGGGTGAGTAGGGCCGGCAAAGGGCAGATCAGCCGCCAACTCTAATCTCGTGATCCAGGTACCGAGTGAGCCAGACGGGTGCCTGGGCTGTTCCTCGTAAGAGAAGCCGATTATCAGCCAAACTCAGCAGACGCGGGTTGTCTCATAACAGATCTGCCAAGTCAGCACGATCGAGGTGAGCAACGTCGGCCGTATGAGGCCCTGCTGCGTCTGCAGCATCCGGAGACGGTGAGGCATGGGGTGATCGTCGATCGCGGAGAGTACAAAGTCACGTCGATCCCCCATCTGGTCCTGTCGATCCGGGGACACGGTGTGTGCCTGCCTACCTTCTCTCTGCCTGTTCGGGAGCAACGACGTGCCAAGGCGGCCTCGGAAGTGACGAGCGCGGGGGGGCATTTGTGCTGAACTTGGTACACAATGTCGTCTGACCAGCACGTGCGTTCGTCAGCTGTCCGGGTCTCGACTTGCCGGTGTGCCGTCTACTGTGTTGAGCACTCTTGTGGCGGTACCGTGCCGCTAATGGTGGCGGGCGTAGCTTGTCGGAAGAGGATTGGCTGCCGAGAGTGGCAAAGGCGCCCTGGGCGAAGTGGCACGAGGCTTGCGAAGGACTCTCGTATAGCAATAATCCTGGATGTTGAGACAAGAGCTCAGCAGTCCCGCAGTGCACACGCCGAGGGTGCACGGGCAGCGGAGCCGCTTCCTGCGCATGGGGGCCGGAGTGCACAGCAGGACGTCAGAATCTATATTACGAGCAGGCCAGGAGCCTCCTAGCAGCAGGTTTGCGACGGGGACAGAGTGCAGAGGGTGCTGTGATGGAAGATAGCTTTGGCCCCCGTTTGCACAAACCTGGCAGATATGGGCCCTCGCCGAGAAGCCAAGCAGCGTCATTTGAAAGCAGCCAGGCAGCCGGATGCCCACGAATTCGTACCAGCAAAGCGGCTGAAATTAACGTTACTCTCGTCGGTTTCACCAGCTCAGACTCTGTCTTTCAGCTCAGTCGCAATACGTCGCCGACCATGACATGTAATGGTAAATTCCTGTGCCAATTCGACGTTTTTACCTTGCCCGGGTCCGACATTGCAAGGGGGGTGAGTGAGTCTTCAAGAATCACCGTGCCACGTTCAACGCGCCTACCAACTTCATCCCTTTGTCGTATCCCACTACGATTGCAGTCACTGGCGCTTCGGCAGTCGATATGACATCGATATCGACAGCCATAGGCCACCGCGAAGCTGCTGGCCTTCGCGTCGTCGGCCGTTCACTAAGTGGGGCGACTGGACATTCAGGACAACGCATGAATTTCTGGAAGCTCGGAACGGAACAGATGTCCCGCTGACGGTAGGCCACAGGTGTTGCAGAATAACGGCTCGGCGAAGCCCATTGACGCAGAGCACGCCGCACTGTCCCCACTCCGCATTCTAGCTCAGGCCGTGCGTTCCACTCGGCCTCGGCCGCAACGCGGCCGCGATCCAACACTGTCGGGCAGCAACTATACCTCCTCCCTCACGAGACGAAGTGGCTGCTGCCTTGCCGCTTAGGTGATCAGTCGTTTGCCTGCAAAAGGGATAGACTAATCAAGTGTAGCAGTCACGAGTGTGCGCTGGGCCTCATCAACAACAGCCTGCTGGCGCCGCGCATTACTACAACGCCCTCGCCTGTCTTTCAGTCGGTGCAATGGCTGCGCTGGAGTGGGTCGACGCAGGAGCTCTTCATCTCGTCGCGACTAGCCGCGGCGTCACACCCGGAGATGCGGCCGCACCGTGTCCGTTCGACCTGCAGCGCACTCCAGATGGAACGTACATGTCAGCAGGCACGCTGCACCTCTGCATTCCTCCCTCTCGCCCCTGTGCGGACTACCGCTCACTATTCTTACATTCCCATAAGTGGCGGTGATCCGCCGAGCCGATCCGCCGATCCGCCGATCTCGATCCCCGCCACACCGCCTCCCCGATCGTTCCACTATTCCAACTCGGCCAGTTGCTGACCCACGCCAGCTCCTGCATTGTCTAACGACTCCTGCGTCCCGTGTCGGTCAATTGCTGACTCAGCGTCTCGCGCTGGCCGTCTATCTCGCTCACATGCTGACCGGCCTTCGCCGTGCTGACCCGCCTTTGCCCTGCTAACGCTCCTCGCTCACATCCTGACCCGCCTTCGCCGAGTAGCCTTCGCGTGTCACCGCATCCTACTAAACTAGTGCAGGAACCTGGCCTGCGGGACACTCGCATCCACCCCGGGCGGAACATGGCCTACGGCAGTGATCCCGCCGGACAGCATGCTCCGCTGGACACCATGCCTCATCCGGTCTGGCTCGGGAGACGGAGGAGGGAGGCGGAGGCGGAGGCGGAGGGGACGGAGGAGCCGACGGACTCGACGGGTGGTCTGGCCGCTGGAACTTGCCGTAAATCAGTCCCGGCGACTATGAGACGTGCGTGCCGTAGATGTGAGACAGACGCGATCGGCTCGATCGGGAATCTGATCGATTCCCGGACGGGTCGCCGCGTGGGGTGCCCGTGAGGGAATCTATGAGATGCGAACGTGTAAGAGAAGATCTCATGAACTTGCGACAGTGTTCCACGGGATGGTGTGCTTAGGCCAGGTCTGTATGGCTAGCGCTTGGAACGATCATCCCCCTCCTCACCATCCTCCCTGACAAAGCGGCTGACACATGTACTCATCACATACAGAACAACAGGGGCGGTACAGGCGTGAATATGTAGAGCGCGCTGCAAGCAATGTCGCAGAGGCAGGGTGTAGAAAGCGGTGGTAGGTTAGGGGTCGACACGGGTGAGAGAGTTGGCCGTCGACAACATGGTAGGTAGGCAGAGCACGAAGGTGTCCAGGCAGTGATAGGTGTGGGGGTTGTGGGGGTGTCTGCTAGTCGCAAAAGGAGGACGCGCCTCAAAGGTGATGAGAAGCGGACACGGACATCTCAGAACTCGCGTGGGGGCACCATGTCAGTGGGAAATTCGAGCCACAACTTGAGCGCCGCCTCCTTGCCGCCGACACACAGCCTCCTCGCGTTGAACATCAAGGCAAGGTCACGGCGGCACATGGGACAGGTCGAAACGTTGGGCGTCTTGATCCATGTCTATTATCAGCGAGAGCACGAGAACAAACTCACGTCCATGCAGGTGACGTGGTACATGTGGTTGCAGGGGGTGACGCTGACCCTATGGTTGGGCTCGTACTGCTGTCAGCTGGGTCGGCGCACCCACTCACGTCCTCCTGGCAGATGGCGCAGCATTCGTCCTTCTCGCCATCCACCTTGGCGACCGACCAGCTACTGCGAACGAGAACGGCGGTCATAAAGTTGCGCCGGCTGAGCGCGGGGAACATGGAGGTGGCGCGGGCTATGCGCATGAGCAGCAGCGTTCGAGCCTCGGGCGTCATCTCTGGGCGCAGGCGGTAGTCTTCCGGGCTGTTGACGGTGTTTGATGCCAGGTAGGCCAACGGATCCTGTTCAACAAGAGCGCACGCGATGACGCGGCAAGCGCGGTCCTCCGGGTTCATGGCAGCGCCGACTATCCGCGAAAAAAGGGGCTCTTGCTCGTGCGCGCCATAGGCGTTGCCAGAACTGGCCAGCTGCTGAGTACGCGCGATCCGGGCCTCCCGATCTTGGCGTGCGAGAGTCAGGCCCGAGGGACCGGCAACTGGTGGGATGGGGTGAGAGGATGTCTGCAGGTAGCGATTCAACGGCTGACGCCTGATGGGATCGCCTCCATCGGCCCGCAGCGGATTCAACGCCGTCTGCATTCCAGGCGTGGTGGGGAACTCTGAAGGTCTCAACACGCCGTCGGCATCAAATGCGGTATCCTCGATCGTCGAAGGATCGAAAGTGAATCCGCCCTCATCGACATACCGTCGGCGGAGTAGTGGGTGAGGGGAGGCAATTGCCAGAGGGTCGTAGGGGTTAACGTGACGCGCGGGTGCCCCACGATGGTGGGAAGGCCTCGGCGGAAGGGCATCAACTGGCTGCCTTGCACGCTCGTCCGTCGCCTGACCAGCACGGTAGGGCACATGACCGGCCAACAATAGAGGCCGAAGACCGCTGGACGGTGGCGCCCCCGCAACGTCAGGCTCGGGCTCGGAAGTGCGTCCAAATTGCTCATCATTCTCCCTACGCAATTGCTCGAAGCGTGCCAACTGAACAGCGCGGCGACGTGCCAGCGTCATTGGAGGAGGGATGGCGCTGCGAGTGGTCCCGCCTGCCACGGCCGTGGAGGCGACTGAGGCGTCCATGTGATGCTGCATGAGCGTATTGGGAGGAGACGAAGTCCTCGGGTCCGGACGGGCCTGAACCAGCTCAGACAATCGCCCGTGAGAGTGCGAACGAATCTGCCCCAAGGCCATGAAGTATGACTCCATGTCCAAGCTTGACTGTATGTCGGGGCGGATCCCAGGTGAGGCCCGAGGTCGCTCCCGGGCGATGGGAGTAGGCGGTCGAGCCCTGTCCGGGGGATTGTTCGTAAACGGCGGAAACGTGCCCTGTGCTGCGGGAGTGTCGCTGCGGGGCGGTCGTGTTCTGTCTAGGCGGGTGTCTGTAGGAGGTGGGTATCGTGCCAGGGGAGATGGAACATGAGAGTCGGGGCGAGCGGGTCGGCCAGACTGAGAACCCGCTGTTAATGCTGAGAGACGTTGAGTGCTCCCAGAGCCAGGGGGAAGGGCAATGGAGTGCTGGGCGACGCCATTGCGCCAATCGCGCACGGCGTTGTTGCGCTCTCGCCTGGGAGGAGGGGACAGCGCCCGGAAACCCCGCAAACTCTGCCACTCGATGGGCGCCGCGCTGGGAGGTTGGTTTAGCAACGGCGCTGGGCCTGGGGAGACGGCATGAGATGCCGCGGCTGCACGTGTCGTTCTCAGCGGAGCCGCGATCCCCAAGCGAGCGGACCTGTAAGCATCTTGCGGAAGCATCTCAGCTGAGGGGCGGACCATCGCGCGCCGCCGCGCCCGTCGAAGCAAGGCATTCACGCTGCCGGGGGATTCGCCGGCTTCGGACTCGTCAGAGCTAGAGGTGGGCCAGTCGAAACGGTCCCGGGAGACATCAGCCGTCTGGGCCTCAAAGTCCAGGGCGCTCAAGACTCTTGCAGAAGCGACACGAGGTGGGTCAGGCTGAGGGGACCCAGAGGGCGGGAAAGCAGGGATATTAGGGAACTCTCGAGACTCGCGCGCGCGCATGTTGCGCAGCGCGGGTGGCACCGCCGGAGCGGACGCGGGAGGTGCCGAGGGCCCGGCGGCGAAGCGCGCAAAGTCTGATGTGTTTGGCTGCCTTCCATGCACACGGTCATTCCAGCCAGAGACGTTGTTCAGCTCGCTTCTGCTTATGGGTCCCATCTCAGAGAGAAGACCCCACTCGTCGGGCCTGTCGGCGAGGCGTTCAGGCGCACGGGGGTCCGGTTGCGGCTGTGGCATGGGGTAGCCGAGGATTGAAAGATCACTGAACGCCTCTTCTTGCTCGAGCCCGCGTGGGAAGGCAGGGGATCGTGCGACGGCGGGTTGCCGAATTGTAGGGAGTGTTCGGTTATCGGCGTGTGCAGGGAAGTGTTGCTGAATGTCGTCGTAGTCCTCAAAGGCATGCACCGCTCCCGACGAGCTCGCCTCGGCTTCGGGCGGCTGGTGTTGCATGGCCGATGTGAGTGAATGGCGGCGGTCCCATACCTGAGACGCGGAGTTGTGCAATAGGATGGTTGAGGAAGGTTGGGAAGCGGAAGCGACCGACTGTGACCGTGTATGGGCCTGTGCCGAGGTCGACTGCACGGGGGCATGTGACGTGGTGGCGTGCCGGAAGCTGGTGGGCCAAGGGGCAGTCGGAGGCATAGCTCCATCCGCGGCAGCATTGGCACTGGGGGTTGCATGGGTGGGGGATGAGGCGGTGGTGGGGTACGTCGTAGAGTGGCGCTTAGCGATGCGGTCTTGAGCGGAGGGACTTGAGCGCTTTGCGGGGGTGCTTTGGACGGGAGGACAGGTCCATGATGAGGAGACGTCGGGCTGGGCGTGTGAGGAACTTTGCTGGGACGAGGGGACCACGGGTGTGGGCTGCATGACCTCGCCGCCGCCCGCGGAGGAGGAAGGCTGCGACATGGTGGTGGCGCGGGAGTGGATGAGATGTAGGCGAGTTGCGCTCACCACTCGCAGTCGGCGGAAGGGGTGTTCAGGTCACTTGGATGAACGGTGAACGATGAACGATGGGTGATTGACAGGTGACGAAGGGAGAGTTGAAGAGAGAGAAAGAGAGAGAGAGAGAGAGAGAGAGAGAGAAAAGAGGCGACGGCGATGTTTACATAGGGGGGGGGGGGGGGGGGGGGGAGGGGGTGGAGTGGGAGGAGGCTGGTCGAGATCGAGGATTGAGGAAGAATGTGTCAAATGTTGTGTGCCCTGCGCACCGGCTCGTTGAGGGGGGAGTGGTGGCTGCGTCGTCAGTTTGCGATGGTGGGACTAATGTGCTCGCCAGCGTCTGCACTGCGCGCACTGGTGATGACTCACATGATGGCCGCTTGTCACGACGCTGCCGCTTGTGGATTGGATGGGTGGATGGTGGGCGATGGTCCATCAAAGGTGCTCGAGATGCCTCCGGGCAAGGGTGTGTGAAGAGATGAATTGCGGCGTGTTGTAAACGATGCCCGCGTGGTCGCTGTCTTGGCTGTCGCCGCACTCGCCGTGCCGCCCTATCGCTGTCGCAGAGTTCCCGGCTGCAGGATCGCAGTGCGGTCGCAAAGCCGAGTGATCACGCTCGCTATAGCTCGCTACGTCGCTACGATGGTCCAAGTGTGGAGTGCAGAATGTCGAGTGGCGCGGCGGGATCTTGAACTCGAGCGGTCGAGGCACAAAGCTCGCCAAATGGACAATGACGGAATGCATGACCCCTCCCTCGCACCCAACGACCTGTGCGGTGGCACGCGGCACCGTCCGCCGAAGCCGCGTAGCCGTCGTCCGCCGTATCCCCCTTGCCCGCCGCCAAGCCGCTTAGGTGCCGCATTGGGTCTGCATCGGGTGCTGGATACGGGCGTGAGCGTTGCGGTGTACAGCGGGTGTGCATGGTGCGTAGGACGGACAGCATGCAGAGCGTGTGCCCCGCGCCATGCTCGTCGTCGCCGAGTGTCGTCCGCGCACGCCGCAGGCCGGAGGCCGAGGCTTCCCCGCCACCGGTGCCGGGTGTCGGTGTTGACTCTCTCCCACCCCTGTGACGCATATGCCCGATTGACCCGGCCCATCGCCGAGGTGTTCCCGAGTGCGATCTGGATCTGGTCAGCAGGCTCAGCAGCCAGCAGCCAGCAGGCTCATCGATCATCAACCGCGGCAGTACTGCTAGTACTGGGCGAACAAGTCGGCGGCGATCTGCGGGTCCGCAAGTCGCAGATCAGCAGCTCTGTTCGGGCCGGTCAGCCGGGCCGGTGTTGCGCGAGGCACGAGAATGCATGGGTGCGGAAGCCACGGCCACGCCTGGCGCACCATGCCATTGGAGGAAGCACGAACCCCGCCCTTTTCCGGAGATTAGTGCGCATGCGCGCATGCATTGATTTTTCGTACTGCTCGCAAACAAAAAAAAACCATTTCATCGCTCGAGCGATGCAGAAAACCGGTCTGGACGGCGCAGGCATGCCTCCACATCTCCCTTATATGGCGCAGGTTCGGCATGCATCCATCCAGCGTGACGAACTGTGAGACGAGCGGTAAAATGCTCGGGGCGAGTCCACTTGCCACCGTCCAGTCAGGTACATAAGTCTGCGGTTCGAACCCGAGTGTCGCCCAGATGTATCCTGCCGTTCTCGTGTCCGATCTTGAATTGTCTTGTCTGGTCTTGTCTAAATCCTTCACGCTTAGCCGGGGGGCACACATGGTCCTTGGGTTCGTCCGCTGTGCCATCCCCCGCGCGGAGAAGAAGGTGCGCGCTTGCCTCCGCGGAGGCTTTTGTTATTGTGTGCATGCTCTTACTGCCGCCTCACGACCCGCCCCCACTGCGCGCGCACGAAGCGCCCGGCCCCCTCGCGGTTGCTCTTCGCATACCCTGGCCCGGCGGGGCCGCGCTCATACACGCCCGCATCGAGCGCGGCGCCGACGACGGCGGGGTCGGAGCGCGCCGCGTCTTCCGCTTTGACGCGCGCAGCGGCCCACTCGCCCGCGGAGCGCGACAGCGCCGGGCTGCCCGCGATGGCGGTGCGCGCGGCCTGTGCGAGCGACAGCGTATTGTACGCCGACTCGAGCGTGCGCGTGAGCCGCGCGTTGTTCAGGTCCGCAGGCGACGGGCGTACCGGCAGCAGGACGTACGCGGCCGTAATCGCGAGCTGGACGAGTGCGCGCGCCTTGTCGAGCGCGGGCGAGAGCTGCTGTCAGCACGGTTTCGGCACGGTTTCGGCACGGTTTCGGCACGGTTTCGGCACCTCGGCCCCTGCGCCTCTGCGACTCACATGCGTCAGATGACCATGCACAACACGCATCTCGACGTACCACCGCGCGCCGAACTCTGCGGCGGCGGCGGCGGCGACGACCCATCCGAGCGTGTTGCGCCACTTGTTCGCGCGCATCCGGCTGCCCGCCCCGCCGACGGCGTCCCACCCCACCACGCCGAGGACGAGGGCTTGCAGCACATACGGGCCGAGGACGCGGGGCGCGGCGGCGAGCGCAAAGTCGCCGCGCTGGCGGCACCACGCGCAGTGGAAGAAGACGGCGTGGCCCCAGCGCGAGTATGCGATGCGGCCGTCGACGGTGCCGAGGCGCGCGAGGAAGAGCTCGACGAGCGGGTCGACTTGGGTCCACCCGTCTGTGGGTTGGCCGAGGTCGCGCAGGACCAGCGGGCGCAGAATGTCGGACGGCGTGAGGAGGTCCAGGGAGGCGAAGGCGTCGTAGGGCGGAGACAGGAGGACGAGGGCCGCGTACGCTGCGTGCAGGAGGAGGAGGAGCCATAAAAGGCGCGGGCGCGGGGGCGGCGCCGCGTCGGCGGGCGGTGGAGAGAGGAGCGCGGTCAGGCGCCGCGCGAGGCCGGGGCCGAAGATCAGCGCCAGCGTCACTAGCGGGCCCTGGTACACTTTGAGAGTGGCCCACAGCGACGTGAGGGCTTCCATGGTGAAAGTGGTGGGTTGACGATGTAAACGTCAACACACTTTCTGGAAGTACGTGTCGCGATATTGCGACTGCGGGATGGGTGGCGGGAACGCGTCGGGATCATTTCCGCGCGGGACCCCAGGTTCACGTGGCGGGTGTTGCGAGAGTGCGAGTATCATGCAACATGCTGCAGAAGTGGATCGTATGAGCGACCAGAACACAAGCACCAGCAGATCAGTAGAAGGGCACTGCCTCCGATTCCCCCGTCTTCCAACACCAAATACCTCGCGTGCATCTGCACTTCCAAGCCAGCACTCCTCCACCCATTACCCCACAAGCCCATCACCCTCCCAACCCCCAAACCCAACCCCCTACCAGATTATGAAGGAATTCTATCGTGATATGGCTAGATGCGGCCACCCGCGCCGCTCGGGCCGTTCTTCGTGGGCACAGGGCTCATCATGCGCAGGTGGTCCGACTGTTCGTTGACCTCGAATGTCGTCTGGTGTCAGTAAAGGAAGGATCCTCTCCACTTACCACCTGCGGCAGATACGCCCCCGCGCCAAGATCAAGAGTCCAGAGGTCGTCAAAGACGGCTACACCGTTGTAGCCGCCAGAAATGAAGATGCGCGCATCGTGCAGGACCGCGACGTGATAGCCCCGCCCAGGAGGCGGCACACCCTTTGGCACCTTGGACTCCCACGCCAGTGTTGTTAGGTTGAATAACAACACGTCCTGTGCGTACGTCTGGCCGTTGTGCCCGCCGATAACGAAGAGATACGAGCCAACCTGCGTTGCCGTGTGCGACAGCCGATTGTGCTTGACCTCGGTAGGCACAAGTGTCCAAGTCATGGTTTCTGTCGTCAGCGACGTCCAACAACAGCATGTCCGTACTCACGCAGGTTCAGCACATGCACATCGGCAAAGCTCGCGTGCCCATCGCTTCCGCCAAAGACAATCATCTTGTCGCCAACCAAATTGGCCGTGTGGTAGCCCTTCTTCTGTGGAACATCCCCACGCGTGCGCCACTCTTGCCACGTCAGGCGACTTGGATCGCTCACGTCCAACGCCCAAACGTCGTTGAGCGCAGCTTGACCGTTGCCACCGCCGAAAACGACAAGGAAGTGTCTGTACAGCACGGTCGTGTGCGCACGACGCGGAGGAGGAAGGCTGGCTTTGGGCGTCACGATATGTGGCTTGGAGAAACGATGTGTAATGGTGTCAAACACCCACACATCATTCGAGTACGTCGGGCCATCGCCTCCACCGAATATGTACAGCTGGTCGCCAACCAGGGTCGTCGTGTGCGCACGTAATGGTGGCAGAGCCTGGCCGTGTGTCTCGATCGTGCTCCATTGCAATGACTCTGTGTCAAAGCTGGCGACGCCGCGCCAGCACGAGCGTGCGTCCACACCGCCCAAGAACCAGATGCGGTCGCCGACAAGCGTGCCTGTGTGCGCGCGCAGAGCCTGCCCTGGTGGCCTGCCGTGAGCGGGCACGGGCGAAAAGTACATCGACGACGCTGGTGCGCGCGCAACTTTTGCAGCAGGCAATATGGGCGCAAGAAGGAGATCGCCGTCGTCCGAGGTCGTCTTGGTCGCGTCACCGCGCTCGCGGGCTTTTGGTGGCCGTCGAACGCGTGTCCCGCCCTCGGATGGCTGGCGCGAGCGCTTCCCTCCATCCTCTGCCGAGTCCGGGTCGTCCTTGTCGCCTCCGCGCCGGTCACTTCTACCGGCGGCAAGCGCCTGTGTGGAAACGGAAGGCTTGCGACTTCCAGATGTGCTGGGTCTACGCGTTCCTGTTGCCGCCGACGAGGAGGAGGGCAAGACGACCGCACCGCTGCTGTTGTCGGCAGGGACGGCTGGCGACTGGCTGCCATTGATACCCAAGGAATTCATGCTGACAGGTGGCTGAAGGCTAGAGGTCGTTAGGTTCATGGCCGAGGCAAAGGCCGCCTGCGAGTTGCCGAGAGTAAAGTCGCGGTATCTGTTGGCGGAACGCGCAGGAACAGCAGGAGCCGCGCCGGGAGTGCCGCCTGGCGCGGAGGAACCAGCCTGCGACGGGGTGCTCCCTGCCGGAGTACTGGAGGGGACGGGAGATGAAGGGGAGGTCGCAGCCGAGTCTTGTGGAAGCTGTGGAGGAGGAGGAGGAGGAGGAGGAGGAGGAGGAGGGGGAGGAGGACGTGTCTGAGCGAGGTGGGCGGGGTAGGTGATGGGTTCGAGATCAAAGCCGGCAACTGGAGAAGACCCTATGGCAGGGAGGGTCGATGCAGGCATGGGCGTACGCTGGGGCACCTTCGCTGAGTAAGGGTAAGGGGAGATAGGGGATGAAGGGAGTGCCCCGTAAAAGCCACTTGTTGAGGCGCTGTTAGGGATCGACGATGACAGTTCGAGACCAGCGCCGATGACGGGCGAAGTTGATGCAGAAGCGGACGCGCTGCGGGGCTGTTGATGTTGATATTGATGTTGGTGCTGCTGGTGCAGCTGCAATGGCTGGGAGAGAGGGCTCGCCGCCGAGGACTGGGCTGTGAGGATGGGTGGGGAGGATGTGTCTTCGGTAATGGAAGAAATCGACGTGCCAAAGAGGGCCGAGCTGAGCGAGCTGTCGTCTACGACGACGCGTGCAAGGGAGGGAAAAGCCGAGTTGTTCGAGTTGCGAGACAGGGTCTCCGAGTCTTGTGGTGGCGGAGACGAGTTCTTCTCGGCGCGCCGAAATGGGGAACGCGTGAGGGTTGGCAGGCGTCGGAAGGTGGATGAGCCCGGCAGGGAAGCGCGCTGTCGGCCTAAAAGTAGATAACGCCGTTAATAAAGGGAGTGGCGTCGACACAGCCGGAGTTGGGATAGGGGAGGAAAAGTGGATCGGTGGATGGGATGGATGTGGGATGTGAGAGAGAGGGGAGGAAAAGATGTCAAGAGAGAAAGAGGAGATTCGACGCGCAGAGGAGAGTAGAGTGTGGAGGAGGACGTGGCGCGTGGCGCGAGAAGGAGGCGTGCGTGTTGTCAGTTCACGACGAGGTAGTAGTGAGTTGGGAGATGGATGAGGAGGAGAAGGAGAGAACGACGAAGAGAACGACGAAGAGGACGACGACGACGACGACGACGACGACGACGAGTGGTGGTGGTGGTTGTTGAAACGGACAAAGGCGGGTGAGGAGGGAAGGGGGACCGAGGGGAATGGGAGGGAGATGAGAGGGATGCAAAGGGCAGCGAGGTGGCAGATTGCGACGCGGGATTGCAGAGGGAAGGTTGGGGGGGGGGGGGGGGGTTTGGTGATCGATCGGTTGGTTGGGAGGCAGGGTTGTCGTGTCACACCGTACGCCATCCACAGTAGTCCGGAGTCCGTAGCCCGTAGCCCGTAGCCCGTGTAGCCCGCACCCCGTACACCGTTCCGTAACCAGTCCACAGTCACCGAGACGCGACCAGTCATCACCGAGGGAATGTGTCGTAGCCAGTAGTCATTCATCCGAGTGGCATGCAAAAAGAAAACGCGTCACAGTCAGCATCAGACTCGGATGGATTCAATCTCGCTCCAGCAGCCACAGCATGCAGTGGGTCCGAGCGCGTTGCACGCGCACGCGCACGCACACGCACACGCGCCGCGGCTCGGCCATCACCTTCGCGCACGCGCGCGCGTCCGCATGCTGCGCGCTGATCTGCACCGCTCTCACGATCACTGGGAGGACAAGCACGCACCATTCGCTTCCATTGTGCGGTCGGACCGCTGCTACGCGTCCGCCCTATGGTTGGGTGGCGCGGGGATGCGGCGCGTGCGCTGTACCGAAGAGGGCGGGGGTGGGCGTAGGGGCGGGCGGGCGTGGAGAAGGGAGTGGCCGGAGGGGAAGGGGGAGGAGGGGAAACGATTGGAAGGATGTCGCAGTGGATGGGTGGCCGGGGTGGGATGGATGGATTAGTGGATGAAAGAATGGATGATGGATGGAGGATGGAGGAGGATGGAGGAGGATGGAGGATGCAATGGCAGCAACGGGGATGGCGGCGGAACTGTGGACGCCAGCCAGGCTGGAGCGCTCGAGGCGCAGGCGCAGGCGCAGGCGTGGGCTTTGGCTTGCGGAGGGCGTTCGCGTGCCGAGAGTTGAGTGGCGCGGCGAGTCTCTAGATTGTAGCCAAGTTGGCTTGGGTCTGCTGCGGGGAGGGGGGTGGGCGGCGCGGCAATGGCGGCGGGCGGAACGAGGCGGCGGCGCGGCGTGGAGGCTGACGTGCATCGGCGGCTACAAGCTATACGGAAACCTTGAGGTGTGGGAGAATGCTGGCATCGCTCTGGTCGCTCTGGTCGCTCTGGTCGACGGCGTCACAGTGCCCTGCGTTTGATCTCTCTTTCTCCTGCTCATTCTCTGACACGACACACGACGCGTCTCGTCCGATCATCGTCCCGGAAGTCTCACTCCATCCCGGTAGATTACATTTGCTTGCACGTCTGCCACGTCTGGTGACACCTTGTTACGTTGTGCGACCACTCGACTGTCTTGCTCCATCCAGATCAGACCTCCAGTCCACAAAGAGCTACAGAGGCATTACCTCTCACACGGAATGAATACAGAGTATATTGGCCCAATTATTCATATGGCCAGGAAACTAGGACAATAACCTGATACACCGTGCCCTGTCCTGAACCAAACCCCTGCCAAATCTCCCCTACATGTCCTGAATCTGGTCAACTTTTCGTCAGATCCCTACCCGTCCCTGTTTCGGGGGATGGATGGTGCTGTAGCCAAAAGATGCGGGATCAATTGTGACAGCGTCTTCCACTTCCCACCTCCACCTCCACTCTCCTCGGAATCTTCACCTCTCATCGTTCATCCTCCACATCGTCCTCCACCTGCACAACTCATCCTCTGTCTCTTTCCTACAACCTTGCGCCGTAATTGGCGTCGACATGCAACCTCTCTCCCGTCCCCATCCCCATCCCCACTCAAGCACCTCCTCCCACCTCGCAACCGAAACAGCCCTCCTCCAAGTCCTCTACACCCGCTCGAAACACCAGCACCGCTCCCAGATCTTCCTTGCGCGTCTCCACCGTGTCCTCCGGCTATCCAAGCGTGTCATCGCGTCTCTATATCTCGCCAACAATCCACCCCACGCCTCGTCCTCGTCCTCGACACAAGATTTGTACGGCACCACACGGCGGCTCCTGCCAAATGTATGTACCTCGCTCGCAGCTCCCCGCTGCCTCCTCGTCTCTCCGGTCCACCATTCTCCTTGCTTTCCGCTTCCTCTTACTCTCAATCGATCCCTCCTTACCTTCCTTCCCTCCCCTCCTCCTCCCGCTCTCCGCTCTAGCCTCCCCGCACCGCCCCCCTCCCCACGTCTCCTACGCTAACACCAGTTCTGCACCTCCCTCCTCCACGCCGCAGGACACTCCACCGCCATCCTCGAGCTGAACCACTTCGCCCCGCTCCACACCACCCTTTTATCAGCCTACGCCCGCCTCCTCTCCGTCTCCCTCGCGCTCGGTGCAGCACTGGGGCTGAGCCAAGCTGCGTTACTCCTTTCCGAGGCCGAACGTAGGAAGGCCTCACCCAAGGCTCCCGTAGCGGCGTCCGACGAGCCTGCCGGAGAAGACGAGGTCGGGGAGGTCATTGCGCGGCCTGCGCCTGCGCGGCCGACGTCGCCAAAGCCACCAAGGGAGCTGGTGGAGGCCGATGTCGCTGCCGAGCCCAGGAAGCGAAAAGCGCGGCTTGAAAATGGAATGGACGAGATCTTCGGCAAGACGAAGAAGAGGACTAAAGCCAAAGTCAAAGACAAGGGACGTGAGGGGACTGGTGAGGGCAAGGGTGACGAAGGAGGAGCGAACAAGACCGACCCATCAAAGACATCTGGCAAGAAGCCTAAGAAGGAATCGACCGAAAGGCAAGTCGACAAGGCCCCTGCCGATCCCTCCGCCGACCCCGCCGACCCCGCCGACCCCGCCGACCCCGCCGACCCCGCCCCAAAGCCCAAGAAGCCCAAGGCCATCGACGCACCCAAGCGCAAATCCAACAAGGACAAACCCAAGAAGCCCAAGGCAAAGGGCAGAAGCACAATGGATGCAATCTTTGGGTTCTAATATACAACTTGTACAACAATACTTGACGACATGCTAGTCTGTAGGGCAACTCTTTCGCTTACACCCTCTCCGTCCCCTCCTCCCCCGCCTCCTCGTCCTCCCCAACCCCAACCCCCACCTCATCCCACACACCCAATATCTCCGTCGCGCCCGGCCGCCCCTCCGGCGCCGGCTCCATCATCGCGCGCAGCACATCACGCACCGCATCCGGCACGCGCGCGGCGCCCTCGGTCCCTGCGCCGAGGAAGAACATGGCCGGCGCGCCGTCGGCATATCCCGCCGCCGCGAGGGGCGGGGACACGGCTTCAGGCTGCGCATTCGTGTCGGGGCCATGCACGTGGCGCAGCGGGGAGCGGATACTGGACGCGCGCGAGACGGGCGAGCGCGGTGGGCTCGGGTGCTCGCTCAGCAGGCGGTCCACGCCGTTGTGCCGCCCATGGTGCCATGCCGCCCAGAGGCGTACGCCCGCGGGCGAGTCTTCTGCGCTCCGGCCTGCGTCGGTCGAGGCAACGATCGACTCGGCCGAGCCCACGCGCTTCAATGGCGTCGACGGGATGTCGACGGACAGACTTGGCGTGTGGCTGTGCGGCACGCGCAGCGAACCGCCGCGGCGTACCTCTGCGCCCGCGCCGGCACCGGTGCCCGGCAGCGGGTCAGCGCGCCATGCGGAGGGGTAGGGCGAGGCGGTGGCGGAGAAAAAGCCTTGCGTGCCGACACGCGCGAGGCGGTCGCGCTCGAGCCACTGCCACAGCCCGCCGTTGCGCACGTAGTGCATCATCTCGACAGGGCGGGCACCGCGGTAGGGCTCGCGACCCGTAAGGCACTGGTATAGCGTGGCGCCGAGGGCGAAGATGTCGACGGGGAAGGAGAAGGGCGCGGTGGGGTCGACGAGCTCGGGAGGCGAGAAGGGGAGCGTGCCCAGGCCCACACCGTCTGTCGGTGGATGTTCGGGATGGATGAGAAGCGACGAACCAAAGTCCGAAAGACGCAGGTGGAGGTCGGTCGTGAGCTGCCGTCAGTGACTCACCCCGAAACGGGCGATGATCCCCGTTTTTGACTCACCAGGAGATTGCTCGGCTTGACGTCGGCATGCACTACGCCCTTGCCGTGCACCCACTCCAGGGCGGAGGCTGCCTCACGCGCCCAGCGCCCCCAGAGCTGCGGCCCGACGAGGCCGGGGCTCGTGCGTAAGAGGCGGTCGAGCGTGCCGAGCGGAGCATGCTCCACGACCAGGACGAGGCGCGATGGATCGGGGAGTGGAGGTACCTCCTCGGCGCCGCGCCCGCCGGCATAGATTGTCGAAGCTCTGAGCCGGCGCGGCGGCGAGTCCGTGTTCATGACATTCATCTCGCGCTGGAGGGCACGCGATTCGTTCATGACGTGCACGTGTGGGTTGTCGCCTGCGCCGAGCGACGCCGTGTCATCCTTGACCGCGATAAGCTTGATGACGTACACCTGACCGCGGCCCTTGCCCGTCCCGAGGCGGTTGAGGAAGAAGGCCTCACGCAGGCCCATAGTCTGGCTCTCGCGGTCGGGCGCCAGACGCTTCGCGGCGCAGAGCTTCCACCCAGTCTCGCCGTTGTTGGCGCGCGTGGGGCTGAGGGACGTGGGAGACATCGGTCGCTTCTTGAACGACGCTAGGTAGACTGTGGCGTACCGCCCCTCGCCGAGGAGGTAGCCCGGCTCGGCGAAGAGGCGGAGCTGCACGTCGTCCGTGGCGGTTGGCGAAGGCGGAACCCACTGCGGCGCGAGTGAGGGACTCTGATGGAGCGGGCTGAGGTTGGGCGGCGATACGGACAAATGGGAGGGGGCGCTCGTGTGCGAGTTGGTGTGCGCGTGACCAGGGGCGAAAGAGGGTGAGCTCGGCGATGTGGCGCCGCCGCGGCGGCGGAGACTTGCAGCCCGGCTAAGCGCTAGGGGGCTCGGGGGAGTGGATATGTTGGCCAGCGCAGGTGGCGGTATGGGCACACCGGAGGAGGCGAAAAACGAGCTCGTCTTGGATGCAGCCGCCACGGGCTGAGGCGGGCTTGGGGGCGATGGCGGCCGGGAGGCGGGGTTCGTAATGGGATCTCCAAAGTGCGCAAGAGGCGCATACTTGGTCTCAGCCGGTGTGCGGGGCGAGTCGGCGGGTGAGAGCTCGACGGATGCAGCGGTGAGGCTCGAGGTACGCGGGGGCGTAGTGTCAAGCTCGAGAGGTTCGCGCATCGCGGCCTTGCTCTTGGCCGCTGCGAGTCTGCGCGCGAGCAGCGCGCCACTGGGGTATTCGGGGCTGCCGGGTGGTGAGACGGGGGGTGCGCCAATTGGAGGTGGAGGCAGAGGGCCGGGAGCGTGAGAAGTGGCGTTGGCGTCAATGTGTGATGGATGAGATGGGGAGGTGTGGGAGTGTGCGATGTGGGGAGGTGACGGCGAGTCGAGCGTGAGGTTGGCCAAGCGGCGCGGGGTGAGGCTGTGAGGCGTCGGCTTCGGATTCCATGTTGACGAGTAGTCGTTACGCGGCAGCGGCGGCGGGGGGAGGGAGGGGCTCCAAGTAGTGCTGAAGAGGTCGTTGCTGGGTAATGGTGGTGGTGGTGGCGGGGCTGGGCTCCAGTTTGTGCTGAAGAGATCGTTACTGCGCAATGGAGGTGGAGGTGGGGTAGGGGAGGATGGGAGGTATGCGGCGAAGAGGTCGTTGCGGGATCCCGAGCGACTTGGGGTGGGGGATGGGCCTGCGCCGCCGAAGGGACGGGCGGGCTGCGCGCCGGGTGGGACTAGCATTGGTCAAGCTGGAATAATGGGTCTGCGAGACTTGAGGTGTCTGGAAGAGAGAAGGGGGGGAGGAGGGATAGGGGTGCGAGTGGGAGGCCTATTATGGCCAAGGAGAGAGTCCAGTGGCCAGGCTAGATGTGCCGAGGATATGCAGCGACGCGGTCGCAGCGGAGGGTGATGACGACAGAGAGGTGGCAAAAGCTTTCGTGTCGGACGTTGGAGCGGGGCGAGGAGATAATGTCTTGTGGGCTAATTATGGATGAGTGGGAGGGAGGTGGGCGGGATAAATGAGCGGATCGGCTGATCGATGACAATGGATGCCGAGGTGACTTTGTGAGTGTGGGGATTGCGATGGAGAGCGATGGGGGAGAGAGAGATGGAGAGGACAAGGATGAATATGTGGGACACAGAGAGAGAGAGAGAGAGAGAGAGAGAGGGAGTGAGTGAGTGAGTAAGGACGAGGAGGAGGACGAGGAGGATGAGAATGAGAGAGGACGAGAACGAGTCGACTGCGCGCCGACTGCGGTTGGGGGGAGGGAGGGAGGGAGGGGCAAGGAACGCCAGGGCGCGAGAGGAGAGGATGCTCGGGGAATACGCCGCACGCCACTCCTTTTGGCCTCTTCCATTCAGTTGATCAGTATTCGGCTCCAGTCGCGACGCGTCGAGGAGAGTCTGTTCTGTTCTGGGCAGTAGTGCGATGCCATCTCATGCACGAGTGTCTGTGCGGGGCGGCGGTTCATAATCAAGAGCTGACTGCTGACCGCCGAGTTCGGAGGAGGAGAGGTCGAGTGCGAGGTGCAAGCTACGGAAACAAGCGAGTCGAGATGGACATGGGCCTTCCAGGAGACAGGAGACAGCGGGGAGACGCGCGCTGGGGGGAAAGGCAGGGATTGCAAGACTCGGTGATTCCAGCGTTTACCCCCGTTCAAAGAATGGTCTCGGCCAACACGCCGTCCCTCAACATTCCAGGCACCTCCCACCCCCCACGCTTGTTTACGTCGTTCGTCCTCGACACGTGATCATTTCATCTTCAACTTCACCCCCCAACCGATATGGATTGCATGAACCGTTGCTGGCTACCTGCCTAGCTGCCTGGTAGTTGGACCATCAGACCGTCCCCGTGTCCTTTGAAACACGCCCCAAGTGACCCAAGACCCCACGGGCCTTGCGTCACAAGCCACGCGCCACTATGACTGACGCAACAGTTGCCCATCCCCCTTACCACTTGAGCTGGCGCCCAAACTTGTCCGCAGCCTCCACGAGCAGCTTGGTGATACCAGGCTCGTGCGCAGAGTGACCAGCGTCATCAACAATCTTCAGGTCGCAGCCCTCGCCCCATGCCCGCTTCAGGTCATATGCCGACCGCGCCTGCGTGTCAGAATGTGTGTACGGTACACGCGCGAGGGCGTATGAGCAGCTGTAGCTGCCAAGGAAGCAAGAGGGGAATGCGTGAGAGGTGAGAGCAGCCCAACCGAGCAAAGTGTAATGAGAGCCAAGAAAACGGATGTGACGTGGTTGGGTCGCTAGGCACAAGGAGGCGTCTCCCCATGTCGTCTCCCCACGTCACAACATGACAACCACGGATTTGGGCGATAGCGACGGCAAAGTGCTCACAGCAGCTTCCAAGTCCAGGTTCCCAAGTAGGGGGAAGCATGATAGCGAGACAAATCCTCAGCTGCAGGGGCCAAGGCGGCAGTCTGCATGCGTTGCGAGACGACGCGCGCGCGCTGACTGGCATCCTGCAAGCACTGGTCATGACAGACAACGGGGCGCGTACACTGCCGCGACACGATGCGAGGTCATGCACGGAGGGCGTCTGCCAGCTGGTTCCAACGAAGGCTTGGCAGGAGGCGCGCCCTCGAGAGTCGTAATTGTTCGGCACAAGCAGCGCCCTCAAGTCAAAGCCCATGTCTGGCCCAACGGATCTCGGTTCGCTCTGTGCCGATGCCGCATCCTTCAGCGCCCCGGCACACTAGTGCCCAGCGCCCCATGCTTACTCTTCCCAACCGACCAGCAATCCTCACTCACCGGGCAGACACAGTCGTAACGGCCCTGGACAACAACACAAGGGAGGTGGCGGCTGGCGTCAGAAATAAACCAGACACGTGCTGGTCAGTCACCACCCACATCTTGTCCAGCTGCTCCTTCTTGATCAGGTGGCCCTCGGGGAAGAAGCCCGCGTTGACAAAGTAGTGGCACTCAATGGTGGCGAATGCACTGTCATCAGCATTGCTCCCTCAGCAGTGTCCATGACAACTCACCGCGCCCACTTGGCGTTGTTGTCGGCCAGCGCAACCATCGCCGGGTCCTGGAACAGCTTGCTCGTGCTCTCCTCCCACGTGGCCCACGCCTTGGCGGCAGCAAGCGACTTCTTCTCGTCCGGATCCGTCATCTGCTTGTAGTACGCCGAGATGATGTCGTGGCGCTCGTCCTCGGGGATCTGCGTGAGGTAGGGCTCCCACGCCTCGGGCCAGATGTCTGCTGTCAGCTGTATCCATGCGCTGACTCACGGCTCGCGCCGTCCTGGTAGAACCACTCCAGCTCGGAGCGGCGCAGGAGGAAGATGCCGCGCAGGATCAGCGCCACACAGCGGTCCGGGTGCGTCTGGGCGTACGCGAGCGAGAGCGTCGAGCCCCTGTTGTTAGAGCGCGGGTTGGTGGGCTACTCACCAGGAGCCGCCGAAGACGAGCCACTTCTCGATGCCGAGCTCCTTGCGGACACGCTCGATGTCGGCGACTGCTGTCAGACTATGCAAGCAAGGAGGTTGGCTGATCCGGACGCGAGGCAGTGAGAAGCACAGAGGCAAAGGCTCCAGAAAGGTACCTTCCCTCGCACGCATCCTTTCACCACTGCGCGTACGGTCAACACGCACCAAGATCCCACGTCGTGTTCTCGCGCAGTTCGGCGGTGCTACGTCAGCTCTCCATGGTCTATAAGCTTACGGCTCGGACCTGCCGGCGCCGCGCTGGTCCATAAGCACGACACGGTACACCTCGGGGTTGAAGTAGATCGTGTCTGACGAGGACGTGCCGCCGCCGGGCCCGCCGTGGCTGTGGTCAGCTCGTCATCCGTACGAGGGAAAGGCTTGACGCGTACAGAAAGATGACTGGCGTCAGCTACGTCCTGCCTACGTCCCGCCCACCGACTCACCCGGCTTGCCCTTCGGATTGCCCGCCTGCCAGTAGCTGCCGTGAGTGATTCGCCTCACACGTCAACGCAGACGTACTGGATAGTGTGGATGTCCGAGACCTTCATGGTGCGGTCGTCGAACGCGTGCTGCGGCGCATACTGGAATGGGGGGGAGGTGGTGACGCCGCTCATGGTGCGGCTGAGGCGTCGGAGTGCGGTGGCGAACAACGTGGAGGAGATGAAGGTGGAAGGATGGGCGAGAGCGAGAATGACAGACCGGTGAGCGGCCACGGCAGCTGTCCGGCTGACACGGTCGGCCTTTCGGTACGTGCCGGGGAATGTGATGTCACAGCCGCGTAGAATCCGAGAGGGAGTCGAACCACGGCCCTCCACTTACCTCCACCACTTCCTCCACCTCCGTCCAGCGGTCCACCAAGTCCTCATAACTCATGGCGTGGAGCAGATACACGCTCCCGATCCTCGCGGCCTCCGCCGTGATCCAGGTCGCGCTGGTCGCGTACGCAGCCTACGTCGACGCGCACCCCGAGCGATTCGGTGGCCTGCGGTACACGGACGTGGACTGGCGCGTCGTGCTCGACGGGCTGCGCGCAACCTTCCGCCCAAAGTCCTACGCCGAGGGACCGCTCGGCCCCGCCCTCGCCCTCGGGTCGCCATACGACCGCGCCACGTTCCGGTACACGCCGCTACTCGTGCTCGTGCTCGCGCCTGCAGCGCTTGCGCCTGCTCTCGGCCGCCTCGTCCTCGTGGCGCTGACCCTCGCCCTCCCACCGATCCTGCTCAGTGCCGGCGCGGAAGAGTGGAAGGTCCATGCGCTGTGGACGCTCAACCCCGTCGTGCTGAACATCACAACGCGCGGCAGCCCCGAAGCCCTCCCCTGCTTCTTGACGGCTGCACTCGCGCTCGCCCTCCGCCGCGCCGGGTTGGGAAGGCGCGCAAGCGCGAGCGCAAGCCCAAGCGCCAGAGGAAGGTGGGAGGCGGCCGCCGCCGTCATCCTCGCCCTTGCAGCAAGCTACAAAATCTACCCCGTCATCTACGTGCCGGCGATCTGGTCCGCTCTCGCGCGGAGACACGGCTGGTTCGGCGCCGCCGTGTGGCGCTTCGGTGCGATCGCAGCCGCCACCGCCCTCGCCATTAACGGCGCGTTGTGGCTTGTGTGCGTCCTCTCCCATACTCAGCTGACGGAAGATGGGGCGAGCCCTTCCTTGAACACACGTTCCGGTACCACCTTGCCCGCCTCGATCACAGGCACAATTTCAGCCCGTATTTCCTCCCGATCTACTTCGCGCGCACGCTGCCCAGCGACGGCGGCGCCCTCCTCCGCGCGCTGAGGCATCCGCTGGCCAGTTTCTTGCCCCAGTTCAGCCTCGTCCTCGGCGCCGGTTTCGCGCTTACCCCGCGCCTCGGAGTTGAGAGCGCCATGTTCTTCCAGACGGCCCTCTTTGTTGTGTTCAACAAGGTCTGCACCAGTCAGGTGAGTTATGAAGTGGAGGCCGTCCAGTCACTGGTTTGGGTCTTTTGACGAATGCCCTGGGCGTTCTGGTCAGCCGCAGCCACGCCTCAGTTCTCAGCATTACAAAACACTTGCTCACCCCAGTACTTCCTCTGGCCGCTGCCACTCGTGCCCCTCCTCACTTTCCCTTCGTTGACATGGCCCCGCCTCGGCGCTGCTCTCGCTGCCTGGGTTGCAGGACAAGCGCTCTGGTTGAGCCAAGCGTACCGTCTTGAACTGCTCGGCGAGAGCGTGTGGGTGCGCGTGTGGGCGGCGGGCCTTGTGCTGTTCGCCGCGAGTGTGTGGGGCTTGGGCGTGTTGTTGGCCGGGACCAGGGAGGTTGGACCGGCGGAGAAACCGGCAGTGTTGGCAACGGACAAGAGCAAGGCAGAACACAAGCATTGATAGACACTAGATTCATCGTACAACATGCATCTACGCACAGGCACACACACTACGCGAGCACGCCCTCCTCGTCCCCGTCCTCACCTACGCGGAGTAAATGGTCAAGCCCGCCGGCTACCATGTCCAGCCAACGGCGCAGCTCGTCGACCGTGGTCTCGAGCTCGGTGGTGGCTGCGCCCACATCGTCCAGCCGCGGGAGGTCCAGTGGACGCGGCCCGTTGAGCTGCACCAACCCGGGGCTTGGCAGCATGGACGGCAGACTCGTCGAGCTCTGGTTGAGCGGCGACGCAAGCAGCGCCGGTGTGCTCATGCTCGTCATACCCATGCCCAGCCCGCCAAAGCCCGCTCCGAAACCCGCGCTGCTGAACCCCGCATTGAACCCGTTGCTGAATCCGGCTGCACTCATAAAACTCGAGTTGGATGTGTCGCCGGCCCCGAGCGGGCTGGGTAGCGCCACAAACGGCTTCGGCGCCGTCAGCGTGCTTGGTGAAGGCGGGAGGAGGTCGGCGCTCTCGGGCACCGCGGGCGAGAGCTTGAGCAGGTCGCGTAGCCCAACCTGCGAGTCGTCTATCCTGCTTCCGGAGCGCGAACGCATCATCGCAACACCCTTACTGGGTACGCCCAGACCGGGGATTTTGGTAGGCGACGCCGGTACCTCAGCCGCGAGCTGCGCCTGCGCCTGCGCGTGCGTCTCCTTCGCCGCCCGCCCCTCCATGACTGTAGCCGAGGCCTGGCGCATCATTGGCGGCCGAGCGAACGGCGGCGCAGGCTGGTCCAAAGGACTCAACTCCTCTGCGCTGGGTTTCGCGAATTGTGGTTTGGGGAGTGGTGGCGCCGGAGCAGGCTTAGCGCCGGCCATGAGCGGGAACTGGAAGCCTCTCAGCGCCGCGTCTGAGCCTGAAGGACGACGGCGTTGTGCTGCAGAGGAAGGCTCGGGCGTCGTACCCATCCGCATAGTGGGCGCGGATGAGAATGTATCAACACTGGGTTTGGGGCGCGCCAACGGCGTGGCCTGCGCACTCCCACTGTCTGCCGTGGGGTTGGACGGGTTCGTCACGATGAAGAGGTGGCGTGGCTTGCGACTCTGTCTCACCGTGCCGCCCGCGTCCGATCCTTCGAGCTCCTCTGGTTCCTCTGTCATCGGACTGGGCGAGGGCGCCGGAACGAAGCTTTGAAACGGGTCGGCAGTGTTGTCGTCCTGGAAGAGGCGGCGCAAGCTCTCAGGGGGCGCAATTCCTGGCTCGTCGGCTACCTCTAGCATGCTCATTCGTGAGCGGACTGTGAAGCTCCAGTCATCACCATCAACCGAAGCGGCGTCGTCGTCAATCTGGGCACCCACCCCAGGCGCCAGAGACATGCGCTGTCCTCCGCCCGCCTTCCACGCCTGAAAGCGGACCATCAACTCCGTGAGAGTCGTTAGCGGGGTCTTTGCTTGCTGCCGGATCCACTTGGTCTTGCTGAGATCCTCCGCGCTCAGACGGTCCGCGGGCTCTTCATTCAGGCAGGCGACGGCAAAGTCGCGCATCTCCTTGCTCCATGTGCCGCCATCGAGACGAGGGGCGCGCAGCTTCTTGTCACCAAGAATCTTGACGGCGTGCGCCGGCGGCTGGCCGTGCATCGGCGGCTCGCCATGCGCCATTTCCAGCAGCGTAATGCCTAGACTCCAGATGTCGGCTTTGACATCGTAGAGTCGGCCTTGCGTTACAACTTCTGGCGCCATCCAATATGGTGTGCCCACGAAAGTCGAGCGCTTTGAGGTGTTGCTTGCGAGGAGCGCCGCGACGCCAAAGTCGCACAGCAGGATACGTGGTGGCTGTGTCGTCATAAGAATGTTGGCGGCTATCGTCAGCTCCGGAACCAATCTTCACCCCACCCTTGATGTCTCGATGGATTACACCGTTCTTGTGCAGAAACGTGAGCGCAACCAGCACCTCGCGCATGATCAGGGCGATGTGCAACTCCTTGAGCGGCTGGGCTCTTGACTGCCGTGAGCTTGTGCTTGACATTCTCCCTCACCAAAGTCCGGATACTCCCTCCCTCAGCGTATTCCATGATGATCCAGACCTTTGGCCCTTCCATCATGCTACCGTAGTACTTGGTGAAGTTGGGCATGGCGCCTGCGCCGCCGGACCCCGCCGCGAAACTTCCCATGAGCTGCTGCAGCAGCGACACCTCCTTCTGGATATCGCTAACGTCGTCGTCTCCTGTGTCGAGGTTGATGATCTTGAGGGCAACGATGTGTCCAGTCTCCTTGTGCCGGCCCTGGTACACGGCGCCGTAGCCGCCCTTGCCCACCATCTCGAGTTTCTGCGGTCAGCACCTGACGCAGCAAGTCGTACCTCGTAGATCTCGTCTGGGCGCGCATCCTTGGGCTGCCGCGCCAGCGCGGCTAGGTACGCCGGCTCTGAGGGCGCAAGCACCGTGAGAGGCGCGACCATCGTCAGGATGCGAGGAGGCAATGAAGGAGAGATGGCGCAGTACAGCTAGCTCAGCAGCTGGCCTGGCCTGTTTCCTGTCTTGTGAAACTGGAGAGAGAATGAGAGAGGGAGGTGTTGAGGTGGGAGAGGTGATGGAGAAGGAAGGTCAATTGAACAGCGGGATAGTGCGCCATCACAAGCGGTTTGTATTAGTCGGCTATTAGACCACTTCCAAGAGATTAGTTCACGGCTGATCACTCTCATTACATAACAGCACGTGACTATCTCGAAAAGTTGGGAGTCGCCACCAACTCTGTTTGTGTTCTGTTCTGCACAAATCATACCCGCACACCCTCGCCTCGTCCTCTCCCAAGCTGACTTTCCTGCGCTCGGTACTCCGAGCGCTACGCATAAAGCCTCCAGCAAACGCGATGGCGACGGCGACAACCCCGGCGGCGGCGGCCGAGCGTGTGTATCCGCTCACGGCGCCACCGACACCTAAGCACGAGAAGCTCGGCGGCTACGATTTCTACCGCTCAATCGGGAGTCCCAAGAATGTCCTCGCCCCGATGGTTGAGCAGAGCGAGCTGGTGAGTTGCAACTCGCGATTTGCGGCTTGCGTCGCGCAGCCGCCAACCCCGGAGTGGCTAACATCAGCCATGGAGGCTCCTCTCCAAGGCGCCGCTGCCGCCCGACCTTGCCGGCCCGATCGAGACCATCACCACGCCGCAGGGCAAGGAAATCAAGCGCTTCGTTGGCGGTGTGCATTTGAGCTACACACCCATGGTGCATGCTAAAGTGTTCCTCAAGACCAAGGGCGTCAAGGACCCGGTCTTCAACATCCAGAATGGTGAGGAGGGCTGCGGCGACGACCTCGCCGGTATTGAAGGTGGTGACCGGCCACTCTTCGTACAGGTAAGCCTGAATCTGAGACTCGGACTGATGCAGTTCTGCGCCAATGACCCCGACGTGCTTCTCGCCGCCGCGAAGAAGGTTGAGGACCGATGCGACGCCGTCGACATCAACTTTGGGTGTCCGCAGGGCATTGCTCGCAAGGGGCACTACGGCTCGTTCCTACAGGACGAGTGGGAGCTCATCTCGCGCCTGATCAGCACACTACACGAGAACCTCAAAGTTCCCGTGACAGCCAAGTTTCGCATCTTCCCCAACGTGGAGAAGACGGTCGCGTACGCGAAGATGATCGAGGCGGCAGGCGCCCAGATCCTGACATGCCACGGGCGCACGCGTGAGATGAAGGGCCAGGCGACGGGTCTAGCCGACTGGGACCAGATCAAGGCCGTGAAGGCCGCGGTCAAGGTGCCTGTGTTCGCGAACGGCAACATCCTGTACGGCGACGACGCGACGCGCTGCATGGAGTACACGGGCGTCGACGGGGTCATGAGCGCCGAGGGCAACCTGTCCAACCCCGCGCTCTTCATGCCGCCAAACCACGATCTCGCATACCCCAACATCCTTCTCCTCGCCCGGCGCTACCTCGACATCAGCGAGCAGCTCAAGACGCCGACGAGTGGCAACGCCATGAAGAGCCATATGTTCCGCGTCCTCCGCCCCATTCTAGACCAGCACGACGACCTCCGTGACCTCCTTTCCCGCACAGGTCTCACAGATGGCAAGGTGACCGAGTACCGCAAGGCGCTGGATGTCATCGAGGCGCGCATGGGCGCCGACGGCTCCAAGCTCGGCATGCCTGCCACGCCGATTGGCGAGGGCGGCTACCGCGAGCTGCCGACGTGGGTCGCGCAGCCGTATATCCGCAAAGTTCCCGAGTCGGCAAAGGTGCCCACGGATCCGGCGTACGCGGGCAGCGCGGCGGTGAGCGCTGTGCCGAGCCGCGCACCATCGCCCGTCAATGTCGCGCCGCCCGCCAAACCTTGTATCGGCCAGCCGTGTGGTGGCAGCGCAGCGGCGCGCTGTCCCACTGGCGCGTGCGTTATTCACTGCCGCGCCATCAGAGCGGCAGAGCAGGGTCCAATGAGCGTCACAGAGGCGTTGGACTCTGCCCTCCGCGGTGGACTTGTGGGCATGGGCTGCGAATTCCATGAGGCCAAGTTTGCTGCACGGAACAAACGGAAGAAGGAGAAGAATGCGATGCGCCAGAACCACAAGAAGTGGAAGCGCGGCGTGGAGCGCGAGGAGCGCCGGCGGAGCCAGAGCCTTGAGCGTGAGGCGGAGCCTCAGGCCATTGAGGCATAGAGTCGCTCTTGAGCATCACCACCACATATCATTAGCACCGCACCGCTCACGAAATAGAATGCTAGAATGCATGTACTTGTAGTGTATGATGCTAGTCGGTCTTCCAGGGCTTGACGCTCTCTGCGTCGTCGTCAGGGTCGAGCAGCAGCTCGAGACTCCAGACAGCGAGGAAGAGGGCAATGTTGACCCACCGCCACCACGTTTGTGACCCTGCGTCGAGCACTGGTGTCAGCTATATCCTTGCTTCGGGCTTACAGAGAAGATGGGTGTACACGGCGATGAGGATGGCGCGGCGGTAGCTCAGAACAATGGTGGTGATGCGCATGTTCTGCTATTAGCATGCCTCAAAAAACAAGCTCACGGTGGGCTCCTCGCCAAGGCTTCGGCCGTCCCAGAAGTTCGGGGAGGCGTCGGATCCATCCTCCCACCCTCGTCGAATCATGGGGACGATGCGCGCCGCGAAGTGCAGGACTACCACGCGGTAGATGAGCGAGAGGAGAAGGTGCGGAGGCAGCGCGCCAGCCACGGCCCATATGCTGTCCAGCGCAGATCCGATGGCGTAGTGCGCCAACGCGTTGACAGAGGGCGCGGAGACGGACTTGGGCACGGCCCAGTCATGAGAGAGCCAGCCGGTGCCGAATTGACGGGGTCTAGCGTCAGCGTCGCCAATGGAAGCGTCGTAGGAGGGTGCATAATTGACCCCGACGATCGCCCGAGGTATCGGTCAGCCCATCTTCAAAACTCACTCCATGGCACTCTCCACGCCCGACAGCCAGGCCGAGTATGCAACGTAAAGGAGCACAAACGCCGTCTCAATCACGTTCGTCCGTCGCAACGTGAATCCCGTGACACTCAGGAAAACGGTCGTGGCCAGCGCAACGCCGAGGAGAAACGCGGGGAACGCATGGTCCGGGAACGCGTACACCAGCAGCCAGAGGGCGCCAGAGTACACGAGCGATGAGAAGACGAGGCCCACGAGGCCGCGCCATTCGAAGCCTTCCTCCTTGTCGTCATCGGCCGTCCAGCCCTTGCCGATGCGGCCCGTGATCTGGATGACGAGGAGGGTCGACACTCCTTCGATGAGCGTGAAAAGCGGCGAGACCCAGCGCAGCACGCTCGCGTAGAGGTAGGGCAGGACGTTGACGAGGACGTGGCCGAAGCGGCTATTTTCAGGGGGTGAGAGGTAGTAGTAGAAGGTGAGGAGGACGCAGAGGCCGCTGATGAGCGGTGAGAGGAAGCTCAGCACCGTGATGAGCGGGGCAAACACGGTGTTTTTGAGGAGCAAGCGGAGCGTGCTGTAACCGAAGTGGTGGAGAGTGAAGAGCAGGGAGAGGAGGAGGAATGATGGCGGGCCTGTGGTCAGTCTGGAGACGGACGCGAGACGCACCGAGGAGGTCGAGCGCCATAGGCAGGGCAAAGAGCACCTGCGCAAAGGTGGCGAGGCCGCCGAGGTAGGAGAATGCGCCGGCGAACATGCCAGGAGAGCGACGGTGTCGCGAGCGCAGATGGACGGAGCTGATGGAGATGGCGAGGTGAGGGGATGACGCGTTGGGCGAGGAGTAATTGTTGTCGTTTTGGCGATCAGATGCCGGTGGTTTGTTGTGGGGAAGGTGGGGCGGCGACGGGGTGGGCCGACCGAGCGCGTCCAATAATTCCCGGCTGACATCTCATCGTGTCTTTTGTTTTGACACACTCCTCATCGACACTGCAACCACCATGCTTCTCCCTCGAGCGCCGATGGCATCTCGCGCCCGTCTCGTGTGCTCGGCGCTGCGCACAGCGCCCCGCGTCTCCCCGATTATCGTTCAGGGCCGCGCTGCGTCCTCATTCGAAGGTCCCAAGGTCAAGAAGGAGGTGACGGCCGACACGACGCGGCGCAATGCGCTTATTGCGGCGGTGCTTATCGCTGCCTCGGCGGGCGTGTGGTACTGGGAGACGCGTCAGATGGGCGTGTACCCGGCCACGACGCGGCGGGACGAGTTCACCGTCGTCGTCGGGAGGGGAAACAACCGGCAGAGCGTGACATTCGAGCGCAAGACCAACGCCGAGATGGAGGAGATGCTGCATGAACACGAGACCAGCGAGGTTCCTGCGCGTATTGGAAACCCCGTCGCGAGGTGGGACACTAACTTTGTCGCCTCCAACGAGCCGTGCGAGGACCGTAGCGCCGCCGACATCGTTCCCCGTGGCAAGGAAGGGGAGACGGGCCAGCGCGACCTCGCCTTCTTCTCTGTCATTGACGGACACGCCGGCGCAGCGACATCCGAGCTCCTTTCGCGTACACTCCACCCTACCCTCGCTCTGGGTTTGGCCGGCCTCCAGGCTGGCATGGTGCCCGGTCGCTCGTGGTATGGCCAGATCTATGACCTGTTCACGTGGGCCAAGACGTGGAGTCCAATCAACATCGCAAAGAGTCTCGAAGCCTCGTGAGTGGCGTCGACTACTTTCCTTCTGCCGTCCCGGCATATCGGCTGACGGCAGGTTCGTCAAGCTTGACGACAACATCTCGGCTGGGCCTATCCGCGCGCTCCCGGACATGCTCACCGACCAGTCGGAGGAGGCGCGTGAGAAGTTTGCTGCACTTGCTGCGCCTGCTGCGGCCGGGGCTGTGGTTGGCACGGCGCTGGTTGACGCCGAGAACGACGGTCTCTACGTCGCTGTCACAGGCGACTGCCGTGCAGTGGCCGGCTGGTATGGGCCAAATGGGTGGCGCTCCGACACGCTCAGCGAGGACCAGATGGGCGATAACCCGAAGGAAGTGGCCCGGTGAGCTTCCAAAGGAAACGGAGCTGACGGCAGAATGCGTGCCGAGCACCCACCTTACGAAGGCGACACGGTGATCCGCAACGGGCGCGTGCAGGGTGGCCTGCAGCCAACGCGCGCCTTCGGTGACGCTGTGTACAAGTGGACAACAGTGCAGGGCGAGGCGGTGAACGCGCTCATCAAGGACGCAGGGGAGAAGCCTCGGAGTATCCGGCCGTGGAACTTCACGCCGCCATACGTCACGGCTCGGCCCGAGGTCGAGTACCGCCCGCTCAAGGGGGCAAACGGCGAGAAGCTGCGCTTCGTCGTGCTGGCTACTGATGGCTGTGGGTAGCATTGTAGGCAGAGCTGACGGCAGTATGGGACCGGATCACGTCTGAGGAGGCTACACTGTTGATGGCCGCCTATCTGAACAACAAGAAGCGCAACGATGTCAACAAGGCCAAGCTGGCACAGGAGATTCCAGTGGCGACGACTGAGCCCCGCCCCTTCCCCGTGCAGGACCTGCCTGGGTCTGGGAAGCGCGACCAGGGGCAGTGGGTATTCGAAGGCGACTCGAACGCAGCCACGCATCTGATCCGCAACGCTCTCGGCGGCGGCGACCGCAAGCTGCGCGGCGAGCTTCTCTCCTTGAATGGCAAGGTCGCTCGCTACTTCCGCGATGACATGACTGTGACGTGAGTAGCTGCTTTGAACGAGCTGACGGCAGTGTAATCTTCTTCGAGGAGTAGAGACGTAGACGTTGTAGTAGAGTCCAGTCCAGTCCATAGTCGCATAAGCATGGTTGAGCACATTTCTACTCGTTATCCGCACAGACTCTCCGGAGCGGATGTATTTGGCCTCCACCGAGATCCACCAACACCATCCGCCTTCCCGTCCACGCGATCCCTCATCCGCACGTATCACCATGGACGACCTCCTCGACCTCTCCTGGTCCGAGCAGCCCAAGAAGCCGGTTAACAGCGCCGGCATGGGCTCGGCGTTCGACATGCTGTCCCGCCCGCAGGGAAACTACTACTCGGGCTCGACAACCCCCGCTGCTGCCTCCAAGCCAGCCTCCAACGCTGGCTCGTCTGCCAACCTCGCCGGCATGCGGGGCACGCCAAGTCTGCGCACCGCTGCTTCCCCTCGCCCTCCACCCTCTGGTTCCGACGCTTTCTCAGATCTCCTCGGCGGCGCGTCCTCGGGAGGCGCCGGCAAGACTCTCAGCATGGCTGAGCGGCAAGCGCAGCTCGCCGCGCAGAAGGCCAAGGAAGCGGAGGAGGAGCGGAGCCGATGGGGCGACGGCGCGTTCTGGGACCAGCTAGGCGGTGGAGCTGCCACGACCTCCGCACCCGCAGCGCAGACGCCCATTGCTGCACCGCAGCCCGCCAAGCCGATGAATCTCGGCCCGGCGCTCCAACCCTCCTCCTCCGCGTCGTCGCGTCCGGGCTCGGCTAGACCTACGTCAGCAACATCTGCAACCAGCGCGAAGAAGAACGCGGGGAGCTTTTGGGACATGGACAGCGCGCTCGGGCAGCCCGGAAAGCCAGAGCCCAAGTCGCCACCAGCAGGCGGCAAGGGCTCGTTTTGGAACATGGAGAGCGGGTTGGGCTCCCAGAAGAAATCGCCCTCTCCACCAGCGAAGAGCGACAAGTACTGGGAAGACGATTTGCTCAATGGCGCCAAGGCTACCAAGGTTCCGTCCAAGAGCGCGAAGGACGAGATCTCGTGGGACGATGACGACGGACTCCTGGGCTCGGGCTCGGGATCGAGGTCCAAGCCTGTTGCCGGGCCAGCCGACCCATGGGACTTTGACGCGCTCTCCTCCAATGTATCCCCAGCTCATGCATCGAAGGACTACGGAGGCGACGACGACGACCTGCTTGGCGAGCTGGGGCGGCCTGTGCGTAAGCCCAGCGTAAGTCCTCCCCACACCCAACTCGTCGTCCTCCGTCCCACACCGCTATGCTGTGCTGACACCAGCCCCGCGTCGAGCCGCAGGATTCGCGATCCCCCTCACGGCCAACCTCGCGGCCCGCATCGCGCCCTAGCCCTGCACGCCCCAGCTCGCCTCCTCCCCATGTCATCGGCCAGATCGTCGAGATGGGCTTCCCGCCAGACCAGGCGCGCGCAGCGCTGGCGGCCACCGCCTCGGGCGAGGACGTACAGGCGGCGATCGAGAGGCTTGTCGCAAGCCGGGGAGGCACCCCAGCCGCGCGCGACACTCGAGACGAGGAGGACGAGTGGGATCGTGAGCGCCGCGCTGCTCGGCGTTACGAAGACGAGGAGCGGGAGCGGGAGGCTGCGCGCAAGGCGCGACACGCGGCACGACGCAAGGGGCCCAGCCGCGAAGCAGTGCGTCCCCGCGCAGAGGACTATGGGGGGTCGAGTGGCACGGACGACCTCGCCAGGCAAGCGGAGCAGGTTGTTGCGCAGGCGCAGGAGTTTGGCGCGACTATGCTCACCAAGGGCTGGTCGTTCTTGAACACGCAGAAGGAGAAGGCGTTGAAGGTGTACGAGGAGCAGAAGAAGGCGTATGACGCGAGCCATGCCCAAGAGGGACGCGGCAAGGCTCCTGCTCGTGCGCCGGACGGGCGACCCCGGTGGATGGTCGAGGCTGAGGAGGCTGAGCGAGGCGGTCTGCCGCCAAGCCACGAGTTTGGGGACGCGTCCTTGGGCTTCAAGGACTCGGACGATGAGGACGCTCCTAGGCTCAAGCAGCAGCAGGCAAAGCGCCCCGAAGCGCGGCCTGACAATCGGCGGCAGCGCTCCGACGCCCCTCCGCCACCAAGCAACGCCGACCGCATTTCCAACCTTCTCGGCGGTGAGCCGAAGAGCTACGTCTCGCCGCACCGACACCCGAAGAGCCGGGCGTCACCTGCGCCCCGTGCCTCGCCTGCACCGCGTGTGATGACGCCTGCGCGCCCACCCTCGCCGCTGAAAGAGCGGACGCTAGTTTCGGCGCCAGCGAACGCGCTCTCTACAGCAGCGCAGCACAAGACAGTCGGCAACGAGCACTTCAAGCTCGGCCGCTTCGCCGAGGCCGAGGGCGCGTACACGCGTGCCATCGCGGCGCTGCCCGCGGGTCATTTACACCTCGTCCCGCTGCACAACAACCGCGCTGCGACGTGGCTTAAGCTGGGCGAGCCGGCGCGAGCGGCGGCCGATTGCGGTGTGGTCATCGAGCTTATTGGTGCAGGATACCACCCTGCCAAAGAGGCGCCGTTGCCCGCGACGCCCGATGCGGGCGTGACGCTAGGCGACGCGCTCGTGAAGGCCACGGCGAAGCGGGCGCAGGCGCACGAGATGGCCGAGAAGTGGAAGCTTGCGCTGGACGACTGGGAGCGCGTGCTGGGCTACGACGCGGCGCTGGGTGGCGCATCGCTGAAGGCACAGGCGAGCGACGGCGTCCGGCGATCCAAGAGCATGCTTGGGCCAGCCGACCGGGGCGAGAGCGGGAGCGCGAAGCCGACGCCGCGCGCAACGCCCAAGCCGAAACCCCAATCGCGGCCCGTCGACGTCGGCAGGTCGGCAGCGGTGAGCGAGCTGCGTGCGGCGGCCGCCGCCGCCGAGGCCGAGGACGAGCAGCGGCTGGCGCTCAAGGACGGCGTGGATGCCAAGCTTGCTGCGTGGCGTACGGGCAAGGAGACGAACATCCGCGCGCTGCTCGCGTCGCTCGATCTCGTGCTCTGGCCTGAGGTCGTGCTCAAGGTCGGCATGCATGAACTCGTGACCGACAAGCAGGTCAAGATCAAGTACATGAAGGTCATTGCGCGCCTGCATCCCGACAAGGTCAAGGGCGCGAGCGTCGAGCAGCGCATGATGGCCAACGGGGTGTTCGGGACGCTGAGCGAGGCGTGAGTCCGCCGGTGGGAGGAGCTGACACCAGATGGGCCGCGTTCAATGCGTAAGGCTAGATGATAGATGCATTAATCACGATCTCGGTGCACGAGGGCCTGCGGACGCTGTGTACTGATGCACGGGTCATCACTCACGCCGACAGGGGGGATTACGGACGAACAAATGGCGCTGGCAGAATTTCAATCTGACCACTGCCTCCCTGTGACCACGCTCACAGGCTATGCATACGACGGGCTCTAACAAGACATGCTATACACTGGCACACGCTACTCCAAGCGCCGGCTTTTGGTGCCCCGCGCTTCCGCAGCTTTCGTCACATGCGAGCGCGTGCGGCTTGAGGGCGACTGCTGCTGCGCCGTCAAGCGCGCTGTCGTAGCACGCGTCAGGCGCCCATGGCCGACGGCCTCGGCGCGCGGCGTAGTGTCCCGGTCACCCCGTGCACCACCCGGCGCCTTGGCCGGGGTTCTTCTGTTTGCGGCGGTTGAGGGCGACACCCTCTTCGGCGTCGCCTTCTTCCCCGACTTCTTTGGCGGCGACGGTTTCTTCTTCGGAGTCGCGGTCGCCTTCGCTGCCTCGGGAGGCGGCGACAGAGAACCGGACGAGAACGGGTTCTCATTGCTGCTGAGCGGGAGCTTGCGCTTCGTCCCGATCGTCACAGCCGACGAGTCCAGGTCCATGGGCGCGTGCTTGGGTGACGAGCCGTGGATGTTCCCCGGCGTGGGCGTCGCGTCTCTCATCTCGACAGTTCCGTTTGTGCGAAAAGGGGGCGATTCCGTCGCCTCGGCGCGACTTTGAAGCAATTCGTCGACTTTGGCAGTGGTGAGTCTAAGGTTCTCCATTGGCTGCGAGAAGCTCTCAGTGCTGGACACACTGGAAGCTTTCTTGATCTCGCCCACGCTCACAACCATGTCCGCACCCGGGGTCGGAACCATGCTCGCAACCATGGCTGCGCTGCCAAAGTTGGTCGCACTCATAGTCGCTGGACGTGTCCAGTCGGAGCGTACGGCATCGGCGTCCATCTCCATGTTCTCGCCGCCGTCGCTTGTTCCCCCGAATTCAGAACCGAACTCCTGGATATTCCACATGGAGTCGCCGAAGAGTGCTTGCGACTGTGATGGCTCGCTAGGAAGTGATGACGGGCCAGACAGCCACTCGTGCAAGAGGGCTTGGTCCATTGTCATGCGCTTAGTCGGATCTGGCTCCAGTAGGCGCTCGATGAAGTCTTGTCCGGCTGACGAGATGTTGTACCGTTCCAGCTCCGTGCGGTCGAATTCGAGTGTAGCACGGGCTTTGATGCGATCGGCGATGGAGAGCTCGCTATTGTCGTCGAAAGGCAGGTTCTTGGTGAGCATGGCGTAGACGATGACGCCGATAGACCACGAGTCGCAAACGTTCTCGTACCCTGGAGACACCGTAGACTGCATGACCACCTCCGGTGCGAGGTACTGTGGCGTGCCGACGAGCGACTTGAGCATAGTCTTGTCCTCAACCGTGATCATCTTGGCGAGCCCGAAGTCAGCAATTTTGATGAGTCGTTCCGTGCTCTCGTTCTTGCTTGTCACTAAGATGTTCTCTGGTTTCAAGTCGCGGTGCGTAACACCCTTCTCGTGCTGCGGTCAGGTTTGTTACGCGTGCAAGCTCACGCAAAAGGCCATCGCTCGACAAATCTGGAAGGTCAGATCGGTGGCTTCTTCTTCCGCTGTAATGTTAGTGATATCGACAGCTGAGGCGCTCACGTATTGGGCAAGGAGACATGTCGCTGTCCTTGTAGTTCATGATGTAGCTCAGTAAGTCGCCACCGTCGACGTATTCTAGTACCAATGCAATATGCTGGGGATCCTCGTACCACTCGACCAAGCGGCAAACATTCTCCTGCAGGTCAGTATGATGATGTGATGACAACTCACGTGGACAAGACTGGTGCAGATGCTGATTTCTCGCTCGAAGAGCTTGAGAGTCTTGGGGTCATAGTTGAATCGGTGTTTGGTGATCAACTTGATCGCACGCATGTCACCAGTTTCGGGGTCGACTGCCTTCTTGACTTCGGCGAACGTTCCCTTACCCAGTCTGTTTGGTCAGCACTTCTGTAGCGGTTGGTTTGCCATCCCACTCACTGTTCCAGGAACTGGTATCGCTGATACACCTCACCGACCTTACCTTCCTCGCGTTTCGTATTGCGAGTGCCAACAGAGCGGAAGATGTATCGCACGTCGTGCGAGTCAATGGACTCTTTATGGCCAAGGGAGATCTCGTCACCATGCTGAAGCAGTCGGCGCTTCCCCTTCGTCAAGCGTGTCCCGTTCACCTGCGCGTCAGCCAAAGTGTAGTGTGTGCGATCGGCTTGGCTGACATCAAGGGTCGCCTACGCCTGGAGCGTTGTCTGCGCTCCAGTGTGGCGCAGCCGAACAGCAGTCTTTGTTGCCTCATCTCCCGGTCCCGAAATGAACAACGGACGAGGGTATTCTTGACAGAGCCCGACCTCCATGCCTCACAATCTTGCCAACTCACGAAAGTGCCGTTGCTGCTGCCAGAATCCTCAAGCCACACATCGGGCGCTTCCTCGCGGAAGCGCAATTCGTGAAGAAGGTCGTCCTCCCCCATGCCCATACGCGCGCTCTTGAGCTCCTTTATGCCAAGGGATATCGTGCAGTGGTTGTTGGATACACGCTTCTCTTTCAAATGGACATCGCTTGCGGGGTGACGTCCAATCTTGAGGAGTGTCTTGGACCAAGACAGCTTGATAATGGAGTGATCGGAGTTGATAGGGATGAATACAGCCCCTGCTATCAGTATTCATTCATTTGTTCGAAGAAGCCGAGCAGTCTCGATTAGAGCGGTGACTCGCTGCCAAGTGCACCGTCAGCGAGACCGCGCGCATCGGACAGCTGCTCCAACTGGCAGGTTCAAACGCCGTTGGCTCTATAGGTGCAGTGCGTAAAGAACTCACAATACTTGCGCCTTGGCTCAATCTGAGAGTTCTCTGGCTGCGTGTTGCGTTGAGAAGCCCGAAAGGGCTGAGAGAGCTGTGTTGGTTCGAAGTAGTCGTCATAATTGCCGTCTTGTGACTCGGGGACAGGCGCCATCATGAACCGTGCGGTGACGCCGGCGTTGGAAGCCGGGTGATGGTGGGTGAGGGTCGGAGGCGTGGAAGCCAGCGGAGATCGTGATCGAGTGACGAGGCAGCAGGCGGAGGAAGGACAAAGCTAAAGGCAGACGACGGAATGCGGGAGTGAGACGCCAGAAACACACTCAAAGCGACCCGCGCGCTGGGCGATCTTGGACAATCTGACGAGCAGACGGGGAGTCAGAGGCGAGACGTGGATGCGCGGACTGTGGAGATTGACGAGGTTTTGTTGGCGCGTGTGGGGAATGAGGAGATTGCCACCTTTTGGAGTGTGGGGAGAGTGGAGAGGAGTGGATGAGCAGTCAAACGAGGATGGCCACTCGTTATATAGCTTGACCGAGGGGGGAGGGACGATGGGAGAGGAGTGCAAGACGACGAGTGATGAAGAAGAAGGAGAAAGGAGGATGCAAGATGGTGTTGTTAACGTTGTTGTCGCGTCCCGCACACGTTTCGCACCCCACCACCCCCCGATCCACCGTCAGGAAGCATGTGCTTCCCTCCACTCCGCGCGATCTCGCCCAGGGATCAGACGCGTCGCACTGGGTCACCAGGTGAGTCACGTGACAGTCGCGCGAGAATGGCGTGGCTCGTGACGGAGGCATCCGACTTCGCCACCCGACTTCTCCGGTCGTCATCCATCCCGTCGTCACTCCTGCTGCGCCTGCCACCATCTTCTCACCCATCGCCACGGCAACAGTGCACGTCCAGCTCAATCTCTTGCGTCCAACCACCCCACAGCTCGCCTCAAGAGGACACTCCTTCATCTTTGCGGAACCGCCATGTCCGCCGAACCCAAGGCACCAGCTATCGCGACCGAAGCTTCTCCCAAGCCCTCGTCGGAGGAGGCGACGCCGGTCGCCTCAACGATCGACGTAAAAGAGTCCGAGGCAACGGCGCCAACCGCCGCCGGCACTGCCTCTTCCGCGGCGTCTCAGGCTGCCGAAGCAGCCGCAGCGGCGAGCGCGAGCCTGCAGAATGCAGCCAGCACTGCGCGGGCGCGGGCCCAGCAGCACGGCTTCTACCAGGGCAACATTGAGGAGGAGTTGGGCCAGGTCGTCAAGTCGCTCGGTAGCTTCTGGGGAGGTTTTAAGGCGAAGGTGCGTGGGACTCTGCACAGGCCGCTGACGCGCAGTCTGCGTCCACGTTCACTTCGCTCAAGGCCGATGCCGAGAAGGGACTCGCGCAGGTCCAGAACGACCTGAAGCAGCTGCAGGAGGCCAAGGTCGAGGTCGGGGTCAAGGAGAAGGAGGAGTGGGAGAAGGAGCAGGAGGAGGAGCGGAAGAAGAAGGCGGAGCGCGAGGCCAAAGAGGCTGAGGAGCGCGAGCGCGAGGCAGCGTCAAAGGAGAAGGGCAAGGGACGAGCTCTGCCCGAAGACGAGACGCCGGCCGGGGAGCCGACGTCGCCCACGTCGGCGTTCTTCTCGCGTCTGACGAACAGCACAACATCTCTCCAGGCGACACTGCAGAGCACGCTGGCCTCGACGCTCGCCGCGGCCAAAGCGAACCCCGCGCTCAACAACCCGACACAGCTGAGAGACCAGCTGGCGGAGAACCTGCGTCTCTCCAGCGCGCGAGAGAACCTCACTCTGTCGCTGCGGCAGGCCGAGTCGCTCGCTGAAGAGTACTTGAAGAAGGGCGGGGAGTGGGCGCGCAACGCGGAGCAGGCAGCGGAGAAGTGGGTGGAGGAGAACGTCAAGGTTGTGCCGCCCGAGGGCGTGGGCGCCTCGTTGGCGATGGGCGCCTGGGATGCCGGCGAGCTGTACTCGTTCTCGACGATGGTGCCGGAGAAGTCGGAGGCGCCGCCAGCTGAGGGCGGGCGCACGCCGCGCGCGTCGCTGTCTTCGGCTGCCGTCGCGGGCTCACGCAAGGAAGCGCTGCTCCGCCGTCTGCGCGAGGACAAGGATCTTCTCCTCCTTGACCCCGGGGCTGAGGCTGAGACGCAGCAGCGCCGTGACGAGTTCGCGGCGTGGGTGCGCGACGTGTGGCCTACGGCGCAGACCGCGGGACGCGAGGCCGAGGTTGGCAACGTCGGTGGCATCCGTATGGCGCTCGTCCCCGAACACCTGACGGACGAGCAGTTCTGGCAGCGCTACCTGTTTCACATGGACATGATTGAGGCGGCGGACAAGAAGCGCAAGGCGCTGCTTGAGGGTAAGCGTGGATATGGCCCTGCGGCACAGCAGCTAACAGCAGCCTCGACGGCGGAGAATGATGCGGACGACTTCAACTGGGACGACGACGAGGAAGAGGAGGAGCCCGCAAAGGCCGCCAAGCCCCAGTCGCCAGCGCCATCTGCGCCCTCGTCGGCCGCGACGCCCAAGCCGCCCCCGGCGTCGAAGAGCAGCGCCGCGACGTCGCCGCGCGACAGCGAGGAGAGTTACGACGTCGTGCGCACCAGCACGGCCGCGCCGACGGAGGACTCGGACTCGGACTGGGAGTAGACTGTATGTAGACTGTATGGAGCTGTCACGCGAAAGGGTAGATTGCGGGCGTGGCTTGGCGACACTCCAGGTGGCCGGCTGGGATAAGCCGGTATCTCTCACGCCGCGCTCGAGCTCTGTAATCTGGCCTCCACCGCGCTCGTTGCGATGGAGGCTCCGCCGCGCTCGATACCACGACACTGGGCGTTACGCACGCACAAGAAGCCGCGAAGCGAGGCGTGCTTCTGAGCGCAACGCCGCCTTGGGCAGGCATATATACACGCCCGTATGCAGATCCCCCCAGCATGGCGCAAGGTGATGATGGCAAGTGCAAGTGGCAACTGGCAAGGCAAAGATGTGCGGGCCGCAAGCCACGGCCAAGATGAAGATGACCAGAGCAGAGAATCGAGACCGGAGCAAGTCTAGAGCGTCAGTCGCAGCTCCCATTGCATCGCCTCAAGGCCTCGAGATTGCCCCGTTTCACTTTACACACGGTCTCTCTGCACATCGTCGGCCGCTCCGCCTAGTCTCAGTTGCCTCAAGCCCATCCACCCGGGGCACCTCCAAGATCCGACGGCTCCCCAGCATCCAACCAGGTGGGGCGCCCAATCGCCCGCCCCTCTCTATCACATACTCATTCAGCCGGACCTCGACACCGCGATCTGAGGTCCCCGCATACGCCGCGGTCGTCGTGATGCCCACAGCGCCACTGTGCGCCGCTTCGATCGCAGCCGCTGACGACAATGAAATGCGATGAAACGCTCAGGAGGGCGAGCCGAGAGTCGAGGACCAGGCGCAGGAACAAAAGCGCTCTGGATTGCTCAGTGCGGGCCGGGGATCTGTGCGCGTCACGGCGGCCCCGCCGCTCAGCCCTCCGGCGTTGATGGGCATGGTACATAGTACCGGTGGGTGTGTGGTGAAGGCGGAGATCGACTGGCATGCGCCGAGCCTGGCATATGTGACACGGAGCGGGGCGGCGTTCGGTGTGCGGAACGTCAGCGAAAGAAGAGTTGGTGGCTGCTGGTAATAGAACTCGCGCCCTCGGCGCTGTCGTCTCGTGCGCGCCCCGACCTCGTGGTTCGCAGTTCGTTGCATGGCTCGCACCGCGCCCAAGGCCTTGATCAGAACTGTGCGCGAGCTTGGGCGATGGGGTTGACTGAGGCATGCATGAACATGGACGGCATGAGTGACGGCCGCGCATGGCCGACTTGGGCCGTCGCAGATGGCCGAAATCAGTCGCGTCGACGCGTCCCACCTCCGCCTCCATCAGCAAAGTGCGATCATGTCCGAAGTCAGAAGCACCAACTCCGCTCATCAATTCTCACCCATCTCATCACATCCGTTCATCCCCCCGCCCCCAGCTCCGCAGCTGCGGCCTTCGGGGCATGCGGCATGCACCCATGCGCGGCCTTCCTGATGGCCTGGTGGAGAGCTCGTCGTCCTTTACCTTCTCGCTCGCCCCTCCACGTCGAACGGGACCGTGCGCCGCCACCCTTCTCCCCCCTCTCATCTCCTCTGCTCGCTCTCCTCGCTCTCTTTGCTCACTCTCCACTCATCTCTCTCTCTCCTGACGCCATTCATCTCATCGCGCTCGTCTTTCTCCCCCTCTCTCATACTCCTCTTACCCCTCGCAGCCCTACACTCACCCCCCACGCTCGCACCTACAGACGCTTTGGCATCCAGCTCCTCTAGCTCCCCATCACCCCCGTCAATTCCACACACACGCCATCTGCCCCGCAGGAGCCGCTTCGTACGACCCTCTCAGTGGCTAGCTCTCTCACTGCTCCCAACAACGACGAGCGCACGAGCATTCTCCCCGCCGACTTTTTATCCAGCAGCGACAACGTCCTGCTCCTCCTCACCCCACACTCACTCGCTTTCTAGCACCAACACCTCTTTTCCCAAACAGTGAGCCTACCTTCCCTCACCCCTCACCCAGATGCGTCGCGCAGCAGTCGTCATCGCCGTCGCGTGTGCTTGCGCAACCGCCATGAGACCCGCGCCATCGCTGACAGAAGAAACTATGGCCACTGATCTCTTCTCGCTCCGTGAGAAGTTCTTTACTCTCCGCACCACCAAGGAGGAGGCTACCAAGCGCGCCGAGGACGCCGAGGAGAAGGTGAAGGCGCTCGAGGCCGAGCTCGCCGCCGTGCAGGCCGCGAGCTCTTCCGCTGCCGACGACTCCAAGCGCGCCGACGATGCCGAGGCCAAGGCCAAGGCCCTTGAGGGCGAGCTCTTTGCCATCAAGCAGGAGCTTGACCTGCTGAAGGACAAGGTGCGTTATCGCATGTCGGACGAGGGATCGGCCAATGCGCGCCAACCCTTAGCGTTACTGTCACAATGACAGAAGGAAGGCTGACAGCACAGGTCGCCGGCCTCGAGAAGGAGCGCGCCGCCGCCGTCGAGGAAGCCAAGAAGGCCCACCAGGAGGCTGAGGCCGCCACCAAGGAGGCCGACAACGCACACAAAGAGGCCGAGGCTGCGCACAAGGAGGCCAAGGCTGCGCACGACGAAGCCACCGCCGCTCACCAGGAGGCCGAGGCCGCGCAGAAGAAGGCAGTCGCCGCTCACGACGCCGACGAGCAGGCCAAGGCTGCCGCTATTGCTGAGGCTGCCGCTGCCAAGGAGGCTGTTGCCGCCGCCGAGAAGCGCGCCACTGAGGCCGAGGCTGCTGCCGCTGCCGCCGCTGCGGGTGTCGCCGAGGCTGCCAAGGCCAAGGAGACTGCCGCTGCTGCCGAGCTTGAGGCTGCTGCCGCTGCCGCTAAGAAGGAGCTCGCCGCTGCCGTCTCCGAGAAGGAGGCCGCCGTTGCCGAGGCCAAGGCTGCCAAGGAGGCCGTTGCTGCCGCCGAGAAGAAGGCTGCCGACGTCGAGGCTGCTTCCAAGGCCGCTGCCGAGGAGGCCGCCGCTGCCTCCAAGAAGGCTTCTGAGGAGGCTGCCGCCGCCTCTGCCAAGGCCGTCGAGGATGCCAAGGCCGAAGCCGCGGCCGCCACTAAGCGTGCTACCGACGCCGAGGCCGCATCTGCTGCAGCCGCCGAGTCCGTCAAGGAGGCCGCTGCCGCCAAGGAGGCTGCCGCTGCCGCTGCCGCCCAGGTCGAGGCCGCCAAGAAGGAGGCTGCTGAGGCCAAGGCCGCGCTCGAGGCTGCTCAGAAGGAAGCAAAGGCTGCGCAGGAGGCGCTCGCTTCCGCCAAGGAGGGCAGCGCCGCGGCCAAGGAGGCCGAGGCTGCTTCGCAGGAGGCCGAGATCCAGAAGCGCATCGACGCCGCCGTTGCCGACTGGAACCAGAAGCACCAGGAGCTGCACGCCGAGTATGAGACGATGAAGAAGCAGCAGGCCGAGTTCCTCGCCGAGGCCACCAAGTGGTAATATGTTAGTAGACCCCACCTTACACTTTTACATTTCTACACTACGGAGTCAGTAGTTGTATGCACATCAGTCACATTCCGGAGCAGCGTGTGTGTGGATGCGTCGGTGTCACAACATGTCATAATGAATTGTAGAAATACAGTAGTGGTGGTGGTAAAGTCCTCGGCCCGCATAGCATGTGGCAATGTGGGCAATGCGCGATAAGCAAGAGCATTTAGAAGGAGAAGATGCCGGCGCCGCGCCGCTTCGACCCGCCGAGCGGGTGCATGACGACGGCGGCGACGAAGAGGCCGACGGTGAGGCCGATGGCGACACTGACGAGCTGGCCGGCGACCTTGAAGCCGGTCGACCACTGAGTGACGCTTCCCGCGCCCGTGTCGTTGGCAAAGTTGAACAAGCCACCCTCTTTGAGACCCGAGGGGAGCTGCATAAGAATACCGGTGACCATGACGGGGAAGCTGGCGCCGTTGCTGAGTCTTCCGTAGAGGTTCCCGAGGATGCCGATACAGAACGAGCCGATGGCAGAGACAATGTCCGAGCGGCCCGGGAAGGCCCGGCCGGCGAAGTAGTTGGTCACCCAGCCGGCGCAGGCGAACGCGACCATGATCGGCAGCTCGCGGCCTGAGCGGCGCAGCGGCTGCTGGAGGTTGAGCGAGAGGAAGAGGGCGAATGTCGGCACCGTCAAGAAGTACCAGTACGGGCTGGGCGCGGAGAGGTACCATGGCTGGCCTTCGTACCGCATCGCGGAGCAGGTGTTGTTGGTGGCGTTCTCGACCTGGAGGCCGCGGATTTTGACGTATACCTCGGAGCCGATGGAGATGCCAAAGCCGAGGAAGAGGGAGTAGATGACGCTGTATCCCATGCGCACGGCGCCGGCGGTGATGTTGCGCGAGGCGAGCTCGAGCGCGCCGGAGAGCACGATGAAGCCGGGGAGGATGAGCACGATCCCGCCGCTCACGAGCGCCGTGTAGCAGAAGTAGTGGGTGGACGCGAGGACGGCGGCGAGGAAGCTGATGACGGTCGCGATGACGATCTCGAAGACGCCCCCGAAGAGGTCGTTCTTCAGCGCGATCAGCTGCACTGCTTGCAGGAGCATGCCGAGCGGCGCGGCCATGAGTGCGTCGAGGAACGAGCCGAAGTACGACGTGATCACGATAATGCCGGAGCAGAAGCCGGCGATGAGGATCATCTGCCATGCGTTGTAGCATGGGCGCGTGGTCATGAGGCGGTCGAGCTCGCGCCCCGCGTCCTCCACGCTCATCTTGTCGTGCACCACCGCCCAGTAGATGTTGTGCGTCGTCAGCAGCTTGCCAAGGTCGACCGTGCCGGCCTGCTTCATGAACTTGGTCTCGGACGTGTGCGTTGAGTCGTCGGCGAACGAGCTGGCGTCAGCGCTGTTGTTGGGGGCGGCTTACATCATGACGATGTTGGGCAGGTAGACGACCTGGACGGAGATGTCGAGCACGCGCGCCGTCGCCTGGATCTGCGTTTCGAGGCGGTGCGTCGGGCTCCCAAACATCATGAGCGCGCGCGCGAGTTTCATGATAAACTGTTGGCGATAGAGGATCGCCGCCACATGCTGGATTATGTACACTTCCTGCTTCTTGCGCGCCTCTTTCGCCTTCTTGCGGCGCTTCTTCTCGCTCTCCCACTCGCGCCGCCGGCGCTCGTCCTCGGCCTGCTCGGGCGTCGAGGGCCGCTCCTTGCGCGCGGCAAGGATGGGTGCGCGCGGCCGCCGCCGCTTCATCTCGACGAGGTTGTCGCTCGACGCAGCGCGCTCGTCGACACTCGACGGGTGCGTGCGCGGCGACTCGTGTCCCAGCGGACTGGACGGGCGGGACATGACGAAACTCGCGCGCGGCGACGGCAGCGGGCTCTCCTTCAACGAGTACCGGTTGAGGTGGTACCCCCGCTTCGTGGCGGCGGGTACGAGGGTCGAGGACGCCGGGGCGGCGGGGGCCGCCATCGTCGCCGTGTTCGCGACGAGGGCGCCGAAGACGCCCGCGCCAGAGCGCGCCTGCCGAGGCCGGTCGTCGCGCAGGTCGTTTACGACACGCAGGAGCGACTGCGCGGACTTGTTGCGCCGCATCTCGTCTGGCGTGCCTGTGCGCGGCGGGGTGCCGCTCGTCGAGCGCCGCCACGGACTCTTGGAGCGCTTGCGCCCCTCCTTGCGCCCGCGCTCGGGCGACTCGCGGTCGGGCGACGGCGGGCGCGAGTTTGCCGGCGTGGACGCCGCTGACGCCGGCATGCTGTCCAGCTGGCGCTGTGTGCTGTACAGCGCAAGCAGGGAGGACAGCACCGATGTGCCTCCTGGCAGTTGTGGCATCCCAAGCTGTGGCTGGGGCGGTGCCAGGGGTGGGTTGGCTGAGGTGCGCGGCTCATTGCCTTCAGCGTGCTCGCCGACCGTGGGCAGCTTGTCGAGGTCTTCGAGCTTCTCGTGCTCCCCGTCTCTCCCTTTGCGCGTCACCGATCCGCTGCGCACGCGGCGGCGCAGCGAAGACCACCGCCCCCGCTTGCCGGTGTGCTCGCCCACCAACGCTGCGGCGTCATCCTCCGGCCTATAGGTCGGCAGGCCGTCCGTCTCGCCGAGCTGGACGTGCTGGCTGACGTGATCCGCCCCCTCAGGCTTGAGCAGCCGGTGGATCGTCATCTCCTCCCCCGCCGGTGTATCCCCTGGATCAGCGTCGACGCGGTAGCCGTAGTCGTCGAGACCTTGGAGGGCACGGTTTACAGCGCCCAGGTCCGGGGTACGCTTCTGCCCGCGCCCGGGCGCCGCGTGCTCGTGCCCGTGCTCGTGTCCGCGCTCTTGCTCGGGTTCGTGCAGTGTGTCGCTGTCCTTCTCGGCCATGTCAACAACATGCCCCGTGTCCCACTGCACGCGGCGCCGCGGCGTGTCTTCGGCGCCCATGTGCGCAGGAGGGGGCTCGCGCGGTGGCTCAAACGGGTTGTCCGCGATCATGGTATCGTGTATGTTGAGATGTAAACATGAGGATTTGCGTTGGAAGCATCAGGCTGGTGCGGTGAGTCATGTGGAGCGGCGGTGGTGGCTGTGGTCTGGGCCTAAGGGTCAAGCGAGCTGCGCGTTGGCGGGGAGTCGATTAGAAATTTCTAGTTTGGGGCAATAGTAGTGCAATTATGTCACGGATTAGGGACGGAGTGGTGGCGGAGAAGTACGGCAGTCGGCACTAAGCGAGGACGGCAGCGGGAGGGGTACAGAGGGCAGATGAGTAGTCGTCTCGGTCGGAACTGTTCCAGTGGATCCGAAGCAATGTGATCTGCAAGCTTCGAGAAGACGGAGAACAGTGCGGCTCCGATGTACAGGCGGACAGATTGCAGATTCGCCACCGAAGGAATCCTGATATCACTCGGCATGCTCGGCAGGCAAGGATTGCTGGAACACACAGAGCCACGTGAACATTACGTAAATATCGCGTGGTCGAGAACGGTACCAGATTGATCCCGGATACAAGAGGGGGGGTATCTTAATGCCCATAGCCGTAACTGGGGGGGAGCGTGTGATTTCTCCATTGGTAAGGAGGGAGGGTCGTATAGCTTATGACCGTGGGCATGAGCGTGTGTGACTTCTTTCTGCTCCCGCTCTCATGAACACATAAGCCACCGTCTCCGCAACTCCATCCTCACTTCGCACTTCACACAACATCACAACTCAAACACCCAAACACATCCACTCACCTTCATCATCCACCCACCACCCACACTCTGATCTTGTGATTTTTGTGCACTTGTCACCTCGCCATTCGTACCCCCACGATGGTCGACACCGTTGACAAGACTTTCGCGACCGCGCTGGACACCCCAGCGCCCGCGCTCGCCGATCCCACTCACAACCGAACACCTCCCTCCAGCACAGCCAAGCTCGCTGCTATCTCTCGCGTGTCCAGCACCCCAAGCCCACGCGTCTCGCACCTCGAGATGCGCCGCACCGTCTCGTCTCGGAGTCCGTTCCGCGAGCCAGCTCTGGAGGCCTGGAGCGGCCTTCCCAAGACCCAGAGCGACGCCGGCTCCTGCCATCGCTCAGCCCACGCTTCTCCCAGCTCGCCCTTGACTGCCTCGTCTCAGGAAGTTCAGCCCGTCGCCGAGCCCACTTCCTCTCGCAAGGAGTCCGCCTCTTGCGGTCTTCCCCACCCGACCAACATCACCGGCTCGAACAGTACGAGCCAGGACCCTCAACCCCCCCGCCCCGAGTCGTCACTTCGCTCCTGGCTGAAGTGGGGCAAGGAGCCCAGCTTCCTCGAAGAGATTGGCGATGAAACTTACGACGATCTCGATGCTGCCGTTGCATTCAAGGCCATGAAGTTCCCCGCGCCGCTGCTGTATGGTACGGACGACAGCCTTGACGAGTCCCAGTCCCTCAAGTCGCCCAGCGACCACTCCCGCTCACCCGTCGTCATCGCCTCGATGGAGGAGCGTGTGTGCTCTAAGCCGTCCATCCCTCCTCCTCGTGTCGTCAAGCGCCTCTCAAGCAAGGAGTCGACGTGGGTGCCGGGGGACGCATGTCCTCAGACTGAGACCGTGGACGACTGTGAAAACCTGCACAGCCCTAATCACGTGGGCAATGTGAACGACAATGCCCCGCAGGGCAAGGCTCACGGCTCTTCAGGAGTGGTAAACACTTCTCTGGGCTGGGGCATCCCCTCTATTCCGTGGGACGGAGTGGACGCGAGCCGCCTCGCTTGGATCGAGCCCGACCTCCTCGACGCTGGCAGCTTCCGTCTGACGCCGCCGCGCACCCGGCCATCCGCCCGCGCCATCTTTGACGAGAAGGAGACCTCCTTGTCGCTCGAGAGGAAGGCGTACCTGCAGGGAAGCTTGCTGGGCGACGGGCTGAACAACTTCGAGGAGCAGCTCGCTGAACTCTCTGACTGGGAGGACAGCATGATCTCGTCTCCTCCGGCCACCAAGGCCTCGCCCGCGAACAAGCTGGACAACGCTGCCAGCAAGGACACGCTTAGCCGCGCTCGCCGTCAGCGTGGGTCGAGCGACAACGCCGACACCACCATCGAGTTCAAGGCGAACGGAAGCTTGCTTGGCGATGGCCTGGGCAGCTTTGAGGAGCAACTCGCCGACCTCTCTGACTGGGAGGACAGCCTCACCTCATCTCCTCCCGCTGAGAAGACGTCTCCCAAGACCAAGACGGACAGCCCCGCAAACAAGCCCAGCCCAAGCCGCATTCGCCGCTGTCGCGCAGCGAGGGACGAGGACACTACCATCGAGTTTAAGGCCCACGTCCACGGAAGCCTGCTGGAGGACGGGATCACCAACTTCGAGGACCAGCTTGCAGAGCTCTCTGACGAAAGCATTCTGTGGCACCTTCCGCCCCGGTATGTTCCACCCGACATGAACGACGAATCTGCGCGTGCACTCGCTGCGGCGGAGGCCGCAGCTGTGGTTGCTATCAAGCGCTACATTGCTATGCTCAACCGTCACCAGGACGCTACGGGCACAACCGGCTCGCAGCGCTCAGAGAGCCCCGCGTCAGGCCTCACGCGCACCAGCAGCGGAAGTTCGACTGCGCGTGAGTGTTCCAACTCGAGCGACAGCGCCCGGACAGTCAGCTCTTGCAGCACTGGCGTCCAGCGGTCGAACAGTGGTGGTGCGCTTCAGAGCGAGCGCTCCTCCTTCGGCGCCCAGAAGCTCGAGAGCATGCGTCCCGTTCAGCGGTCCAAGAGCAGTGGAACGCTCCCGCGGGAGCAGGCCTCCTCGGGGACCCAGAAGTCCAACTGCACCCGCCCCGCCCAGTCCGGCGCCCGCCCCGCTTCGGGTGTTCAGTGCACCAACAGCGGTCGCGTTCTGTCCCGCGGAGTGCCGGCCTCCTCCAGCGGCCGGAGCGTGGCGTCCAAGACCGCACCGCGCCGTGACTTGCCCGATGTGCCACTTTCGATGCGTGCGAGGGTGCAGGAGCGCCGGGGCATCGCCCCCTCCACCTCGTCCGAGGACAGGTGGGCCAACGCAGTTGAGCGCGACCCTAAGCCCGTGGCCACCGCGCCGGCCGCTGCGCCGCGCGGCATGACCTCAAGCGCCAGCACCCGCCGCTTGAACCCTGGCCCGGGCCTTACCCGCACCAACACCGTGCGCTCGATCGGGGATGCCACCGGCCCCGCTGGCGCGGCCGCGCGCCCCCTCGCGCGCACCAGCAGCGTGCGCCAGTCACTGGGCGTCGGAGCGGCCACTGAGGCCCGTGCGCGCGCCTTAGCCCCTGCTTCGACGACCCGCACTGCGGTGCAGCGCGCCGCGGACGCACGCAGCATGCCGCCTCCGCCAGTCCCTAACCGCGCCGTGCAGCGCACCAGCCTCGCTCCCGCCGCGAAGGTCCGCGCGCCCATCCCGTCGCCCCCGAAGCCGGCGACGGCGCCCCGCACTTCGTTGGCTGCCCGCCAGTCGCTCGCGCCCCGCCAGCCTCTGGCAGCGCGTCAGTCGCTCGCCCCAACTATCCCTAAGTCGTCTTCCCGCCCGTCGCTCGCTGCGGCCGCGGTTATCCCGAAGACCAACTCGCGCTTGTCGCTCGCTGCGGCCGCGACAACCGCCAAGCCGGCTCCCCGCACGTCCCTTGCGCCCGCCGCCCGCGTTCCGGGCGCTCTCCCACGCTCGAGCTCGCGGCCCTCGCTCGCCCCGGGCACTGCGGCCCCCAAGCCGGCCGCGCGCCAATCGCTTGCGCCGAGCACCACTCTCCCCAAGCCGGCTCCGCGCCACTCGCTTGCGCCCGCGAGCCGCGCCTCCCTCGCCCCGTCGGCGAGCCGCACCTCGCTCGCGCCGCGTCCCGGCGTCCGCGTGAAGGCGTCGGCGCCGCCGACCCTCGAGCGCATCCCCGCCGGCGCGACCGGCATGCGCTCCTCGCGCCCCTCCACCCTGGCGCCCGCTGCGGCGGGCCGAGCGCGCGCTGCCAGGGCGGTGTAACTTGTCTCGTGTTGTGAACTGTACGAAGTTGTTGATTGTCTATTGGGTTGTGTCTATTGAGTTGTGTGCAGAATACCTTAGCATAATGTTCCAGTATATCCAGTATGTCATTGTTGTTTCTCCCGGGTGCGATGTGGCGAGCGAACATGAGGCGACTTAGGATCATCGCTCATCTCTGATGATCGACGGCCGAAATCCGATTGCCGATCACGATCTGCGATCTGCGTCCCGATCGTCCCGACCTCGGTGACAGCCCGAGCGACGGATGACGTCGACACGGCACGAAAACAGTCGGCGGGATACTACAGCGTGGACTTGCGGTCGCGCTCATCGTTCTCACCGATTCTCGCTCTACACTCGCGCTCGACACTCGTGCATCGCATCGCGACCACACCCCCGTACCTCCATCCTCGTTCTCCGTCACGCGCGGCGACGTCCTCATCAATCCCTACTTCGCCAGCACTCACTCGTCACTCCACCCTCGCCCCGCTCTCCCAATCTCATGCCAATCCTCCGCAAACTCTTCGGCGCGGGCCTCGCCGGCGCCGCCGGCGCAGGCAGCTACATCGCCTACCTGACACACAAGTACCCGCTGGCCGGCCCGTCCGCCTACCACCTGACGCCTGAAATGCTCGCGTCGTACCTGGACGGACAAGGGCGCGCAGACGTCGTGTATGCGCGGGTACGCAACCCGTCCGCGGCACAAGCGGCGAACGCGCGAGACGCGGGGGTGCGCGCGTTCTTCTCGTGCTGGGCGCTGCAGCTCGAAGGCGCGCTCTTCGGACACGAGGGCATCGCGTCGCCGCTGCCGCTCGGCGCGGACCCGGCGTGGGCGGGCGAGAGCTATCTCCACGGATTTTTCCGGACGCTGCACAAGAGCCCCGAGAGCGTCGTGCTCTTCTTCAGCTTCCCGGGGCGCGGCGCGCCCGTGCTCCGCCACGCGACGAAAGGCCGCATCCCTCAGGGCACGCAGGTCGTGTCCGCCCTCCAGCATCCGGATGGGAGCGGGGACCTCGAGATCGCGTACGGGTGCGCGCAGTACCGCGAGCCGTACGGCGTCGAGGACGGCCCGGTTATGAGCTTCCTCCACCACACGTATATGCGGTATCTTATCGAGCGGATGCGCGCGAATATGCAGCGCGAGGCGAATGCTGCCAAGTAGGGGTCACATAATCCCAGAATGCATACAGATCTAGTCCCACCGAGTCTGGTGTTAGCTGGCGGCAGAAATGAGGACCCACCTCAGGATGCGCCTTGAACTCCTCGTACGCCTGGCGATTGAAGAACGAGAGCTCGGTCTCGTTTTCTGGTGTCAGCGGCCACAGGATATGACAACTTTTGCTCATGACTCGGCGTGTAGCGCGCCACAGCATCGAGAACGCGCTGTCGCTGCGCCCGTCCCACGCGCACTCCAGAACTCACCACACCCAGCGTCCGCTAGAGTCTGGTCCATATCACTCAAGATCCACTCGTCGTGGTCGAGGTTGATGATAAGGTTCTGGGTCTTGTGCCCATGCGCCACCGTGTACTTCTTGATCGTGTCGAGCGACACGGTGCGGTAGTGCTTGAAGCCGACTTGGGATGCGACGGCTGGTGTCAGGTGGTTATCAGGGAGAGGAAGACGGGGACGAAGACTCACCCTCACGACACTTGTCCATCAGCTGCCCGACCGTGGTCGTCGTCAAGTCGATGTCGCGGAGGACGAGGTTCTTGGCTGTGCGGAAGGGAAAGTTCTTGATGATGCGCACGGTGAGGACGGCCGAGGTGAGGGGGCGGAGCTCGGTGACAAGGGAGGTTGGGGAGGTCATGGTGGGGGGGGGGGGGGGGGGGGGGGGGGGGGGGGGGGGGGGGGGGGGGGGGGGGGGGGGGGGGGGGGGGGGGGGGGGGGGGGGGGGGGCGCCGGAGGGGCAAACGGGGAGGGGAGGAGGAGTGAAGAGGGATAAGTGAAAGTGAGAATAGAGTATGGAGTCGACGAATGAGAGGGATGAGAACGAGCGCAGAGGACGGAGCGCGAGAACCGTGACGACGATGAGGGATGTGCTGAACTTCGGTTGAGTGGCAAAAGCTCGAAATTTAGGCCCCGACCTGCATGTCAGGCACACACGCGACTCTCTCCAATCCTCCTTCCCAATTGCTGCATACACATAACAGCGTCCGTACAAACTACAAGCCCTGGCGGACATGAATGAAAGGTAATGGAATGACAACGGCTGGTATCGCGGATGCTCGGAAATCTATTCAGCCTTGAGGTGGCCGACCATGGCGGGCGGCCCGTGCCCGTTCATGTCGCGGCCATACGCGTCCATCTCGGCCACCTTCTCGTCGACTGTGCCGTAGTTGGCCGGGGGCGCGGTGACGGGGCCGAGCATCGCCTCCTTCTCGCTCAGCGCCTTCTCGTCGCTCACGACCGGGTGCGTTTCAGGGTTGACGACGGCGTTGTCGAACAGTGCTGGCCGCGAGGAGATCGTTGGTGATGTCTGGATCGCAATGGCGTGCGCCTCGCTGTCGTGCCGCTGCGCGATCACCGTAGGGTCGCGCCCAAATGAGGCTGGCGCACAGGCCGGCGGGTTCATCGCGCCCACAGGCGACCCGGCGCACTCTGGTGGTGGCTCGAGGCCCTGCGGGCGCAGCTTTACATCGCCGCCACGCATCACACTCTGGAGGAAGTCGAAGAAGCGCTGCCCATATACGTCTGGCTGGACGCACGAGATCGTAACGGGGTTCTCGGTTACGCTCTTCCACGCGTGCTCGACGCGCTTGCCGAAGTTGTAGGGCGTGCAGATGTCGATGATGCCCAGGTAATAGATAATGTCCATGGGCATGTTCTGCTCGTCGGTTGCCTGCATGCCGCCCTCGTCCTGGTAAAAGATGAAGTGGCGGCGGTCGGGCGCGCCTTCCTCAGGCAGACGCATATTCACGCTCGCATCGAGCATGCTCTTCGGGTCGGACCGCGTAACAGCGCGGCGCACGCTGTGCGCCTCGGCGTGGCTCTTGACAGCGCTTGGCTTGCGGTTCACAACCGCCGACTTGGAGGTGTCCGGGTTGAACACGCGGAGCTTGGTCAGACGCAGATTGTCGCGGTTACCGCGCTCCATATTGTGGATGCCCACGAGCAGCGAGTAGTCCATGACGTTGATGCGTCTAAGGAACTCCATGTCGCGGCGCAGCTGCTCCGTGAACAGTGCGCGCTTCTCGGGACCAAACTCGAATGTGCGGCCTCTGTTCACCCAGTTGATGTCTTTGAGCACCGCGCGTGGGTTCATCTTCGCCTTGTCCTCGGGGTATTCGCGTCCAAAGGCCGAGCCCTTGAGGTCGTACGTCTCGTGGATGTCGCGGTGCGGCGGGAACAGATTGTTCATGATGACGAAGTGGATTTTGCGACCACGGGGCATCTTGACACGGTGCAGGCCGTAGAAGCGCGACAGCAGCGTATGCGGGTTCGCACGCACATGCTCGTGGTAGTCCTTGAGGATCGAGCGCAGGAAGTTGTGCTCGCGGTGCGAGATCGTCTTGATGATGAATCGGTAGTCGCGCGAGTAGTAGAAGAACGAGCCCGACTTGCCCGGCGACCCTATCTCGGACAGGATGTACTTGGCTGTGAGAGACAAGAGGTAGTCGGCGGGGTCGAGATGGAAATGGTCGTCACGCAGCTCGCGGAATACCCATGGCGCATAGTCCTTGAACTTGAAGTCGTACTTTGCCGAGGGCGTGAGCTCGTTGCCCAGCATGTCAAACGAGTACTTGTGGCGCGCGAGGTAGTCTTCAGCAGTGAGGGGCCGGCGGATCTTGGCCTGGCAACGGGACACAGCGACACGGATACCCGTGAGCATGTTGTACATGAGCACATAGTTTCGGTGGCCCTCGCCGACGAGATTGCCGACGAGCACCTTGGTCTCCTCTGTTTCACGGCGCTTGACAGCCGTTTTGACTTCAACGGGGGTGCTGGCGGATGGAGCGGGCTGGGGAAGCTCTGGGGCGGGGGTGGGAAGCGGGGATGTAACGAGCAGGCTCATCTTCTTCTGTCTACGCTCCAACCTCTCTCGACGGATGACGTCCGCTTGCGCGAGGATGTCTGGAGCCAAGTTGAAGTCGTCATACTTGCCAATAGACGACGATGGGCCATGGCCAGAAATTGAGACTGAATGTGTCAACGGCCGGCCGGAGAGTGGTGAAGGCGAAGCCGTGGTGGGGTTGGTATTGCGGCGCTGCATGCCTGGCCGGGCAGATCCGGGGGACGACGAAGTAGGTGACTCGGACAAGACACCAGCAGAGAATACAGTGTCGGTGGGAGGCGCGCGGCGGAGGTGGTCGTCACTGGTCTCGATGGCAGGGAGTGCGCGGCGCTGGGCGCGCAATTCTGGGGATGAGGCCGGGGGAATGACGGCGGGGGACACCATGAGCGCACCTGTCGGCATGGGCACAGGCATGGACATTGGCGCGGGGGAAGGAGAGGGCGACATGTCACGCTGAGGCGCCAGTCTCCCGCTGCGTACCATGGAGAGTGATCCTGCGCGGCTTGATGTCGAGCCGTTAGACACGCGACGCTGGCTGGTCACACCGAGGTAAGGAGCAGAAGGAGGACGTTCTCGGCTTGTTGCTCGAAGCGAGGAACCTCCGGGGGTGGCTTGCGCCACGTCTTTCAGCTCGCGGTTGGCTTCCTCCACCCCAGCCATACCGCTATCTGGCAGCCCACTGGCATGGAACGCTGAAGGCGGCGGCGTGTCGACGAGAGCGTGCTTGGACTCGCCAGCTTCAGTGACGGGCATCAACGATGCGGTAGCGCGCTCGGGCGTCCCTGGTCGAGCCTCGTAGTGTGGGTTCGGCGGAGGAAGATCAATGGTTCCTTCCGTCACGGCAATGCTTGGCGCATAGTCCGTGCCGACGTCGTCGCCACCCACGTCGCTTAATGGAGGGCTGGGAGGTGGGCCTTGCATGACTGGGGAACGGCGTTGAGGAGACATGTTGAGGTTGGGAGCAAGACGCGCAGCCGCAGTCTTAGGGAGTGGTGGGACAGGAGGTGGAGGGGAAGAGGAACGAGCTGCGTCGTCGCCGCGCCGGAATACTTGCGAGACCTTTTTGATGATTCGACGGGGCCCGTTGTCATTGTTCGCGCTGGGTGATGGAGAGCGTTGTGGGGGTGGAGAGTGGGAGAGAGTGGATGCGAATTGTGGGCCTGGAGGGGAGTGGGAGCGGGCGCGCACGCTCTGGAAGTCGTCGTCGCTGTCCGCGTCCGAATCTTCGTCCGACGTGTCCGAGTCCTCCTCGTCGTCGCTGTTGGCCTCACCGGTGGCCAGGCGCTGCAGATGCGGCGGAAGGGGAGGGAAGAGCTCGTCTGATCCGCCGTGATGCAATAGGTACTGGGGGTTTATGCGCGGAGGCGAGCTCGCACCTGTGTGTTAGTTGAGCGCATTGATGAGAAGCCGACAGGGAGCGCCGTTCGCGATCAATACTTACGCGCCGCAGATGGAGACACCCAGCCGCCATTTTCTGCGTGATGGTCATCGCGTGTTGAATGGGATGGAGACGCGGGCGCCGGCACGGGCACGGGCGCGGACGGGGCGTGCACCGCCATGGACTGAGGCGTGTGTGGATGAGGCGGGGGCGGAGGGGCGGATGGGCGAGCAGTGATGGCGCGAGGAGCGAAGAGGGGAGGAAAGGGGGTTCGCTGTTGGTGTGTACGTCGAGGGCGAGGACGAGCGATAGATGAGAATGAGTGAGGATGATTGCAGAATCGAGTTGAGGTGTTGCAGCGAGGTGTTGGTGGATTGTGGGTGGCCAGACGGCCAGGGTAACGAGGGGACGGCGGCGGCGGGGGGAGACGGCAAAGGGGCCAGACCCAGGGTTATCGACTGCGCAAATTGGTTAAACAAAACTAGTCTATTGCGCGGGCCCTCGGCCAAGCAGTGTCGAATTCAATGCGAAACAAGAGGCGTTGAGGTGATAAAGAGCCAACGAGAAGGGAGATGCAGCGAGTGGATGTGTCGTGGAGACGTCGAGAGGGAGTATGGTCGTGAGAGCGATACGGGGGCATGGATGAGCGTGGCTGGTAGAGATGACTGAGACGACTGGGCGGCTGGGCGGCTGGGAAGCCGCTGCCGGTCCGTGTCACGCGTCTTGTTCGCTTCCTATTCGCGTCATGGCCTTCATTAGCGGCACAAATCAATTCCTAATAACTCATTACACTTGGGTGTCAGCCATGTGGCAACCATATGGTTTGATACCGCCCTGATTCGTTACTCACTCTCCACCTCCACTTTCTTGACATCACTCTTCTGGATTCTTCAGCACTCGGCCACTCATGCGCTGCTCCTCCGTCTCCCGCCTCGCGCTGGCCGCCGGCCCCCGCGCCGCGCCGCAGCCCCTCCGCTCCGTGCTCGAGATCACGGGGCCGGACGCGAAAAAGTTCCTCAACGGGCAGATGTGCAAGAACGTCGATGCGCTCGGCGGCGGCTATTCCGGGTTTTTGAACGCTAGCGTGCGCCCCCCCCTCCCCCCGCGAACGAGCTGACAGCAGGGCCGCGTCCTCCACACCGTCTTCTGCATCCCCTCCAAGCCCAACACATATCTCATCTCGCACGAGAGCGGGCCGGGGCACATCGCGCCGCTCGCCACGCTCCTCCCCCCCTTCCGCCTACGGTCCAAGATCAAGATCCGCGACGTCACGGACGAGTGGGACGTGTGGAGTGCGTGGGGGGGCGAGGCGCCGGCGCCGGCGCCCACGAGCACATGGCGCTTCGGGAGCGGGGGCGCCGCAGAGCGGATTTGGAGCTGGGAAGGGGAGATGGCGCCGCTTGGGCTCGCCGACGCCGAGGTCGGGTGCTGGGACTTACGGGCCGGCTTCGGGCCAGCAGGTATGGGGAGGCAGGTGTTCGTGCCGAAGGGCGGCAAGCCGTCGCTGCTGTCGAGCCACGACCTGGCAAGCACGGACGAGTACAACCTCCGCCGCATGGTGCTGGGCGTGCCGGAAGGCAGCGCGGAAGTGATCCCGGGCTCGGCGCTGCCGCTCGAGAGCGACATGGACATCCACGGCGGCGTGGACGTGCGCAAGGGCTGCTACCTCGGCCAGGAGCTCACGGTGCGGACCTACCACACGGGTGCGACACGGAAGCGTATTTTGCCAGTGTACTTGTATCCGCTGGAGGCGGGGCCTGGGGCGCTGTCTTCGTCGGCGCTCACCGTGGATGACGTGAGCTCCCTCCCCGCTCTGCCCCCGCTCAAGGGTGGTGCGCAGCGCGTCGACATCATGTATACGCCTCCGGCAGGGGCAGCGAGCAAGAAGTCGCGGAGCGCCGGCAAGCTCCTGGCGCTGTCGGACGCGGCGCCGGGCGTCGGGCTCGGCCTCGTGCGCCTCGAGTGGGCCGGGCGGACATGGGACGGCGAGGGGACGCTGAGTGTGGAGGTAGACGGCGCGAAGTACGGCGTGTGGGTGGGTAAAGGGGAGGCGTATGCTGCGGCGCTGGCAGCGACGCCGCCGCCGCGGGTGCACGACGACGAGGAGGACATGGCGCATGTCGGACCCTAGGCGGGGTTTGGAGAAGCCACTGCATCAGAAGCATATGCATGACATTTCGCGGCGTTGTAAGGGGTGGCTGCCACAAATCTCAGAACCTCCACCCGGTGCCCCGCCGAACTTTGTCAACTTTCCAAACTCGACATCACACCTTTCGCCACTTTGCGCATGTCCGACCCCGCCGCATCAAAGCTCGCCCGCGAAGAGGGCAACGCGCACTTCCGGCGGGGCCGCTGGGCCGACGCGGCCGCAGCATACGGGCGCGCGATCGCAGCGGACGAAAACGACGCGCTGCCGCGCGCGAACCGCGCCATGGCGTGGCTGAAGCTCGAGCGGTGGGTGCATCGAGCTCCATGGAGGCTTGCATGGAGTTGCCGCGACCTGCTCGCGGTGGATGAGATGTCTATGCGTCGCCTGCTCAGCTGTCTGCCGCTGACGCCAGATACGCCGCCGCGGCCGCGGACGCAACCGCCGCGCTCTCGATCGACCCGGCCCACCTGAAAGCGCGGTACCGGCGCGCACTGGCCCGGCGGGGGCTGGGCGACCTCGACGGCGCCGTGGCGGACCTCAGCGCGGTGCTTGCGCGCGGGGACAACCCGGCGGCGCGGGAGGAGCTGGGCGAGATCCACGCCGAGATCGTGCGGGCGGGGCGGGCGCAAGCGGCGGGGAGGGTCAAGGCGGAGGCGGAGGCTGAGGCGGGAGCTGAGGCGAGAGAAGTGGAGGCGGACAAGGTTCGGGTGGAGGACGCGGCTCGGGAGGACGCGGCTCGGGCGGAGCACAAGCCTGAGGCGGAGCACGAGCCTGAGGCGGAGCACAAGCCCGCCGAGGACAAGGCGGAGGCTCGAGCGAGTCCAGCGCCCCGAGCGGCGTCTGCGGCGAGCTTCGCGGCGCTGCGCGGGAAACGCGACGCGCGCCCGGCGTACGCTTTGCAGGCGGGCCTAACGGCCGTATCCACGAAGATGACGCCAAGGGGACAGTCCGCGCAGTCGCAGTCCGCGCCGGCCGGACCGACCTCCGTATCTCCCTCCTCGGCCTCGGCCCCGCCTCCCGCCGCGACACCTCCGCCCGCCTCGGCCCCGCCTCCCGCCGCGACACCGCCGCCCTCGGCCTCGCCCCCCTCAGCGCCCTCCACCTCCCCTCTGCCACCAAATCCCACCTCGACCGCCCCCGGCGCCGGCCTCGCCCTCCTGCGCGCGCTCCGCCCCCTCTCCCCATCGCAGCGATACGCCTATCTCCGCGCATACCCCGCGGGGGTCGTGCCCCGCATCCTCGCACCGACACTCGACCCCGAGGCGCTGGGGATGGTGCTGGGCGCGTTGTGTGCGGGCTCGAGTGGCGTGGGCGCGGGTGCGGACGGAGGAGGAGGGGAAGCAAAGTGGATCTACGAGATCATGGCGGGCCTGCGCCGCACCCCGCGCTGGCAGATCAACGCGGCGATGTTGAGCCGCGCCGAGCGGGCGGAGGGCGAGCGCGCGTGGGCGGCCGTGGGCGAGGGTGCGTATTGGTAGATCGCAGATCGTGGTCGTAGATCGTGGATTGTAGATCGATGGAGTGGGGCAGGAGAGGTACACGGATTCTGGCGAGAGGAGGGGATCCTGTCTGCAGCTCTGCGATCTGCCGTCTGCGCAATCTGCCTTCTGGCTCAAGGCTTCAAATGCGTGTGGACGTTGCGCAGAGCGGTCGCCAACCCCGCCTTCGCCGCCTTCGCCGCGCGTCCACCCCCCCCCCCGCCCTTGCCCTGCTCCCTGACAGGTCCAGCTCCAGCCACCGGCCACGAACAAAGTTCAGGAGACAGAGGATCAGGACGCACACGATCAGGACGCAGGACGCAGGACGCCGATCAGGACGATCAGGACGATCGGGCGACGGCATGCCCCCGGCCCTCCATTTGCATCCCTGCCAGTTCCCACGTTATCACCATGCTTATCGACCAGGGCGACGCTATCAAGATGCCGAGTGCTCCATCTCATGCCATGCCTCATCCCCTCCGCTTCACTCACCGACACGCCCTGACTGACGGCCGACTGCTCACAACTCAGATAACGACGCGCCAGGGGTCACAGGCTGATAGTGCCTTGCCTCCATCCAACCCAAATCCGCGGAATAATGCATGCCAGTTCTGAAAAAGCTTGCACAACTGGGGGTATCAGGTGTCGTTATTCACGTGTGACAGCCGTTCAAGTGTTCATGGGCGTCCAATCTACGTCTTGCTACGTCTTGCTGTAGTTGGTGTAGGTGTAGGTGTAGGTGGGTAGCTAGGTGGTGTGTATGAGCGGGAATCGATGATGGTCTTTGTGGATTTTAATGCAGAGAGGACTCTATTTGACGAGCGGAAGGAAGAAAAAGACCCAAAAGAAACACGGGGTGACAGCTTGCACGCGTGGATGCTGGCCAAAAGCTTGTCATCCGCATGGGAATCGTGCTCGTGGCGGTATAGCAAGTGGTGGCCAACTTGTTGCGGTACGAAAGCAATGGAGGGAGGTGCGGTGGTGGTGTGTGGATAGTGTGAGGTATGTGCGGTGGTGGATGTGGCGGTGGATGTGGATGGATGACGCTTGTGAGACAGTTCTTTACGGAGTGGCAGTAGTAATAATGAGAAGGCGGAGGGATATGCGGTCATATTCAATTGTTGTGACCTACAGAAAGCGTCAGTCTCCAGCAGAAGCGACTGAAGAGAAAAGAAAAACAAAAAAACTCACCCTTGACGTCGGCGGTTGTAGCAGAGGCGCGAGACGGTACGCTGTGGCCGTAACCGTAGCCACCGCCGTTCGAGTATGCGTACGACGGCACGCCAGCCGAGGCCGACTGTGCCGACGAGACGCTCGAAGGATCAACGACTCCCGCGGAGACATTGTTAGCCTGCGAAGTCGTTAGGCGACGGCGGGACACAGAGCTAGGAGAAGGCTCACGGGGAGCTGCGCCATTTCCACGGTAGCGCGGATCGAGGTCATCACCAGGAGTCGACGACTGCGTCCGGGGTGGGTAACCGTTGCTCATCTGCGGCTGCGTGGCGTAACCGCCAGCAGTCATCATCGAGTAAGAACCCGACTCACGCGAGTACGGCACCGCCCCGTTCTGCATGCCTGGGTACATGTGTTGCTGCGTGTGGTCAGGAGCGACCCCCTGCGAGTAGTACTGCGAGTGAGCGCCGTAAGGCGACGGCATGGTGCCGGGCGCGTAGCGGTAGCCCTGGCCGTACTGGCTCGCGCCGGGGTAGGCGGCGTAAGCGGGCGAGAAGGGCTGCGAGTAAAACTGCTGGTGGTGGGCGGCGGGCATTGACGATGCAGCAGAGTGACCGTTCACTGGCGACGCCACGCGGCTCGACTGCGCAGACTGGGCGGCGGCACCAGGCACAACACCAGGCGGGGGAAGGGGATAGCCAGACGGGTACCCGTACTGGTTGGGGTCGTGCATGTAGCCTCCGTATGGAGCCGACGCCTGCGTGGGAGTCTGGTACGGGGACTGGCCGTGAGTAACAGATGACCCGGCCGACGAGCTGGGGGTGCCAGCATTTGAGCCTTTGGACTTGCGAGGCTGGCGGCTGTTGGACGACTTGAGGCCGGCGGCCATCATCGCGGCGGCAACAGCCTGACGCGCTGCAGTTCCGGACCCACGACGCAGAGTGGGCGAAAGATGAGTGCGGTAGTGCTGCTGCAAGTTGTCCTGACGGCTGGTACGCGTCTCACAGCCTGGGTAGGGACATTTGAACGCCTTGATACCAGTGTGGATGCGCTGGTGACGCTGGAGGTGACCGCCAGTGGTGAAACCACGCTGACAGATGGGGCAGACATGAGGCTTTGGTTTGCCTTCAGCCGGCCCGGTAGCGCCGTTCTTGCCCTTTGTGGGCGGGGGCGGGGGAGGGCCTTGGGCAGGCGCGCCGTTAGCCCCGTCACCGGCTGGGACAGCCGATGGGGGTTGGTGGTCTGCGTCGTAGCCTCTGTTTGCGTCGTTTGGGGGCATGCCGAGCTGATGGGGAGGTCCTCCGACGGGCTGGCCGTAGTTGGACATTGGGTGGTGGGGGTTAAGGGCTGGTGGAAAAGGGCGGGACGGGTAGTCGCTAACTAGGAGCGATGAGTCTGTAGGGAGTGGGTGCGTTCAAGATGAGACGAGACGAGATAAAAATGGGACGTAAACGAAGACGGAGATGATGGTGACGAGCAACAGTGGTTAGGACAGGGGGGGGGGAGGCCGGAGGTACGGAGATGGGAGGAGGAAAGTCGATGAGGGAAATCAAAGGTGGATGGATGGTGGAGAGAGGGAGGGGCGCGTTAGGTGAGGGAAGGTGGGAGAGAGGGATTGGGTGGAATCAAGGTCGGGTGGTTGAAAAAAATGGGCCCGCCAATTAGAGGGTTGTTACCACCACACGGCCACAAGGGGTAAGCGCGGGCGGATGACCAAGGCCGATTCGGATCAAGTACCGCAGAGTTGCCGGTGTCGACGTGGATCCGTACAATGCAGTGATGGCAATGATATGCGTTGGATGCAAGTGACGGATTAAGAATGCAGGATGCAGGACAAGGATTGAGATGGAGGTGGAAAGAGATGACCGAGGCGTGAGGGAGAGGGAGAGGGAACAGTGACGACAAAAGGGTAACGGGAGCGAGGGCCAGAAGGGGACACCGGAGTTGTGTATAGTTGGAAGGATGGGGGTGACGGAGTGTATGAAATCGTTATAAATCGGGCGTCAGCCTACTGCAATTTCGGGGGCGAGACGAAGAGTGGGCATAATATATCAATTGGATGCGAGAAGACAACAACGCATAACGCGCCGCCACGAGCGGCTCTGTGCTCGCCACCATTGCCGCGGCTGTCGACAACAATGCCAACATCGGCAGCGCGAGGAGGGAGGGGGCTTGAACAAGCTTTGAAAAGGAAGGACGCGCCTGGCAGACAGCTCCCCCATCTGCCACGTCGTGCGAGTGGCGAGACTAGGAGGGACCTTCCTTGTCCGGTTGTCCCCGTCCCGCGTCGAGCGGTGGTAGCGCTGCTGGCAAACGACCACCGACACTGCTGCTCGCTGTCGCCGAGGCGGCGCGGCGCGTTGATGACAGGGGCCGAAGAGTGCGCCGTGGTGAAGTGAGGTGGCTCAGGTCCGCGGTCCAGGGCTAGGCCCCTAGATCCGCGTCCAGGTTGTCTCAACACATTAGGGAAAGATAAGATGCACGGATGGAGGATGGGCCATCGACGGCCGCCGATGCCGCCGGACTGGCGAGCATGCGTGCCGTGGTCGCGAGGGAAGGACGTACCAGGGGATGGAGTGGCAAAGGTTGATGAGTCAATTGTAAAAGCTGCGCCGAGCTGGGCGGGACCGGGAGCTTTGGAGATGGGATTGGATTTGGGGGATTGGATTAGCGGCCTTAGTTTGCAAGATGTGAATTGAGGGAGGGATGTGGGGAGTGCGATGAGGAGAATGTAGGAGATGGCAGGAGAGAGAGAGAGAGAGCAAGATGATAGCAGTGATTGAGATGGTGGTGGTGGTGAGTGGTGGTGAGTGGTGGGGGGGAGGAGGAGGAGAAGGAGGAAGGGCGATGACTCGGAGCGCGTTGCGGGGCAAAGTTTAGCGGCAGTGGCCGTGTGGCATGTGTTGAGTGGATTTGGGTGGGTTTGGGTGGACGGGGGTGGACGTGGGTGATGTGTGGGCGTTGTGGGCGGTGTGGACTGCGGCGGGATGAATTCACCCAGGCAGCAGGCAGGCAGCGGGCAGTAAGCAGCCAGTCACCTGTACTGTACAACGTGAGAGGATCCAGACGAGAGACAAGGGGACGAGGAGAGAGATCTCGCGGTAGAGTGCGGCTATCCACCGGGGGGGGGCGGGGGGAAAGGAGAGGCGGGGGAGGAGCACGCGCGTGCCAGCGTAAGAGAAGGCTCTCGGCATGCGTCGTTGGAGGACTGCTAGGCGATCAGACTCCGGCGTCAGAGCAGAGGAAGCGCTCAGAGGATCAAAGGCGAGGGCCAGGTGTGAGGCGCGCGGCGTTCGAGTTGGAGCTGGGCGGCCATGCGCGGGCTCAGAGATGACGGACGACCTTCCTCAGTGTGGTCGGATGGAGCTTGTGATATGCCCAATTCGGTCAACGCAGCAGGCACGCCTTTTCAGGGATGGCCATACCTCGTTGCGCGAACAGAGGGGCGCACTCGGGACTCGGGCCTTGGGCGTCCACCGGTTGAACCCTGCATGCGATCGGGCTTTCGCTTGATATATTGACCCTGGTAAATCGAGGGTGCTCACGGGTGCAAGTGGCTCCCTTCTTGCCGTCGCCCTTTGCGGCCTTTGGCTCATCTGGCTGGGTCGCGTGTTGGCACAGGGAGCATGAGGGCCCTCCCTTGGCTCTTCCCCTACACTTTGCCCTGGTCCCCCTGCCCACCGTTTTGGAGCCTCTGGTCCCTGTGCGCCCTGCAGTTGCAGGTCCCAAGGCCCCAACAAGAGCCAAGTATCGGCGTCCTCCGACTCCGCCTCCGCAGCATCTTTTCCTTCACTGAACAAATCCTACTCTCTCTCTCTCCTCACCTCCGATCTCTTCGATCTCTTCAACCTCCCCGTGTCATGGTGTCAGATGCAATCTCCCATACGCACATGTCATATGTGACGCGCGCGCCTTCTTCGCAGACCATGTGTCGTGCCTTCATACCTCAAACTCTGCATGACATCCCATCCTCCGCTTCCAACCAAACTCAACCACACCACCACCACCACCAGTAGTCGCCATGAGCCACTAGTAGTCGGTGTGAATGTGCCTCCATTCCACACCGTGACTGTAACACGCCTCCACGCCCGTGCCCAAGCTAAAGCCCAAGCCCAAGCCCACGCCGTAGTCTTGCTGACCTCACCAACACCATCCTCACTCTTACCATATCACCCAACTTCGTACGCCGCGGGCGCCGGGCATACCGCTCCCCTGGCCGCCGAACCGTCTTAGCCCCGTATCTCAGGGCGCCACTATTCATCCCTTCGGATGATCCCTAGACACCGGCGGAAGCCCTTCTCTGGCCACACCCCAAGCTCCAGCTGAGCCAAACCCAACCAGCCTCGGAAATTCCGCATCGTGGAGCGCGGAGCGAATGCCCGTGTTCTGCAGCTCTGCAGATTCGGCACCTGCTGCCGCGTTCCAGCCATGCCCCCCCTCAGCCATGCTCTGCTCGCGGGCTTGAAGAGCTCAAGGCCTCAAGGAGCGCGCTCGGACGCGGACCACGTCTCACCCGAAGCATTGTGCCTGTGACTCGCCAGCTTCCCAAGGCCCCCTAATTCTTCCCTGAGGCGAGCCCGTCGGCCACAGGGTACAAAGGGCCGCAAGGGAAGCCAGACGCGCTTGATTTGAATTGTAGAATCAGGCCGCCTGCCCTCCTCATCTCACGGGGCACGCTCAATGCCCTTTGCAGTTCCATTCTCCCACCTCAGTTCTCCATTTCTCTCCGAACGCACACGGCGGCACGCTTCCATCCGCCCCTTCTGTGCTTCCCCCGCAGCCGCTGCACACCACCGCCTCCATCTCCAACGCTTCAGTCGCCGGCCCTATCACGCTGCTGACGCAGCGGCACGGCTCCGCCCCGATCCCCATGTGGTAGACGGCTCAAGCACGTCGTCAGCCCTCCGCATGACGCATGCGTGCCAACTCGCGACGTCAGCGCATCAGCGCCAACTGCGGTTGGCCGATGTACGCCGTGTCGTGTGGCATGCGCGCTCGTGTCATGCCCACAAACCACAAGACAAGACGCAAGACAAAAGCTCTTGTGCCAAACGCCTCCTCGCGCCCTCGCTCCATTCCGAGGTTCCGAGGCTCGAGCGCCACTGCCCCCGTCCGCACAGACCCACGCCATCCTCGTTCCACCCACTCACAACCGCATCCTGTCCCCGGCCCACCCGATGCCAAGAGGCGAAGCGAGAGGACAGGCGAGGTCATAGCCGCGGTGAGCGGCGAGCATGCGGGCGAGCATATGCGACAAGCGGTTGCCTCCATGCAAAAAGTGGAAATCAGAGGCGTCAGCTCTTGCATTAAAGATGTGGATGGAAGAATGCGCACCATTCTTCTGTCCGAAGCGGTAATTGAAACGTAAACAAGCTTGTGTCTCCTGAACACGGGGTTGTCCAGGTCGCGTCGCGTTGAAGGATCGTAGGGTGCAGTGATGAAAGGATCCCAGGGTGAGAGGCTGGCGCCGACGGGTCAACCTGCCGACGGTTTCGGTGTGCAGTTTGGCGGCATCAAGACTGGCGCCGTCGACTTCGGCATGCCCTCCCGAAATTTACAGCTTATCTCTCCAAACGCTGGAGATAGAGTTCATCATATCTTTGCCACATGGCAGCGTCAAGGTTTGTCACGTAGCTGCGTACGTCGGGTTGTGAGCTTCATCGCAGGCGCCCTCCGACGACGGGTCGCCTCCATTGCTCGGCTCCCTGTGAGCGCGTTATCAGCTTCTCGAAGTTTCATGTTTGCTCGTCAGCTTTCTGATCGTCGGATCGCCATCACATCCCTGGTCGTAGGGAGTGGGTGATGGCCTGATAGGGTTGATGCAGATCAGGTGTGCGTCGCCGAGATCTGAGATAAGCAAAGCCTGCAGGATCGAGGGACCGTGATGAGGGTGAGTCGAGTTGGGCGGGAGGGCGTGTGTTGGCGGGGAGGGCTCTTGACAGTGTGTGGTCAGAGGCAGTCAGGGCCTCGGCCTGGATGGTAGCAGCAACGAGCAATGCGATTAGGATGGAGTCAGCCTACAACCTCGAGATGTGTAAAGCGTTGCGTAAGTGGGTCAGGATGCACGCGTGTTGACGAGGGGAGTTGATAGATAGCCGCCACCTGTTCAAGCGAAAGGCAACTACTCTTGTTGAGACAGCAGCATGACGAGATTGGACGAGTACGGCATGACAATGTCGGCCCCTTGTGGCCCTGCGCGATAAGACTCGGCGTCTTGATGTCGACGAGTGATGGACGACGAGTGATGGGGCTTGTCCAGGTGGCTCAGAGCGATTTGAAGCCCCTTGGGCTTTGGGCTCCTCGTGTCCTCGGGGTCTAATAATGGCTTTGCGGCCTGAGTCCGACGCGCCGATGAGATGTGGGTGGAGTGTCGATCTTTCAGGGTTGTTGAGGAACGTGTGGGCGTGTATGTGTGTATTGGGTATAATGGGATCGCCAGCGACGTCGGCGTACCTGTGATGGGGCGCTAGGGTCCGAGGGACGATAGGCCGGAGCATTCTGCAGGCTTCGAGCCGAGGTACTGTACGTAGATGCCAAGCGCGTGGCACTCTTGCTTGGGAATTGGGTGCTAGGGCGCTCCATACACAGTACGACTGTGAGACATGAGGCCCCACCACCTGTCGAATTGATCACGAGTTAGGTGACCTAAAACGGTCAACACAGCTGCAATCAGAAACGAAGGAGTGTTGGGGGATGAGAATCGAGTGTGGCGACGCGTCCAAGATGTAGGAGCGAGACAAGGAGAGGGGAAGGAAGGTGCGGCTGAAGCGCCAGCACGTCTAGCTGGAGGGAGGAGACAGTCAATTCCGCCATATCGGTGGGATACAGAGTGCAGCAGAGGTCGTCTCTGGCCTGGAGGCTAGAGGTGAACAGTAGCTGGGGAAGGGAGCAAAAGTGGTGACGATTTATTGTTGCGCTTGAGCATGCTGATTGTCAGTCCAGCCAGGATCGATGAGAGTACCCGCGGCATTATCTCCACCCAAGTTGACGGATGGCGCGGAGGGCGACTGTGAGATTGCGGTGAGGAACGAGTGTCAGAGGATGGACATATATCAGAGTGGAGGGGTGGGAGGGTGATCGTCATGACCGGTCAGTGCGAGGAGGTGCCGAGAGCAGGTGTAGATGGCAGAATGGTGGATGTGAACAGCCTCGCGGTGCTGTAGCTCACCAGCAGTGCAATGAAAGAGGTAATGGACAAATGCAGTCAAGTTGCGCCTTCAATAGAAGAGAGGGAACGACTGGGAGAATGGGAGAAAGAGAGAACGAGAGGAAGAGGATGAAGAGGAAATATGGCGAGATGCTCGTGCCGGGGGGGGGGGGGGGGGGGGGGGGGGGGGGGGGGGGGGGGGGGGGGGGGGTGAACAGGGCGGACTTGTCCCATCAAGCCGCCTTCCTTCCTCCCCATTGTTACTGCTGTCATGCCCGTTGCGAGGGCTCGAGATCTCCTAGGTTTATGAACACACAGCACACCCAGAGGGGAAACGCGCTGGGCGAGCATATTCCCACAGCGAGGGTTTCCTTTCACCGTTGTTCTATGAAGTTGCCCACAGTCAGCCGGACGTCAGGATACTTGTGCCCGATGGTCACCAGGTACTTGATATGCTTGGAAGGGTTTGTTGCTTTGGAACTGTGAGCTCAATCAGCTTTCGCGTGCATTGCACGACCCACGACGGGCGGCGATTGCATGGGGCGCAGTGATATTGATATTGAGAAGGGAGAGGTTCAATGGAAAAGGCGGGAGACAAGTGATCAGTCCAACTCTACAAACTGAACACCCCGGGCTTCCCCACTGCTGGTTGGTCCCGCACTAATTAGAGAATGGAAGGCCAACACGGAGTACACGAGATGCGAACGCGCATGGCGGCACTGGCATACATGATACCCATCTCCTCTTCCACATTTGGGATTCTCCGCTGGCTCCCAGCCCATCAATACAGCATACATGCACGAACAAATACAACGTGAACGAGTCTACTCTTCGCCCTCCTCGTCCTCAGTGTCATCCTGCGACCCGTGATGTGTGAAGTCGTACAGAGATTGCGGCAAAAACTCGCTGACGTCCGGCAAGACCAAATCCTCGAAAATAGCCGACTCAGATAATGCAGCCGCACGGGGTGGACCGTTGTCTGGGGCGCTGGCGCCTTCGGTTCCACCTCCGCCCGCGCTTCCGCCTGTGTCCCCTGCTCCTTCCCCTTCCCCCTCCCCTCCCGCACTCCCGGCGCCGCTCGAGACGGGCATGCCCGCTTGGTCGAACACAATGCCAAACCGCCTTCCGTCATTAAGGCGCCGGCGGGCGCGGCGTAAGGGAGGGCTCTCCTCGCGCGCCCGGCGCTGGCTCCCATACTCTTGGAGCCAGCTCATGCTCTCTCCAGAAGGCTCGGGGGAGTTTGACCGCCGCCTGGTTCGCCTCGGATATCCGTGGGTGGTGAAGGCGCGCGGGAACGACACGGACCCCGCGGCATTCAAACTCCCACGCACTCCGAAAGAGTGGAAGACCGGCTCGTCTCCCTCTAGCTCCCCCACTCCTTCTCCCTCTCTGGCCGTCTCCCGATCCCTAGCGCCCACTCGAGGGGTGCCGGGCTGGAGACGCTGAGGCGGCTCGTCGTAGATGAACATGGGCGCAGGCGTGGCCTCACGTTCGCCGGTGCGCGCCTCCCGCCTCGCATGTGTCGACCAGTACGGGTCTGGCAGGGCAATCCACTCTTCCCAAGAGCGGGTGGCGTCCCGTGCACGCGAGTTGCGAATAAGATTCGACGCGGTTTCCGCGATGCGGCGCGGTGATGCCGAGGCAGAAGCCAGACGCTGTACCGCGATGTGCTGCTGTCAGAAAATTCCCCGGGGCGGAGGGAAGGAAAGTATAGAGGCGAACTTACGTTTACGAAGCCCTCCCAGGCGGCAATGACTACCTCGTCGCCCTGTGCCGCAGCGTCAATGATGCTTTGGAGGCGCAGGTCTTGTCCGCGGGCATGGATGCAGATTGGTTCGCGCGAGAGAGCTTCACGGCTGGCGTGAGTGACGGAGGCCAGAAAGGTGGGTTGAGAAGGAAGATGGTAGACCACTAAGGCAGGGGGGTCTGAATGGAGTACTATGGAGTGTGTGCTGCGACGAATACCCACTGGATTGCGCGCAACACATCCATGGCGCGTCGGTCCGCCTCGCGCGGGACTGGCTTGCCCATCGCCGGAATTGATGCCCCGCTCGCAGTCGCTCAGCTCGTCTCGACTGTATTTCAAAGGCGTCGCGGCCAGCGCGTATGCTTGCTGGAAGGGCAAGCGTTCTGGTTTTGGAGTGCGGTGTCCAGACCGTGGAAGAGTTGTAGGGTGGGTGTTTGTGACGCTCCGTCCGTTCCCGCGCGAAGTAAAGGTCGCGTGGGTGGCAACGGGAGCAAATGCAACCCCGTGATCATTACCACGACATCCACAATCAATAACTTCTGATTTGGACACCGATCCACAGACCACCGAACTCGCCATGCCGAAGATCCGCACAAGCCGTACCAAGCCGCCTCCCGAGGGGTTTGAGGACATTCAGTGAGGGCTGGGCTGGACTATCTGACCGCAGGGATGTACTCGAGGAGTACGAGAAGAAGATGCGTGACGCGGAGACCGAGAGCCACGAGGGCAAGCGCAAGGTTGAAGCTGTGTGGTGAGTTCTGCTGGTGATCCGTAGCACGGTAACGGAGCCAAGCGGTCTCTTAGAGGGCGGTTAAAGGATCGCGTGCTGCCGCGCTGCATATCCTAGTAGAGAGCTAAACGCAGGCCGATCATGCGCATCTCGCACGCCCGATCGCGGTACATCTACGACTTGTACTACAAGCGCGAGCTCATCAGCCGACAGCTGTACGACTGGCTTCTAAAGCAGGGCTATGCGGACGCCAAGTGAGTGCTTTAGATGACTTTAGTCGGGACCTGCGCTGACCGCAGCTTGATAGCCAAGTGGAAGAAGTGGGTTGTCGAGGAGCCATAGTAAGATGCTGACCACCTCCTTACTTATCCTTCAACAATCGTGCGTGTTCTGACTTCCCGCGGTGCATCCTTTCTTTCTCAAACTTCTCTGCCCGCTCCGCGTGTCCACTGCGCGCTGTTCCCCACCTGACGATGATCGTACTCCTACATCACTCCAATCTGCAGGCAAGGATACGAGCGCCTCTGCTGCGTCAGGTGCGTCCAGGTCAAGGATAGCAACTTCCAGGGCTCGACCTGCATCTGCCGCGTCCCCAAAGCCAGCCTCAAGAAGGGCATTGTCGTCGAGTGCCCTAACTGCGGTGAGCTCACTACTTTGGCGCGTTCTCCGCATCGCAAGCTAACCCCAGGCTGCCGTGGCTGCGCCTCGGGCGACTAGTGTGTCATACCCATGCTCCGTACTATATGCATGTAGTTTTAGTGTGTGCGCGGCGAGGCTTCTGAACACGCCGAGCATGGTCCCGAACTCGATTGTCAGGCCTTACGTTCGCTCTCCGACACTGGTTCGAACGGCGTCGCTGTGACGCGCTTCTGAAACGCCGGAAGGCCGGATGATCGGGCTACTTGCCGACGCGCGCTGTGTATCTCCACCACATTCCACTCACTTCACCATGGAGCCGACGACCCCCGTCAAGCCCGCCGACATCCTCGCGCGTCTGCCGGGAGCCTTTGATGCGGCGCACAAGGCAGGCGACCTCATTTTCTTTGACAGCAGCGTGCGGACAGTGCACGGCGAGTTTCCCGTGAGTCCGCTTCCCACCTTCGACCAGCTTCCTCGAGTTGTGCTCTCGAGGGGAGTGTCTGCTCGCCATTGTGGCACGGCCATAGTCGGGCTATGGAGCGACTAACCCCAGTTTGAGGTGCGCACAGCACCTGCGCTCGGCGAGAAGAAGAAGGCTGCCGAGGCCCAGGAAGGACCGGAAGGCCCGGAGACAAAGCGGAAGCGCGTCGATGCCCCCGAGCGCCCGTCGCCCTTCCGCCCGCCCTACGTTCCGGGACTTTACGTGGGCAGCGTGGCCGGCGTCGACGGCGAGGTGAACCAGAGTGTGCTGGTGAGTCTACGAGCGCTAGCGAGGCTGCTTCTCCTGCCTGCGTGCGCTGCAGTGACACTCTAACACCAGCTCAACAAGTTCGCCATTCTGCCGCAGCACTTCCTCCTCTGTCCCGTTGAGGAGGAACCGCAGTCACTCCCGCCGACCCCAGGACAGCTGGCGCAGGCGTACGCCTTCCTCCTCGCGGCGAGCCGCGAGCGCCGCGATCTCCTCGCATTCTACAATGGCGGACCGGGTGCTGGGGCGAGCCAGCGCTGGCGCCACATCCAGTTCGTTGAGGCGCGCCCGCCCGTCGAGAGCTGGGTGCGGAGCATGGTGTTTGAGAGGCCAGGTGAGTGCATATAGTCACTTGGGTTTGCGCGGAGACAGGCTCGAGGACACACGACGGATCCCGCTGGCGCAGCGCTGACTCCAGATCGCGCAGTCATCCACCCCACCCTGCCATACCTGCATATCGTGCACCCACTCCCGCCCTCGCACAACCTTCCCTCGCCAATGAGCGCCGACGACCTCGTCGAGCTCGCAGACCGCCTCGCGCCAGCCCTCATGCGCTCCTTCGACCTTGCGTTCGACGCGCTGCGTCGCGCCGGCGGCGACCGCTCGCAGGGCTGGAACCTCCTCATGACGCTGTGAGTCCCTCTGTCCTCCACGGAGGGCGTTGCGACTCCTCTGCCGCTTCGCTCATGCACCCCCTCCTTACATGCTGACCCCAGCGAACACCTCCACCTCATCCCGCGCTCGTCACCGACGTACGTCTCTGAGACGCTTGCGATCGACATCAACTCGCTTGGCTACGCGGGTATGCTGCTGGTCAAGAGCGAGGCGGAAGATGCGGCACTCGACAGCGTTGCGAAGGCTGAGGGCGGGCTCGTGGGCATCATTGCGCGCTGCGGCATCCCGCGCGAGTTTGGCGAGCAGGCCCTCGAGGCCGACGCGACGCAGCACGGCGGCGCAGGCGCCGCATTCGATGGCCTGTGAGACTGCGCGCGGGCGAGGCTCATCGCAGCGAGGCAAAAGCCGCCGCAAAGCCCAGAATGTAGATCGAGGCATCGCTGTTGGTACTGCTGTGCGCCAAGCTATCCACGACCATGCAAGTCATCTATCTCCTGCATTGCTAATCCGTACATTCTATCATCTGATCTACTACAAGTTGGACTCGCGGATGAGCGAGGAGGCCAGCTTGAACGCTGGTGCCGGGTCCTGCCGCGCCATCTCGGAGAGTGTGAGCAGCTTCTTGACGCCCACGTTGAAGTCGGGGCGCCCCTGCTCGCCGAAGCGTGCCTCGCGCAGCATGCTCATGCATTTCTGCAGCTCCGAGTGGTCAAACATCTTGATCTCCTTGAGGACGTGCTCAACCGCGTCGAGTGACGTCAGTGGGGACACAGGGATGTCCGTGTCGAAGGCATCCTGCACGCCCATGTCGGCAAGGATGGACCGGTTGCTCGTCGTCGCGAGGATAAGCAGGCGGCGGCCCTTGGGTGGGCGCTTGCCAAACAGCACGACGAGCGCCTGCAGAACACCGTTGGAGAAGCGGGGCCCGATCGGGTTCCAGTCAAGCAAGCGCTCGATGTTGTCGACGACGATTACAGATGATGGCGACTTGTACGCGTCCGAGAACACCTTGTGCAGATGTGCGATCTTCTGTGCCTCTCCGTAGCCAACCATCTGCTCCGGCGAGATGAGCTTGATGAAGGGGAAGTCGGACTGCATCGCAATGGTCGCTGCGAGCGCAGTCTTGCCTGAACCGGTCGGGCCGTGAAGGAGCGCAGCAATGAGGGGGGTGCGCTCCGAGTGCCGCACCTGCTGCACCAGCAGCGAGCCGTCATTGAGGATTTCGTTGATCGACTTCGAGTAGTGGATCATTCCCATCGTCACGACCTGCTGCAGCTCCTCCTCGCTCACGCCGAACGCAGGCTGCACCTCGTCGAGCGCGTGCATGAAATCAGCACGCATGATCTTGAGGTTCTCGACGTCATCAAAGGCCGCGACGGACCCGACCTTGACGTGACGGTTGAACGCGAACGAAGTTGCGCTCTTGACGAGGCCGTTGAGTTCGGCGCCGGAGAAGTTCTTGGTGTGTGCGGCGAGTTCGGCAAGGTCGACGTCATGCCCCATCACACCGTTGTCACGCATCTTGGCAGTGTGGATGTTGAGAATCTGGAGGCGGCCGTGCTCGTCTGGCAGCGAGATCTCGATGTGCACCTCGAGACGCCCTGGGCGGAGGAGCGCCTCGTCGATCATATCCATGCGGTTTGTCATGCCGATGATGAGAACGTTGTTGAGTTGGTCCACGCCGTCCATCTTGGAGAGCAGCTGGTTGACAACCGAGTCGCCGACACCGGTGCCAGAGTTGGTCGAGCCACGCTGCTTGCAAATGGCGTCAAGCTCGTCGAAGATGATGATGTGCAGGCCTGACTCATCGCCCTTCTCCTTCTGCTCCTTCTCGGCGTCCGCAAACAGTTTGCGAATGTTCTCCTCAGACTGGCCCACAAACTTGTTCAGAATTTCGGGGCCGTTCACGACCTTGGGCTCGCGCGCATTGAGCATCTTGCCGATCTGGCGTGCCATAAGAGTCTTACCCGTACCGGGCGGGCCGTAGAGGAGAATACCCTTGACGTGCTGGATGCCGAGCTTATCAACAAGCGCCGGAGGGAAGATGCGAGATGCGAACGCGCGGCGGAAGATAGCGCTGAACTCGGTGTCCAGACCACCAATCCCCATGTCCTCGAACTTGAAGTTGGGTGCAAGAATCGCGTTTTGTGAGCGCATCTTGGAGCTACTCTTGAGCTTCATGTTGGACGCAGGGTCCTTCGACCACAAGATCTCGGAGCCCTCCATGACTATGCCGGTCGCGCCCTCTTGCCCGTCGAGGGTCGAGACGTTGCGCACAAGCGCCTTGAGCTGGTGTCCACGGTAGTCGAATACCAAGCTTTGAAGGGGCGTCAGAGGCATGTTCGGGAATGCATTGATGAACGCGGCCGACATGTCTTCGGCATCGAACAAGTCAGCAGTCTCCTTGCGCTTGACCAAGAAGCCGACTTCGAGCTCGACATCGGACGCAAAGTCGCCGCTGCCAGGGTAGTACGGTTCGCAGTCGACCGTCTCACCAACAGCGGACAGCCCGATCCACTGCCGCTGAATCTTGGATGGGCCGAGATGCCGGGGCGGAAGCGTCCCAGTGTTGTCCCGAATAATCGAAAGGATGTACTTGCCCCGAAGGATCACACACTCGACATCCTGGGGAAAGTCGGCCGGATTGACAACCAACCGGTTGGTCAGCGCCAATGGGTCAGACGGGCAAGGTGCGATGCCGAAACTGCGATTAGTTCCATCAAAGATGTGACTTCAGCCACTCACGTTCCACGTCCGCTGCCGCCGCTTGACTGCTGGCCATACTGCTGACGAGGTGCGGGGGATGAGGGGAGCGGCCGCTGCTGAGGCGGTGCTGGTGCGCGGTACTCGGACTTCTCTTCGGGGTACCCGTACTGGTCGTGGCGGGGTGGTGGTGCTGAAGGAGTATATCCACCCTGGCTACCACCACCATAACCTCCGTGCCGGCCACTCTGCTGGCCGTACCCGGCCTGCTGGCCATACTGCTGGCCGCCGTATCCACCCTGGCCGCCGCCCAGCCCGGAGGGCGGTGCTGGTGAGCGGGAGGGTGGGAGAGACGCGCTCGAGCCCGCCTCGGAGGGTACACGATCGTATGGCCCGCCGGCGCCGGCTCTGCGCGCCGCGGGTGCGCTGGGGTCGTTGCGTTTGAAGAAAGACATGATAAGCGAGAGATGAAGGACCGAGATGACCCCGACGTGGATCATAAGGTCGTGGTGGAGGTGGCGACGTGGGGCCGGACATCTGTCGTTCTCCATCCACGGGACCAAATCTTTCCACCAACACCTCCACTCTTCTGGACCACGGCATGAGACTTCTGACACATCAACAACACGGCCGCTGCCATGTCGAATCCGACGGACGACGAGCTGCGCGCAGCCGTGCGTGAGGCGCGCGAAGCACACCCTGACTTGGGCGTCCTCAAGCTACTGGTGGCAGTCAAGGAGAAAGGCGTCACCGTGAGCGAGAAGCGTTTCCGCAAGGTGCTGTCCGAGGTCGGCGGAACCGTGGCGGGCGGCGCCGCCGTTGCCGCCTCCAAGCCGGCGAAGAAGAAGAAGGGCAAGAAAAGCCGTCGCGTCGGCGACCACCTCGAGCCCGAGACGCATTTGGACGCCACACTCGACATTAAGGCTATCGCACCAAAGGTCAAGGCTGCCATGTTCGGCGGCGCACGCGGGAAGGGCCTGGTTGCGGCTGAGGAGCTGCAGATGGGCGAGATGATCTGGCGCGAGGAGCCGTTCATGGCGTGTGCGAGCCCGTGAGTATTCAAATGGGACGGGACGGCTCTGACTTCAGTGCTCTTCATCAGATGCTCAGCGCCAACCAGATGTGCAATCATTGTCTCGCGGCATGGGACCGCCTTCCTCGCACTGTCGCCGCGTGCCCGAAGTGTCCGGCCGCTTTCTGCTCCCGTCTGTGTCTGCAGCGGGCGCAAGAGTCGTCCCACCACCCCCTTCTGTGCGAGGGCACCAACCCCGCGGCCGCACCGCTGAATGAGTTCATCCAAGGCCGCGAGTGGCGCTCCCTTGGCATCGTGGCCCGCATCCTGGCGCGGTTCCTCGGCACGCGCGCGTGGGAGGGACCCGACGCCGCCAAGGCCTACGATGCACGTATCTTCTCCTTCGCCCGTGTGAACATGGAGGAGCGCGAGCGTGACAACCCCGCTTTCGTCGCCGAGTCCGGCACCATCACCGCTCTTTGGGGCATGGCACACCAGTTGCTCCTCAGCGCACTGCATCCTCAGACTGAGCTCGAACAGGCTCGCCTTGCGAAGATCCTGCGTAAGGGCGGACGGCAAGTCACCCCGTTAACCGACGAGGAAGAGCAGCGCTGGTTCTCGTACCACGCGTTCCTCGAGCTACTGGGAATGGTCAACATCAACCTTGAGGACTCCGGCGGTCTCTACGCTCTGCACGCGCATCTGAATCACTCGTGCGAGCCAAACGTGCAGGTGAGTGCGAGGCAAGGCTCGACTGTCGAGTCGCAGCCTTCACAGGCTGTAGCCTATCGATAGCCCAGAGCTGATGCCAGGTCCGCAACCTACCGAAGGGCTGGACGCCGCCCGACTCTCTCCCCGCTCCTCTACCGGAGCGCATGCAGCGCGGCACGCACAAGCTGACCCTGCTGGCGCGCGAGACCATCCCGGAAGGCAAGGAGCTCACCATCTCCTACGTGCCGCTGGACATGCCGCGCAGCGAGCGACAGAAAGCGCTTCGCATGGGCTACGGGTTCTGGTGCGATTGCGTGCGGTGTGAGCGCGAGAACCCTTCGAAGCAGGGCAAGACAAACGGAGGCGAGGAGACGCACAAGAATGACGTCGTCGGGAGCATCGCTACCGGCGTGCGAAGCCTTACCGTGGGCCAGTAGTTGTAATCCAGCATCAATACCATGCATATATTTCGAACCTGTGCTCCCGCCCTACCTCCTACGCTTGCCCGCTCGCCCCGCATCATCCGCCTTTCTCTTGGCGCTCCGCGCCGCCTTCGCCTCGTCCTTCTCCTGCTTGCGCAACCTTTCCTCCTCCGCTGCCACCAGTCTTCCCATCACGCCCAACACTCGCTTTTCGCCCAGCCTCACAACAGCGGCATCTCGCTGACGTCCCGGTGGGCCAGCGATGATCGCGAGGTCCTCCTCGAGGGTGGTGACATGCTTGGCGCGCCTGGCGGCGATAGCTTTGCCGATGATGTTGGAGGAGGTGACATCTAGCGTTGGCCGGGGGAGCTTGCCCTTGCTCTGAGCGCGCGTCCACTCCGCATCACTAGATAGAAGGCGGGCAAAGGCGATGAAGGCGGGCGGGAGGGCATCCTCCTCGTCGGGGTAGCCGAGGGAGAAGACGTCTTCCTGCCCCTCCTCCAGCCACCACTCTACCCGCTGCTCCAGACCTGACCCAGCTGCAGCGGCCAGTACGAGATCGCCCGGAACTTCGACGTCGTCCCCCGCGTTGCCGAAAGGGTGGCCGCCGAGCTCCCCAGGCGTGAGAAGGGAGAGGATGGAGTCGGGTAGCGGTAGGTCGTCAACATGACCGTACTTGCGCAGAAGCTCCGAGTTCGGTGGCGACGCGTACGTGTTGTACTGAAGTCAGCGTGTCGCCATCTCGTCCCTTGCATTGCGGAACTCACGATCTGCTCGCCTGCTGCGATATCCTTCGTCGTGATCATAGTGTATCCCTCCCCGAACTCAGTGTTCTCCACCACCCCTTCTGCGTCATCATCGTCGCCACCGTCGGCAAACAGACGCGCGTTGTCCATCTCGTACGCGGCATTCAGCATATCCGCCATCGGCACCATCACGGCGATCTCGTCCTCTTCCTCCTCGTCCCCGTCTTCGTCGGTGCCGGGCGGTGGGCCGCCTGCGCGTGTGCGCGGCACTGTGAACGAGCGGGAGAGGATTCGCGATCCCTGCACGTGGAACGAGTGCAGGGTAAAGTGCTCCGAGGGGGGGAATACAGCAGGGTGGGATCTCATAAGCGGTTCGAGTGTAGTGGAGTATAGTTCGTGTGCCGATGCCTTGCCGATACGGTCTGGGATCAGCGACTGGCCGGTCTGTGAGTTGCGGAGGGATTGCAGTTTGCTGCCAGCCTAGAAGGCGAAACCCCAACCACTTACCCTCAATGTCCGTCCCCTTTAGCCCTTCCAACTCCTCGTCACTCCACCACATCGGAGCGCCAAACTCGGAGGGCATCGTCTTGAGATATCCGGCCCACTTCGATCGGTCTCCCAAACTGCTTTCGTACATCATGGCCAGGATAAGCGGTGCCCACCCCTTGTCTGCAAGTGACTCCCACGCCTCCTTCCCTCCGTCAGCAGCGAGGGCGGGGCCGAGAGCGCTCGTCCATGGCGTCAGGAGGTAGGATAGAGGGAGGTGGAACAGCGGCGTGCCCGCCGCGATTGGCCTTGTGGCAATGGCGCCCGCGCCCATGCCTGGAATTGAAGCGAGTGTGAAGGCATCGGAGCACCAGGCGCCGGATGCGGACATGGAGGCAAGAAGCGGATCGTAGGCCATGCTGTGAGATGTGTGTTGGATCATGGAAATTTCTGTCAACAGACCTGGAAGAGGTGACCGAGAAAGTGGAGGTGGAGGTGGAGGCTTTACCACGTGTCATGGAATGCTTGTGGCATTGTGGCGAACGGGCACGACAAAGAGTTGAAACCGTCGCAGCACTTTGAAGGCGCTGGCGCTGCCGAGTTCTGTTAAGGTCAGTACTGGGAGCTTGCATTACCGGGATTACTTTCACACCCAGGAGCACCCCGCTTAACTAGCTTTCTGACTTTCCCCCGCACTGCTTCTGGCGGCATCCTTTCCACTCCCGAAGGCGCATTCTAGGCAGTGTCAGCGGTGCCAGGTGATTGCCAGTATCAGGACTGCATGTGCCGAGGTACTTTTGACGTCTCTACGTGTCTTTTTGCCCTCCTTCTTGGTCTTCGAGCTGCCGTCCCTCCCGTCTCCCTCGTGACCACAATCCTCGTAACCACACACATGCATCGCCGAGACCCCCCGGTCCAGGCCGCGCAGCCCACACTGACATTGCCCTTCTCACGCCGTCATCCCCATTCACACCGCTCTCGCACCCACCTCGTCTATTTCACTTGGCGAACCCGTCCTCTACACATCCGTCGTCGCAGTCTTCCACAGTCTCGCGCTCCCACGTCCCACCTCCAATGGTTACTCGGCTGAGCCGCCGTCGGCCGTCGGTGTGTTTTCACACGGTTGCACTGGCGCATTGCTCCACAGTCGCACACTTGCACATTCGCACGTTCGCACCTGTGTCGACGGGTCGCCCCATCGCCAGACCGCCGACTCGTTGCACCGCCCGTCCCGTGGGTCATCGAGACTTAAAAGAGCTCACCTCCGCTCACCGATTCCTCAATGCAATCCCCCCTCCCAGTGCCCGACCTACCGACTGGAATCCCCTCCCCTCCCTTCTTCCCCCTCCCATCCCCTCCGCCCTGCCCCCCGCCCATTGCCTGACCTATCGAGAATCCCCTCCCCTCCCCTTTTCCCCTCTCCCATTCCTTCCGCCCTGCCTCCCGCCCAACACGTCTGACTTACTGACCGCCCGCCTTCCGACCCCTGAGTTCCCAGCTGCTCACTTGCCATTCCGCCAAATGCCTTCGCCTTACCATTTTCTGTCACCTCTTCAACTCCCGGACACTGGGTGACGCGCCCCAGTGGTGGAGCGGATGTGATATCCGGCCAACTCAGTCTCCCATTTCAGTCGTCCCTACACTACTCTGCCCTTGATTTTCATAGCTACTCTGTTTGGTTGACTCTTACTTGACTACAGGTTCGACAAGCTCCCCTTTTCACGCCCAAGGTCCCCAATCCTCTTGCCAATTCGCCACCCACCACACCGACATGAAAGCGACTCTAATACGTTCCTCTTCTCACGACCACTCGCCCTTTTCCTCTATGAATCGCAGTTCGACTCGACGGATACGACGAACCCATCTCACCTTTTGATCTCCGGCAATCTTCTCAACGACAATCTTTGCCTGCAAGTAGATAGAACGTGAGTGACCCGTCGACTTCTGTCTCACCCCAGCTCTGGTCGCAGTCTCCCCTCGTCGGCCCTCCCGCCCACTCCCTTCTCTCGGTTCTCCCCTTATACCGCCGTTTCTCTATATCTCTCTCCAGCTATCAAGCACCCTCAACGACACTGTCACCACCCTGCCGCTCTCCACCTCGATGCTCATCCGAAGAGTCTAAACTCGGACACTTCCCCAGTTTTGAAACTCCTTTTTTCATAGTTTATTTCCCGCCCGCCACTTCCTCGCCCGCTCCCTCGCCCGCTCCTCCCCCCCTTTTCCCACTCCCCCTTTGTTTACCCCCTTCTTGTCCTGTGATGAGCAACGCGAGGCAATGCGCACTTTATAAGTGACGCCAAGGGTGAGGCCATGTGGCCACGTGGCCGATGAAACCTGCCTGCGATATTCTGAGGACGGTCTGTGGATCCGTAAATTACATTTGTTGTATACAATTGAATGTACTGTACATATGTCGAGATGTCGTCATATCGTAGTCATGGCCTGCAGATGCACGCGACTTACCCAATGTCTTCTTTCGGCGTCATAATCTCACGGGCCTCATGAGTCATGGACCATGGATCACGCACTGCATGCAAAACGCCTCATGTCGATCATGTCCCACGGCCGAAGGATCGCGCGATCGCGCAGTCACCAAGCCACACCATCGGCTCACCTGTCATTCACTTCTATTACTGGAAATTTGTTCACTTTTCGAAATGCCGAGAGTACTGCTGCCTCCATGATCCACGAAACACACTAATGCCCACACCGCCTTCCTCCGGCGATCCGGCGACCCGGCGATCCGGCAAATGCTTGCTCCCCTCCACGTTGACATAGACTGGCTGCCCCACCGTCACAGCCTGTGTGATTATGGCCACCAATGTCCACTCCATGGCCTACTTGACCGAGTCTCTCCTCGGTATCCTTCACCGTCACGGTTCGATCCAGCTATTGACGAAGGAGGTACGCAAAATACGTACGATGGTTGCCCACCCTATCATTCTGGCCGGCGTTCAACCCGGCTCGGCGGCGTCTCCAAACCAGGCACGTCCACACCCATTCCTCTCTCTCGCCTCCTCCCCCCCCTTCCCCCAACACAGCACGTACACACGCATACATACAAACAGACGTCCGAACACACAACGAAGGAAGCATTCGAACATGTTGATGATCGACGATCTTCCACGCCAACGAGGTTGCCATTCAATCCAACAACAAGTGAAGAAGAGCTGTTGATGGTTCCCGGGCCGGGACATAACGGAAGTGACGAAAATCTGGTATACTTACCTTGCTTGCTCGGTTAAATGGCCCTCACCCTGCCATCCGAGAGGCTTGCTCCTCGACCATTGCACGGCGACTCACAGTCCTAGTGGAGGGGCTTGCCTTGTGCTGGCTTCGGCTGGTTCACTCGTTCAATATTTGGCTCTGCCTGTCTCCCCTTCGGGGGTAGCGGGCTACCATTTTTGCTTTTGCGAGTCCGAGAGTCTGACTGCAGAGCTGTCTCAGCACACCGGCGCTCGTCAGCTGCGAGCAGCCTTCCCGCGGGCGCTCCGGGCGCAGGCGATCGGATCGTGCCCCTTGTATCACCGCCCATTCTCCCTCAACACCGGGCGTACCGCATCGGGCGTCCACCGAAGCTGCACCGCATCGGGCTGAATCTCTGTCATGCACCACATTACGGCAGGTCCAGATGGGGTCGCTGCATGGCAGGGATGTATAGGCGGGTGTGATACTCTCTGGATGCTCGTCTGATGGCCTGCGGCGCTCGACTGCTCGAGTAGGTGTTACGCGTCAGCGGCCGGCGAGCGGTAGTGGGGCTCTGTATGCATCTACATAGCACACTTGTGCACCCGCGAGGATCTGTCCGGCAAGGAGGGGGGCGGGGGGGGGGGGGGGGGGGGGGGGGGGGGGGGGGGGGGGGGGGGGGGGGGGGGGGGAAGGGGGGGCAAGGGGTGTAGGCGCCGTACGCCTGGAGAGGCAGCGAGCAGCGCACTCCCGAGAAGGCTGCCAGCGACGGGTCGCAGGTGAAGGCAGTCAGCGCTGAGCGGAAAGTACGTCCGGTGAGTGGTTACGGCCAAGAAGGCGTTTCACACAGGTGCTGGATCTAGTTTCTATGCATCTACGATGTGCTCCCAACAGCTTCCAACTGCATGAGGTTCTGCCGCCTCCGCTCCGACCCACGTACCGCGCAATCGCGCGGGCACGCTGGAGGACTGGCTGCCCCCGGAACTCCAATGCCACCGCAGTCTGTCGTTGCATCTACCCGCTACACCTCCCCGCCTATCCAGGCGAACACGAGAAAGCCGACGCCCCACGGGCCAACGGACGCAACGCGCCATACGACGCGCCCGGCCGCCCGCGCAACAACACGCAGCGGCCCCGTGGCCTTGGCTTCGGCCTTGTGCTTCGCTGCCAGCGGCGCCTCGTCGCGGTGCATAAAGCCATGCAAACCGTGCGTTTGCCACACATACTTGACTGGATGGAGGTACCGGGAGGGCACGGCCTTGCCTGCAGCTTGGAGGCGAATGCGCTCAGCCTTGGCAGTGCTTGCGTAGCGCTGACAGGCGCGGAACGGGCGGCCAGATATCTCGGCAAAATGTGCTGCAACAACGCCGCCGGTCACGATCGTAAGGGCCTGTGCGAGTCGCGCCGATGTCGGTGTCTGCGAGGGAGGGGCAGCAGCGGCAGCGCGCAGCTCAGCTGCCTCGTCTTCTGCGTCACGCGCGCTGCCGTCGACTGGCCCACCGGCGCGCCGGCTCATAACGCTCTTCACGCGCAGGCCAACACGGCGTGTGATGTCAAACGTCGCGAAGAATACACTGTAGCTCGCTCTGCATGTCAGCAGCAACCAGGTGTCAGACATACGCATCGCGGGCAACAGCCCATCGCCAGCCGGTCCACCATTGCCGCGACTTGTGCCACGTGTCGTGAGCGAAGAAGGTGCGGAGAGCCTCAACAGGCGAGGAAGGTGCGGGGCCAAGCACCTGCACAGACTGGGGGGTAGGCAAGTGCAGGAATCGGGCCGCAGCAGCTGTCAAAGACTGAGCGGACTGCTGGATCAAGCTGCACCGTCAGCGCCACCTCGAATGAAGCAGTGAGCCACTTACCGAACGACATTCTCGATAGGCGTGAACGCCGCACCTTGAATGACTCCGGCGCCGGCACCGGCGATGGCGGAGAGCAAGGTGGGATGCTTGGGAATGATCTTGGGCCCACGGAGGATAGTCTCCAATGTGATCTCCTCTTCGTCCGGCGTGCCCTCAACCTTGTCGCCATAGTCGCCGTCAATGTCTCCGAGCGGGTCGCGCAGGCGGGTAAAGTTGATAAGATCGTCCTCGTCTTCTGGGTCGCATTCGGCGCCGCGCTGAAAGTACGGTAACCTTGCGAGCGACAAGGAAAAGAACGAGTGCGACGAGAAGAGAAGGAAGCCGAGAGTCGTGTTGACGAGGAGCGGTGGGAGAAGGGAGACTGCGAGAATCATGGGCTGAGAGTCAGCGCATGTCCGCATCGCTCACCCACCCCGCCCTTGAGCTTGAGGATGCCGCGCACAAACGTCGGCGAGAGGTTCTGGTCAGCGCTCTCGGCGAGCCTTCGTAGCCCGGCCCATGTATCCACTGCTATTAGCTTGCATCCTTGCGCCAGTCAGCCGGCAGCTCACGTCGATTTGGCCTAAACAGCTTGGACGGTCGGCGAAACATGAAGCCTGCGGTCAGATCGCACCTTCCTTCCTTTCCTCGACGCACCGATGAACAGCAGCAGCGAGCGCGTGAACGCCGCACCTGCGCTCGTAGCCTTGTTCGGCTGCGAGATGGCTACCTCTTCACCCTGCTTATGCACGAGCGACGCCGTTGCTGGCCCATAATCGAGTGGGGCATTGGGGTAGGCGGTGAGTGCGGCTGCCTTGCCTGGCAGTCCGGGGGTCGCGCTACTGAGAGATCGTCCAGAAGGGGAAAAGGCTGGTTGACGCCGCGAGTCGGCTCGTGGTGTCGCGGTGGTCGTCATGAGCTAGGCATGGTTGGGTTGGGGGATGAGCGCGAATGCGAGTGCGACGATGAAGTGATGGACGAGAGGGAGGAAGGAGCTGAAAGTACTGAAGGGTGCACTTCATGGACAAGTTGAGAGGAGTGATTTCGGCAGCCAAAGGTTCCGTGCCGTTTCCAGGCACCTGATGAATGACGCGCCCAGCCGGCATCACTCCATCACCACCGCCTGCGAATTCTGCGAACGCCTCGAGGGTGCGACAATGCTCTGGCCAGCATTGCAACACAAGCAAAGATGAGGGATAATCAATAGAGAGGAAGAGCGTTTACAGATGCTATTGTGGCTACTCATGTCATGCCGTGTTGGTTGTGACTGGGAGCAGGGCGGGTTGAGCGATCGACGGGGTCTCTGATGCCGAGGTGCCGCGAGGTGGCTACTGGTGTACTGGTCTCGATAGTTCAGGATCATAGGCACCGGCGGAGGTGCACCATCGCAGCTTGATTGCTTCAGCCCTCTCCATCGGTTAGGTTAAGTCATTGCGTGGAGCGCAGAGCAGTCACTGCGACTCCTCAATCCTCGATCCACAAGGCGCGAGAGGCGCGAGGGACGGGGTACGCAACCCAGGGGAATGGGGCAGTGTCAGGTGAGGGCATGCGGGTAACGGAGGTGTCTCAGAACTCAGCGCCCACTTGTCCTTGCGACGATGAATTGCCCTCCCGCAGCTGGCACACTATCGCAAGATCGCAAGCACATCTCTGCGTTCAACGCGGTTGATGGAAGGATGCATGAGCTTGATGGCCCAGGCGAAAGACCGAGCCCTGAAGCCTAAACTGTACCAAGGCACAATGCGCATGAGTATCTGCAACACCTGCGACGCCTCTGTCTTGTGCTGCAATCCTCCTGCCCTCTGCCCGTCATCGCCCACCTCGCGGTTGGGGACAAGCGTTGAAGGGTGTTCGCGATCGATGTCACAGGCGTGAGTGGGGTCTTTTGAATGAACCGAGGCTGAGGAGCGCGTCTCCTTCTTGGTCTCAGACGCCTTTGTGGTGCGAGGATAGGGCGAGGAGCGAGGTTGTGATGCATGTGGAAGCGACGGTTGCAACACCTTAACCCTGGCGCGAAAGCGAAATGTCAAGGCTGCCGGCGCACTGCTGCAGCGGCATCTCGGCTGGAGAAATGGAGTGCAGTCCCAAGACTTGGGCTGTGCATGGTCTGTGGCTGCAGGTCGTGGCGGGTTGGCGGCGGCGTTCGAAGACCTCAGACCTCGCAGATGCCGGATGCAGACGTCGACGCAGCGCTCACAAGGCCACTGCCCGCATCTCACGCACTCATGCGATCTGCCGCGAATGGGATTTCGGATATCTAGGGTATTCCGAGTGCATCTGGCAATCTGGGCCTGACGTGGCGCGTGCGACTAACACCCTGGACTGGGGCCAGATTGCGGCCCACGGCCCGGCCTTGGTCTCTCCGTGCTCCGCTGGCTGCCGGGCACTGCCAGCCATCAGGCTGCCACCACTGTCTAGCCGCCTTGCCGTTGCCTTGTCGCTTCCGCCATGCGTGCCGTATGCTCATCCTCGCCGCCCGTCTGTCCTTCTCCAGGCTCTGCATGCGCTGGGAGTTCTGGAACGGGGCACGAGCCGTGCACTCATGGGATCATGGGATTTTGGGAGCGAGAATGCCAAGCGGGAGACCGGTGGTCGACAGTTTCATCCTGTCAGGTCCCACTCAACCGGGTCCTGAAAGAAAGTGTGGTCGAGATCCCGAGCCCAAGACTCGAGCTGGTCGACCCGATACTCGTCAAGAGCAGTGAACGCATGATCCAAGAGCATGCAGTGGAAAGGCGCCACATCCCAGCGCCCCAGCACCCAGGACCGGACTGGGAGCTGGGCGTCATTGCTTGAATCACCGCGGGTTGCCCTTGGCCGGTGGGTCAGGCTGGTCAGGCTCAAGGCAACGATGAATGCTCTGACGATGCCGCACGACACGACGTTCGCCGTACCGCCGTCCCTCAGCAGATTGGGCGGCGGCGGTCCCATCTGGCCAGCTGGCCATCTGCCCATCTGCCCATCTGCCCATTGCCACCCAATCTGGGGGGTCGGTCCAGGGTCCAACCCAACCAAAATGGGCGCAGATCATCTCTTGTCGCGGCCCGTCGCGCCGTCGCGCCTGTTCCCCTCGATCCCTCGCCTCTTTCGCCACTCCTGCCGCTCCTGCCCCGAGCCCCTTTCGGCCCAACGGTCAACGGGCCTACCGCGTGCGGCCTCTGCAGCTTCGCAGCGCGCTTGGCCTTGCCTTGGCCTCGATAGCTTCACAACTGCGCTTCGCCGCGGCTCTGCCAATGCGCGGCAAGGCCCATCTGAAGCTTGGAGCAAGGAGCAAGGGACGTGAGTCCCATGGGATCCATGGATTCAAGGGACAGAACGAGAACTGCCAGTTCTCCTCTACTCGCATCCTCAACCTCTTCACCATGATTCTCTAGTTCTCCAATGGATCCAATCCCGACCAACTCTTTCCTGCTCCTGGCGCTCCACCATCTTGCGCCGCTCTTCCCCACCTTGGTCACCTTTACCCGCTGTATGCATTCGTGTTCATCGCTGCATTGCTTCCTTTGTCGCTGCTCTCACACCTCAGCCGGGCTCCCTCCAGCCGAGCCTCCGGCCTTCTGCCTGCTGAGCTGCTAAGACTACCTGTCCCAGACCGCATCAACGCATTATTCGTAGCCATGAATCCTCCGTTCCCGTACCTAACTCACGTACCAAAGCCGCACGACCGCAATCTACCCCCGGCCCCCCGGATGTCGACTGATTTCCTGCCTACCAGAAATCCCTACCGCCCTCCGGTCCCTCCGCGCCCTCCGGCGCCTCGGTACGGCAGGCATGGATGCCAACCACGGTACAAAGTGGAAGACGAGGATGTGTGGCTTGGAGTCAACTGGCTTCCCCTGGCCCATCAACACGCTCAGGCTATGCAGCCGATGCAGGCAGCCTCACCGCCCTCGCCCTCAACCCTCTCAATCCTCTCACGCCTCTCGCGCGATCTCGTGGCCTCTCGCTATTGCGCGCTGCGTAACACCCCATGCACCCCACCCAAACCCTCCCCTTTCCCGATCTTCCTCTGCTGCCGGGCGATATTGGGCTACCGACGCGGGGTGACCACGCAACATACACCTTGCATCACCTCCGTACCTCCAGCCTCCTGCAGCTCCTCCCGAGCTGCCGACCGGCTGACGGCGCACTGCACCTAACACAAAGATCAAAGGGCCGTGCGTCGTGTCCCTCACACTTTCCTCCTTCCCTCTCCTCCCTTCTATCCCTCTACTCGATGCAGTTGCCCCGCAGGCCACATCACCTCGCTCCCTCTCCTCTCAGGCCACCCAGGCCAGCCGTCAGCGGGCTAGCCTCTCATTATGCCCCATTCTCACTCTTCCTCTCTTTCTCTCTCTTGCTCCCACCCTCCCCCCTCCCCACTTCTTGTCACTGCACCATCACTCGCTTTCATTTCACTCATCCCACCTCGACCAGTCTCCTCGCCACACCATCATGACCCGACCTTCGAAACTCGCCTTCATGACCAGACTCACCCTACAGCTCACAACTCGCAGGTAGCGGCAACCTCTCACACACGCACTGCAGTCGACAGCACACCCATCCTTCCCTCGACCAATTCCATCTCCTCTCCGCTCCTTTCCCCATGGTCCGCATGGCTGCTTGGTAAATCGCACTGTCTACGGTTCCAGCAGCAACCACGTCCGCTCTAGTGGCACCGTGCTGTCTCTCATCCACACAGCCTGCGCGAGAATCCCAAGCAGGACTGAATGCCGAGTGCATCTCGAACAGGTGACTTTCTCAAGCAAGTCATCCCCGTAGCGCTTGTAGCTGGTGCTTTCTCGGTGGTCGGCCGGCTAGGCCACCACGCATTGCGGTCACTCTCACTGTTGTCAGAGCACGCCCATCGACATCTCACGGTCATCAAAGTGGAGGCCATGCCGCGGAGTTCAACTCCTCTCCGCCACTGCCCCTTTCCAAATAATGGCCACATATTACGGGAATAGCGGCGTCACATTGATTGGCAATCGACCCGGAGGCAATTTGGGATTGGTGGTGGGAATCGGAGACGGGCAGGGACTGATTAGGCAATGCCTGGCTTGGTATGTGTGGGGCGTTTGGTGGAATGGCGGTGACGATGACGCGCAATGGGGGCGATGGCTTGTTGTCTGTGGGGTGCAAGAGCCTCGCGCCCCAGGGATAGAGTGGCGAACGGAATTGGAATAGGGTCAGGAGAACGGACAGAGTTTGCCGCAGAGGCTATGGCAAACGCTCAGGTCTCTTCATGCTTTTGGCGATTTCAGAGGCATTCGGGGAGGATGGCGCGTCAATGTTTGCCTGCTGCGGTGTGGTGGATGTGACATTGCTCCCGCGTTAACCCTCGGTCCTCGGGTGTGGGTCTTCCCTTTGCTCGCACCTTTTCCCCCCGTCCTTTGACGTTGCTTCCTTTCCCCCACTGCGCTGCCACCGTCCACCATCCACGTCCACCTACCAAACACCCACACACACCACCCAAGCGCGCCCCCCGCCCCGCCCCCCATCAGCCCTTTCACCTCACCCCCCCTCTCCCTCCTCGTCCTCCTCGCTCCTCTTCCTCCTCCGTCATTCTTCCCTCGTCTCTCCTCTTGTCCCTCTGTTTAGTCTTCCTCCCACGTCAAGACGCGTTTGCACGCGCCCCTCTTGTTGCTCCTCCTCCCCCTTGCTCCTCCTTCTCCTCCCTTCACCCACACCTACTCAGCCTCAAGCATAGCACCACCGCGTTACCCCCGCGCCCCCGTCGCAAACTGATTGCCTTGGCCGTCTCCCTTGTACGTACCATCCGCTCCACAACACACACATCACCTCGCCAGCCGCCGCCGCCGCCCTCCTCTCCTTCTCTCCTCCCTCCGCTTTTCCCTACTTGCCTCCTTCCACCACGTCTCTCCGACATCCAGTCCTGGAACCAAACAATCTGATCAGGCAGCAAAGGACGCCCACTGCCGCCCCGACCCACTCCTCGATCCTTTCTGGACAGAGAACACTAAGCGGTGAGTCGTGATCAGCCTCTATGCGGTCGGATGCACAAGGATGCTGACCCCGGTGACTCCCACCCTCGTACATCCGTTCCCCTGCCTTCCCCCACACCCATCCACTTCCATCCGCCTCCATCCCACCCCTCCATGCCGACGACGATGGCGACGACGACTCTCAATGCTACCCACCTCAACAATGGCAATGACATACAATCTGGCCTGGCTCATATCACTTGACTGACGTGTCTGGTCACTTCTCTTCCACCACCTGACCCTTGCCACCCACCATTCCTACAGTGGTCATATAAGGCCTCGCTTCATGCAGACGCAGACAACAACGGCTGTTCACCCAGGACATCCAGGACAGCCTTGGTCCAACGTGAGTATTTATCAGCATGTCTAGCATCTAACAAGAAGTCGGTCCACAACAAGATGTACCCCAATAGTAGTGCTCAGCGTAACACCGCAAGCCCCCGCGCTTACGAGGCGGGTGCTGCAGGAGCCCAGGCCAGTGACGACCAGTACAACTACCAGACTGCCGGTTTTGGCGGCCTCAGCGGTTACAATTACCAAAGCCAGATGGGGTGAGTGGACATTCCGTCGTTTGGGCAAACATGCGAACACAACGGCCCAATTGGCCAATCAACCATCCTCCACCCTCCGTGGCTAACTTTGACAGCATGTACAACACCTCGCCCCAGCTTCCCTCAGGGTCTCGGCGCACATCAAACCCAAAGGCCAGCCCAACTCAGCCAGCGTCTGCCACAGCCGCTACCTCGCCATCGGCCTACTACCCGCGAACTCAGCAAGCCGATGTGACGCAGTCGCCCTATCAGCAGAGCTCCCAGCCGCCCATCTCTCAACAGTACGGCGGCTACTACCCCTACCATGAGCAGTACGGTCAGCACCCCGGTCACCAGTGGCAGCAGTCATACAACGCCCAGTCCAACTTCAACCAGCAGAGGCAGTCCTCGTCTGGCACTATGCCGGCGAGTGCTGCCACGGGCACGACTGACCCTTCGCAGTCGTCCCGGCAGTCTGGCGGGTCGTTTGACTACTCGACGTCCCAGGGCCAGCAGCAGTACCCGAGCTGGGACCCCTCTCGTCAGGCGCAGGGTCATCAGTGGCCTCAGCAGGCATCGGCTCAGCAGACCTCTCAGCAACAGCAGGCCTCTCAACAGAGTGGCTCGCAGCAGCGCGGCAGCAGCAGTTCCGGCCAGCAGGCCAGTGTCGTCAATCCCAGCCCCTGGCAGGGTTACGGCTCGGGCGCACACCAGCCGTTCCCTCCCCCGCCGCAGCCTGTGACTCACCTGGGTGGCCAGATGCCCCCCGGCCAGTACGGTGCCGGGTGGGGGCAGCAGTGGCAGGGTCAGCCTGGTTACGGTGGCTACCCACCTCAGCCACCGGCGGCGGCTGCAGCACCCCCCACCACGGTGCCTCCCGCTGCTACTACGACTGCCCCGCCTCCCGCTGCCGCCGCCGCTTCGGCCCCTGCTCCCGCTACCAAAGGCAAGAAGAGCAAGAAGACGGAGGAAGCCGCCGCTGCCGCCGCTGCTGCGGCCGCCACTTCTCCTGTTCTCGGCAAGCGCTCCTCTGATGATGGTAACGACGAGCCTGAGAAGAAGCCGAAGATAAAGAAGGGCAAGAAAGAAGAAACCAAGGCTGCGCCCAAGCCTCCTTCCAAGTCGCACCTCAAACCTCCTCGGCAGGCGCCCTCGGCCTGGCAGCTCTTCTTTGCTGACGAGCTTAACAAGGCCAAGGCTGCCGCTGCGGCCGAGGCTGGTTCGACGCCAGGCGGTACTCCCATCCATCCCAAGCTGAATGTCGCTCAGATCGCCAAGGACGCTGGTGTCGCGTACGCCAGTTTGTCCGAGGATCGCAAAGCTTACTACGCCCGCAAAGTCGAGGAGGGCAAGGTGCAGTACCAGAAGGACCTGGCTGCATGGCAGGCTACCCTCACCCCTGAAGACATCAAGACCGAGAACGCTTTCCGCGCACAGCAGCGAAAAGATGGCAAGTCGCGTAAGGGCAACCTCAAAGATCCGAATGCGCCCAAGAAGCCTCTGTCGGCTTACTTCTTGTTCCTCAAAGGTATCCGCGAGAATGACGACCTGCGCAAGTCTGTGTGGGCCGACGAGGCTGAAACGACGCGTCAGAGCGTGCTTGCTGCCGAGAGGTGGCGTGGCCTTTCTGACGACGAGAAGAGGGTAAGTGCTACAGCTAATCATTCCTGGGTCCCTCTCACGACGAACAGCCCTACTTGCAGCAGGCCGAGAAAGACAAGCAAGAATACGAAGCGCTGCGCAAGATTTACGAAGACGATGCGGCTGCCCGCCAGCGTGGCGAGGCTCAAAGCGACCGCCCGATCTTCAAAGAGATTGAATCAGCCGTGATCAATCCCCCCAAGTCTCTGTTGGAACCGCGTAAGGAGGGCGACTTCCCTACTGGGTCTGACGCGCCCAAGGTTAATAAAGACGGTGCTGGCACCGCGGCGAATTCGACCAAGACTACGAGCAAGATACAGAAGAAGAAGAAGAAGGACGATGATTTCTCGACGATACCCACGACGACGATCAACCCGGCGTCGACGACTTTCACCGTTGCGCTCGAGTCGACGCCCGAGCGCGATACCAACCCCCTCGCCACATCTGGAGGCGGGTTCGACCCTACTATCGAGATGGACGAGTTTCGCGGATTTGAGGACATGGAGTTGACAGGTCTGGAGGCAATGACTGGCCACGGTGAGGCGGCGGAGGGGTGGGATCACTTGGGTTACATGGATGGGGCAGAGGGTGGCGACGTTGAAGCGGCTTCGGCTGCTGTTGCCGCTGCTGCTGCCGCAGTTGAGCGCAAGGCTAAGGCCTAGTGACGATGTGTTGCCATGGACGATGCCATGTTGTGTTGTATCCCTTGTGAGTTGTTTCCCTCCCCCTCGGTCTTCCTTCCTATAGTCTGTACCACTAGATAAACGACATGTGATGAGGACTATATTAACGTGGGGGCAGTCGCAAGTTGAGTCCTGCGTCCAAGTGAAGATGCCATCGGCTACAATCTATCACAACTCACGCACGCCCCGCTCGACGCGCTCGCCGGGGATGGCCTCAGCCTCATCCATCTGCCTCCCCAGCGCGCCCTCCATCCGCCTGAGGGCCGCGACCAGCAGCCTGCGCTCCTCCGCATCCTCCATCCCGAGGGCGCCCGCAATCTCCTCTGGCGGGGTAGCACCCAGCGCAGCGCGCAACTCTCCCCCGCGCTCAACAGGCCTGGGCACGCCGCGCTCCCCCCCGAAGAGCGGGGTAAACGCCCACGCCCTCGAGACCGCAAGCGCATCCACCGCCTCCCGTAACCCATCCACCTCCGGCGCATGCAGCAATCTCAACTGCGCTCCAAGCGCAACCAATACGGGGTGGTGCAGCGCATACGCCATCGTAAAGAGCAGGGGATGTGTGGATTCTGCATCAGCCCTCCCCTCTCGAACACTCACCTGCCACATCCCCTGCCGCTGCGAGCGCCGCGCTCGCCTCGACGGCCAAGCCGACGTTTGCGCGCCAGTGCGGGCGCGCGTCGCGCGCGAGCTGCGCCGCCTCGGGGATACGGCCGGCGAGGACGGCGGCGCGGATCGCCGTGGTCGTGAGTTCGCGCGGCGGTTTGGAGACCGCTAGGAGGTCGGACAGAGCGCGCGCTGCTTCTTCCTTTACGGAGGGGTCGGGCGCGGGGGTGGAGGAGGAGGGAGAGGAAGGGGAAGGGGAAGGAGACAAGAAGGAGGGCACGAGGGCGCGGTACGTCGCGGCGTACTCGACATGTTGCCGGTCCTTCTTCGAGGCGCCGGCGTGGTCTGTCGTGAGGAACCACTGGGGTTAGATGGCCGAGAGTGAAGTACAGGGAAAGAGGGCACGGAAAAGGAATGAGGAAAGCGTGGGGGTGTGGGAGTGTGTGACAAGTAACACTCACCCCGCGCTCAGTGTATGCGTGCTCGGGCTTGTACTCTGTCCTGCTCCGCACCACAGCCGCCGCGATGCGGCGCGCGCGCGCGTCCCCCTTGCTCTCGGCCGGGGCCGGCGAAGGCGCCGACGAGCGCGGCGACGGCGGCGCAGGCGTGCCCCCCGTCGATGTCGCGGCCGAGTGGATGCCTGGAAGATCGGGGGTGTCCATGATGGCGAGAGTTGAGTGAAGAGGGGAGGTGAGTACCAACATTTTGTGACCTCCGCTTTGGACTGGTTCCGTTGCGGATTCGAAGTGCGGCACCTTTGGCCTCCGACGCCGGGTCGAAGCGCAGCCATTTTCTGGCTACGGCACAGATTCGAAGCGCGGCACTTGCTGTCTCCGACTCTGATTCGAAGAGAGGTCGTGTCGCACTCCGACACCGATTCGAAGCGCGGCTCTCGTTCAGAGTCGAGGCGCAGAAACGCCCTTGTCAAGTGGGGCAGGATGATTTGCCCACGCGCACGTCACGTGGACGGGTCCGTGATACGCTTGAACTTGCACAAACCACCAAGAAGTTGTTGACATCACTCTCTCAGTACCATGGCCGCGCCGATGGCTTTCCCGGTCCTCCCAGCCAGCGACATTGCGCAGGTCGCAGCCGTGAGTCGGCGCTCTCACTCGCGCGCTCTCCCCTCTTTTCCAGCTTTACACGCAACCTTCATGCGCGGTCTCCGCACCACCTCGCTCATGCTGCTGTGCCTGCCTCCACCTATTCACTGCCCCTGCGTGCAGCCCCCCATCTCGCCTCAACTCGCTCGCTCCCGCGGCTTAACACTGCTAACCCATAACACTGCTAACCCCAGACCATCCTCCACTTGTTCGACCCCTCGACCTCTGCCCAGCCCTCCCTCGCGAAGTCTCTCCAGCAGCAGCTGCAGGACGTGCAGTCCCGCACCGAAGCATGGGGGCTGATCTCGGGCCTTGCGAAACATGAAGACGCTAATGTCCGCTTCTTCAGCGCGCACACTGCTCAGGTCAAGATCTCGCGAGATTGGTGAGTACCGCGACTTACCGCAACTCCGAGGCGCCGGCGCTATCATGCTGACCTCACCCGCCGCGGCTAACGTCTACCGCGCTCCATCCTCGCGTCCTCCTCATGCTAACGCCAGGGACTCTCTCCCCACCGAGATGCAGCCTGCGCTTCTCGCGCTCATCCTCGACACTCTCGCTGAGGCAGTCTCGCCTACCAACGCAACAACCCACCAGCCTGGTAACGCCATAGTCGTGCGCAAGCTGTTCGGGTGTGTGAGTCATTCAAAGCACCGTTCGCGACGCGCGCTGACGTTCAGCTCGCTTCTCTCATCCTTCGCCTCCCGTTCTACCGCTTTCCCGATCCCATAACTACCGTGCTTCAGACTCTGTCGAGCGCGCTTGCCAGAGCCACGGCGTTGCCCCCCTCAGCGCCTGTGTCAGGGTACTCGACGCCAGTGCCGGGCACAGGATCGGCAAGTGATGGCATGCGCCAGCGCATGCGGCTGTGGGCGCTGGAGTGGTGCGGGATCTGCGTGGAGGAGATCTCGCGTGCGGGGTTGAGCGAGCAAAAGCGGTGAGTCACCATAGGTGCTAAGGATGGGGGGTCAGATTGCGCGAGCAGCATACTCTCGCCGTTAGGTGTGGCTACGCATGCCCATGAACTGCCTTCAGTAGACCCCTCTGTCAACTGTTGAAATTACCCGCCCCCCGCGCCCCCCCCCCCCCCCACCTCTGCGCGTGCGCTGACGACAGAACTGCCCTTCGACGCCACATTGACACTGACCTCCCCGCTGTGATGGCGACCATTACCGAGAGCATGACCGGCGAAGCGCTCCAGTCCCCCGCCGATCGTATTCGCGCCGCCGAGGCCGCGTGCAAGTGCGCCGACAGCTGGATTAACTACGGCATCGGGGCAGACGAAATGTCGGCTTTGCTTCCACACATATTCGCCCTGCTCCCACTCCCCGCTGCATCCGGTACCATTGCGGAAGTCCTGTCCGAGTCGATCTTCAAATTCGGCAAGGGGTCAAAGATTCTCACCGAGCCGTTGCTCGCCTGGGTCATTGGACCCAATGGCCAAGGACTGCTTGGCTCGGCCGAGGGTGAGCCCTCTGATGCGGTCATCGAATTCACAAAGATGCTCTGCGCCCTCGTTGAGCATTCATCGGACTGGCTGGTGGCGCGATTGCAACAGCCGGACGTCCAGGCGTTTTTCGCCACAATCCTGCGGATCACCGGCTGGGATGGCGTGGGCGGTGTCGACGAGAACGTCTCTGAACTCACCCTTCCCATCTACCCGCTCATCCAAGAAGCGATAATGGAATCGGACGTGTTCGCTGAACCGCACGAAACCTCTGCGTCGTGGGCTGTCGCAAAGCAGTTCTTCCGTGAGCTCGTCCTTGTCACAAGACGCAAGGTGCGCTGGCCTGGATCGGGCGAGGAAGCATCGTTGGGCGGTCTCGACCGCGAGGACCGCGATGCTTTCGACACGTGGCGCCGGGACGCTGGCGAAGTCATCGTGGGCGCCTATTACATTCTCCGAGAGGACATGCTGTCGTCTTTGACGGAGACAGTATGCGAGCAGGTTGCCACCCAGGCACCCTGGCAGGATGTCGAGGCGACGCTCCACTGCATTCGGTATTCGGGTGAGGGTGTACCGCTCGGCGAGGAGACGTCGCTACCTCTCATCTTCTCAAAACAGCTCATTGATGGTCTCTCCAACCGTCCACACGCAGGTCTCGGCGAGGAGCGCCTGCGCCTGACGTTTGTGTGCCTTATCCGCGCCTACGAAGAATGGTTCAAGTACCATCCTGATCACCTGTGGCCGGTCCTTTCCTACCTCGTTCCCTCACTCACGTCCTCGCGGCTGGTGTCCCCATCGGCCGCCGACTCGCTCAAAGCGCTGTGCGACATCTGCCGGTCAAAGCTGGTCCAGCATATCGGTGCATTCTCAGAACTGCACGGCAAGATCGGCGACCTGGGCCCCGAAGAACAGACCAAGGTTATCGAGGGAATTACGAGCGTCATCCAGGCATTGGCTCCAGCTGACGCGATCGGCCCCGTCCAGGGCATCATGGGCCCGATCGTCGACCGTATGACTCAGGCAGTTGCGACTCGGGAGCCTGCCAGTCTCGTGCAAGCGATGAACGCTCTCACAGCGTGCTTCAAAGGCCTCTCGCCCTCCGACGACGAGATTTTCGACGTAGACTACGACGACCAGGCGAAACAGACGGCTATTGCGACAGCACGCTCAGACCCGGCAATGGTCGCGCTCCGTCAGCGCGCAGAGCAGGCGTTTACCGCCGTGGTACAGGTGTGGAACGGCGACGCCGAAGTGGCAGACGCGATTTCGAGCCTCCTCAAGCAAGCGACCATCTCGGCGTCTGAGACGCTCATTTCACTCTCCCCCCTTCCCCTTCTCACGCTGGTGTGCGCGGCATGCGAGCAGGCACCATCCGCTCTCTGGATGAGCCTCGCCAGCACGCTGACGCTTCGTATCGGCACAGCTACTTCAGAGCTGCAGCTGAAGACGAACAAGACGTCGGCCGAGGACCAGCGCAAGCTCGAAGAGGACTCTGAGCGGTGGCAGGTGGTGGGAGACGCGGCGAACCGCCTCGCCGTTGTCGCGGGGCGGATGCTCGGTCCGGATGGGGCAATCCGCGACAATCCCGACGTGGTGGAGAGCTGGTTCAAGTTTTGCCACGCGCTGGCTTCCCGCTTCCCGGGCGTTCTTCTTCGTCTGCCCGAGCCCGTGATCGATGCCTACATGTCGCTGGGCATCATGGGCCTGGCCGCCCAAGAGCGATTCAGCCTTAAGGGTGCGGCCGAATTCTTCGTCGCCCTCTTCGCCAACACCCGCTATCCGTCGCCACTGGAGGAGCCCTCGGAGCGCCTGGTTAAGCTCTATGGCCCGCGTCTTCTCCGTGCCCTTTTGCTCAGTGCGGGAGCTGAGGGCCCTCGCTCCGTCATCCCTAACCTCGCCCAGCTCCTCGCCTCTCTCGTCACCCGTTCGCAGGGATCCGACATGGCCGCCTGGCTCGATGCTATCCTTGCAGAGCCCGGCTTCCCCGACCCGCGTGCGACGCCGGAGGCAAAGGCTCGCCTGAAGGGCGTCGTCCTGCGAACCCGGTTAGCGTCCAAGCTAAGGGAGGCGCTGCACGAGTTTGCACTTGTAGCCCGCGGCCTCGCCAACACGACATACGGCAACGCGACAGCACAGTCGCTCGCGTAACATATACTGTATGCATTGCATCATCTCACCCTTTAGATAATGTTGCTCTCCCTCAACGCGCGACACAGCACGGTGGTCATGCGCCGCGTCCGTTCGATCCCTGTCCAGCCCTCCACCGCCTCTCCGTCCCACACAAGCACCTTCTCGACGCCCTCCACGTTGTCCGGTATGCAGCCGCGCAGGAACTCCTCGAGCACAGCGCGGTTGGCAGCGCTCGGCGCCACGCCCTCCCACTCAGCCTCGAGGAAGATGCTGGGCGCAGCATTGGGCAGGATGTGCACGCTCAGAGTGAGCGGCGGCTGAGGGTGGCTGGGCGGCGGGAACGCGAGCGTGCTAATCACCAAAGAGCTGCCTTGCAGCGGAGAGGGGCCGGCGGCTTGGCCCGTCGTGCTCGCGCCCGCACGCCCCTGTTTTGTGAGGCCCAGCACGAAGGGCGAGAGCAGGTTGTGCAGCGTCGGCATGACGGACGTTGCGGGCTTGACAGCCAGAGTTTTGAAGCGCTTTCTTTCGCGCGGCGGGGAAGGAAGTCGGGGAGCTGAGGGAGCGGGGGCGGATACGGGAGGAGCCGAGGGGGTAGGATCGGGAGGGGCGGGCGCGCCATTCTTCGGCGCGTCGATTATCTCAAACCCATCCTCTTCAAGGACGTCCTTGATCTCTATCGGTTCGGGTTCCTTCTTGTCCTCTTTCTTTACCTCAAACTCTTCGTCTTTCATCTCGACGTCCCCATCCTTTGTCTCCTTCTCCTCAGCCTTGGCGCTCGAGCCTGTGGTCGCGCCCGCCCCACCCTTCGACTCCGTCTTCACCCCTCTGTCCTCGAGGAAGAGGTAGGTGCAGTCGTCCCGTGCCCCGGTCGGCACCGGCACGTCGCGCACCGGCGGGATGGGCTGCGAGTAAGTGACGGTCGTGAGGATGCGTGTCGCAGACCCATCGCCGTCGGGGAAGGAGGCGCGGAAGGTGCGGAACTGGATCGAAGAGCGGAGGGGGTGGGTAATCTGCCATTAGATGAGAGTTTGGGAGGACCATGCGCGGGTAGGCGACGGAGCTGCAACTAGCGGCAGACATGGAAATCATGGCAGGGCATGTACTGGCGTCTACCACGCGGATGAAGCCAGGTTACTGGCAAGGTGGCGAGACCGCGGCGTGGTGCGAAGAAGACTCACATTGTAATGCTCCAGCACGCGGGACAGGACAAGGTCGCTTGTGCTCGTGCGACCGGGAGCTGCAGGCGTCCATTGCATCAATCTGGCGTCAGCTCCGATTGCGGATGGGCTCTCACATAGAATACCCCATGCTGGTCGAAGGTAACAAGGGGTGGACGATAGCGCGCAGTGGCCGGTCGCTGCTTGTGTGATGAAGGAACTCAGGATTGGAGGACACTCGAAATGTTGTCACAACAACATTCACCTCCACTCTCATTCCCGGGTTGCGAACACAACCGTTTCAGCTTGCGCACACAACTGGAGACGACGATACAGCACACAGCGCCGAAACGGGGTAGAGAGACGGAGATACGTGTCGTGAGCGAAAGTACTGCGGCCCAGCCCAGAGCTCTGCGGCACAGTACGCGATCACGCTCGCCTTGTTTTTCTCTGCGCGCAAACAACGCCCATCACATCGTTCGCAACAGGCCTCCTCCATAACCCCTTCACCACCCTCAGAATTTTTCCTTGTCGCTCTGTTCTACTGTTTGCAACCTTTGATCTCTCGACACCATGAAGGTCACTATTAAGGCCCTCCGCCCCGTCGCCGTATGGAAGTGGGACACGTCCAACGAACCACACAAGCTCTACCACTACGGCAATGGCGGCGTAATGGACGACGAGGATGAGGACGAGGAGTGCGGCATCTGCCGGCTCTCCTTCGAGTCCTGTTGTCCAGCATGCAAGATGCCCGGCGACGACTGTCCGCTCAGTGAGCACTCCTCTGTGTTGAAGCCCCATCTGCCTTGATCGCTGACGGACCAGTCTGGGGCACATGCACGCACGTCTTCCACATGCACTGCCTGCTACAGTGGCTCGAAACGGAGCAGAGCAAGGAGCAGTGCCCGCTCGATCGTCGCAAGTGGGGTGAGTCAACCATACATGCCTTATCTCTTGGCTTGCAATCGCTGACAGCAGAAACGGCCGACCGCAAGCCAGACCGTCTGCCCACGACCGTGGATGGGGCACCCGTTGCAACGCTTGCGCCTGGGCCCATCGTTGTGGACGACGACGACTCGCTGGACGAGGAGATGCGCAACAGGCTGGACGAGGCGTACGAGGATGGTACCATGCAAGCCTTCACGCGTTCGCCTTAACGGGTGCGCCACAGCGCGTCGCAAGTGGTGCAGGACTCGCGGAAGGCTTTACAAGATCACAAGACGCGAGCTCGGTGTTGTTCATTTCGACGCCACCGTGCACCAGCACCCCACCTCTCATGGTCTGTACTATATCATGCATGGATACCTGTTTCCTACACGCTGTGTGAAGAGGTTGCACCACATACCGACGCGCGCGCGTGAGTGATGACGATTCGGTCAATTGCCACCGCCAAGGATCCCAAGGAACCCAGCGCAGCCGGAGTTGCATCGCCTCGCGCCGTACTTTAGCATTTCCACTTCGTCCACCCACCCACACACCCATGGCCTCCGTCCCCCAAATCAATACGACGGCGGCCACGCCGCCCGCTGGCTCCCCGAGCCGGCTGGAGGACGACCCCTTAGGAAGGATGAGCGAGGAAGTTGGACTAGCGACGATGATGGAGGAGTTGCCCCCACCAGTAAGTCGACGCGTTGCGCCTGGGCGAGCAATTCACTCGGGAGCTTGGGTGCACGCTCAGCAAACTGCTTTCACGAAACTGCACGGCCCTCTGTGCTCCTTTTACATTGTGGTTCAGCTAATGGCAGCCAACAATACACGCTCTCGCGCAACAGGGTGACATCGCTGGCCTCGAGGCGCTCCTCGCCGAGCACCCGGACACGGACCTCAGCGCGCGCGATGCTCAAGACGTCTTTCCACTTCATTGGGCGGCTATCAACGCGCACGTCGCAGCATGTCGCTGGCTCTTGGATCATGGAGCGGATGTTGACGCTGTCGGCGGCGAGCTTAAGGCTACCCCGCTGCAGTGGGCCGCGCGGTGAGCTCAATGGGGGGCGCGCTGATCCCAGAAATGGACACCTCTATGTGATGCACCTACTCCTGACACATGGCGCCGACCCGAACATACGCGACGGACAGGGATTCAACACGCTGCATCTAGTGACGCACAGTAGTGCAGTCATGCCGCTGCTGTACATGGTGAGTCCGCCCTCCCTCCATCTCCACTTCGTCCTGGCCAATGTTTCCTGTCTCATGGCCTTTCTTTCCGCTGCCATCTTTGTAGATGTCCTCCGCTAACACCAGCTTCAGCAACCTGTCGCCGTCGACGAGGCCGACAGTGACGGACACACCGCGCTGATGTGGGCTGCGTACCAGGGCGACGGACTCAGCGTAGAGCTTCTCCTCGCACACGGCGCTTCCGTGACGACTCGCGACCACGCTGGCCTCTCTCCCCTCCACTGGGCGGTAGTTAAAGGCTCGGTAGTGTGCATCAAACACCTCCTGCTGGCCGGCGCGGATTTCAATGCGCGCGAGGAGCAGGGCAAGACGCCGCGGGATATGGCCGACGAGCTCAAGGCGTCTGCGCCGCTCAGTCGCGCGCTCCAGGACGCGAATTTCAATGAGTACGGCCAGCGCGTGCAAGCGAGCTTCAGTCCACGCGTCACCATGGGCATCATCTTTGCGTTCCCCCTTGTCGTGCTGTCGATTTCGTTCAGCGCATTCGGCATTCTCGAGTGGTACTTCGCCTGGCCGTTGTTCCTCGCCCTGTTTGCGGCAATGCAGATTGTGAGTTGTTGCGCACACCCTCCTTCTCGATGGCATTGCTCATTCAGACAACCGTCAAAGTTCTCCTCGCGGACAAGCCCATGGCCGACCGTGTCGTGACGTCGCCATACTTCGCGGCGATCATTAGCGCTTCCCTCGTAATCGTGGCGTACGCGTGGCTTACCCGACTGGTCATTGGCGCTCCGGGCCACCTCGTCAGCCAGGCGCTCTTCCTTGCCTCCCTCCTTGGGTGCGTCTTCACATTCGTGAAAGCCATTCGCACCGACCCCGGCTACGTCCCACGCGTCGATGCGGAGGAGATGAAGGAGCAGATCGAAGAGCTCACCGACCAAGGTCGGCTCAACGGCACAAACTGGTGCATCTTCTGCATGGTGCGCAAGCCCCTCAGGTCCAAGCACTGCCGACAGTGCAACCGATGTGTGGGGAGGTTTGACCACCATTGCCCATGGATCTGGAACTGTGGTGAGTTCGACTGGGTCGAAGGCGCCACACAAGGCTGAGTGTCCCTACGGGCTCTGCCCTCTCAACGACGTGCACTTACATCAGTCGGCTTCAACAATCATCGCTACTTCCTCCTCTTCGTTCTGACCCTCATAATGGGCGTTATCTTTTTCGACCGGCTAGCGTACTTCTACATTATCGAGAACGCGCCACCCGCAACGCCCGGTGAGGGTCTCACGCTCTGCAACATCTCCGAAACAATGTGCCGAGGAGCGGCGCTTGACGGTTTCCTCCTCGCGTGCGCGGCCTGGGCTACGCTTCAGCTGAGCTGGACGTTCATCCTCGGCTGCTCCCAGCTCTGGCAAGTCGCACGGCAGATGAGCACATATGAGGTCTCCAACCTCGGCCGATACGGGTACATGGGCGGGCGTGGAGGCACTTCTCTGCGCGACCAGAGCGGGGCGGTGCGCGGCAGCACCGTCTTCGTGCCAATGCCTGATACCGAGGCTGACTTCTCGCACCTTCCGCCGCCCCCGGGTGGTGGAGGACATCCTCACGCTCATCAACACCATCGGTGCGGTGCCCTTGGGCGCATCTGCTCGGCCCTCGGCGCTGCAATCACCGGTCCAGTCTTCCGACTCGTAGGCCTCGATCAGTTTACCAAGGGCCGCGCTGTGAGCGGAATGGCACGCGCCGGGCGCGATCAAAACCCCTTCGACCTAGGCGTTGTCAAGAACTGCTCTGACTTCTGGTGCGGCGCTCCTGGCGTCGACTATATGCACCTGTACGAGGTGCCGCCCGAAGGGTGGCCCGCTTATCGCCGCAAATTGGCGGCGGGGGGCAGGGGGTATGTGCCAGTTGCGCGCGAGGAGGTATAGAGGGCGTATGCAGGTTTTGAGGTCGCACTCACAAACTGTGCGGTCACCACAAGAAGCACTTGCTGTTGACAAGCCACTCATGGACCAGCCCCACCTTACTGATCGCAGACCGCAAGCAGGGTGTTGCGCCGGCACGCTTCATGCAACTATCGATTCCTCTCCCTCCCACGTTTTCGCCATAAGCCACGGGAGTAGCAGGAGCAAACACCAGCCTCGCCTGCTGCCTCGACCAGTTTGGCGTGAGGGGATGGCACGGTGCGAGCGGGCGAGGAATGGCGCTGCCCAGCACCTTAAAGTCCGTTATCAACATTTACTAACCCTCTTACCTTTTCCAACCTCTCCTCCTGTCCAGCTTTCCACCGCCGAACAACGAGGCACGTCAGGTCCTTTCCATGGAGACCCACTACCATGTCCTCGGCGTCACCTCCATGGCGACGCCGGCGGAGAGTGAGATCCACGTCGGATAGCCATGTTGGCTGCGTCCCACCATCACACATCTCTAGTACTAACCCTAGTTGCTCGCGCATACAAATCACTAGCGCTCATTAACCACCCCGACAAGGCGACAGGCTCAATTGTGGCTTTCCAGCGCATCGGTGAGGCGAACGCCACCATCTCCGACCCTACCAAGCGGGCGACGTATGACGCGCGACAAGGCCTTTGGGCTCGCCCCAGCGCCGACGGTAATAGCGACGCAGAGTATTGGAGGATATACGAAGAAGTACAATCGGCGTTGTCGCTTTCCAGCCACATTATAAACCCTCCTGGGGCCTACAACTCATGGGCCTGCGACACGCCTCCGCCATGTTCCGATTTTTGTGACCCTCGGTTTTACCGTTCGGATTTCGCTGCCCGGCGGTTCCCACAAAACGCCTGACCCCAGCCAGCGCATGTGTTCACAGCTGGACCGGCAACCAACTTTGAGACGGCCTCATCAAGCGCCTCCCGAGCCAACCAGCGTCGCGCTTCAAGCAGCGTCTGAAGCAGCTCCTTGAGCAACGGCTCAAGCATGCCCCCCGAGGCGTTGCAAAGAGAGCAAGATCGACGCGGGTCTCCCTTCCGCCCAACCTGCACTCGCCCGGCTCTTCCGCAGCAGCAGTCAACTGCCGAGCCCTTGCGCAGCAGCAACTTGTACTCCCACGGCCACCCTTACCACCACCAATACCAGAGCCACAGGGCGCGCGAGGACGACGCGCCCTTGCGAGGATATTACAAGCACAGCCAGCCCATGCAGCCCAGCCAACATTGGCACGGCTGCAGCCATGCCAATGTGGATTGCAGTACACCCCGCCCGCATCCTTTTTCAGCCGACAATACCGGTTCCATGGGCTATTCCTACACCCCCTCAGCCCGTGTACGTCTCCTCTCCTCCTCCAGTCATACCCGGTGCCATACCCGTCTCGCTCCACGTGAAGGCCGTGGCGCCGCATGGGTCCTCTTTGACACTCGTCCTAGACGCCCCACACCTACATTGCCAGACCAAGGTGCCTATCTCCTCCAACTTCTCGAGGAAGGGATTCCGGTGCGGCTTCAGACCATCGTGAAGCCTTCTGCACATGAGGCAAACCGAGACCGCGCTTGACTGGCTCAGCCGCTTTGCGCTCTTCATGTTATTCAACGAACGCGCAGATTGTCCTTCTGCGGATGCTGTTGTAATTCCGCGAGAACGAAGCTGATGTAATTTCCGACCTGCGTCAAGATGAATCTGCCAGCCCATTGATCAACTTCTGGGCAGCTTGTTCAGGAGGGCAATGCCTGGGCTACACATCTTTCTGTCCCAACGATTGAAATCTGACCATGACTAGCCCCAGCCAAACCATACGAGACTCCTCTCCGTAAAGCCCGGCTGGAGGCTTCCTCGTCACGCCTCCTCGGTAAACATGTATTTGTCCAGTCGTCAGTCGAGCCCTTGCCCAGTCAGTCATACAGATACATGGTTGACCTCGGATCGAGCCTGAGCGACCTCACCGCTGCAACACAACCCTAGTTGGAGTTCTGTCCTGTCCGCAACGAAGCCTCCGTGAGCTCGATGACCTGGTGTCAGCGTGTACGAGAGTGAAGCCTTCTTGGGCGCCCACCTTCTGAATGTCGGGGCGCTGCTGGGGGTCCACAACCAGCATCGCGTCGATGAGCTTTGTCACTCGATCAGAGTAGCCGCCCGGGTGTCGGTAGCGTCCGGACATGACGGCCATGGCGAGAGACGAGCCATCGGTCTCGAATGGGCTGAAGCCGTACGCCACGGCATACAGCGTACATCCCAGACTCCAGATGTCGACCTTCTCGTCAAGCGTTTTGCCCGTCTTGACGTCAAACAGTTCCGGTGCGCGGTAAGGCATCGTGCTGTGTTCGGCGGCAATATCTTGTTCGAGCAGCGCCTGCTGGCGATTAGAGATGGGGATGCGAGCTCTGGATGTAAGCGGAGGCAATAACAACTCCAGGAGGGAGTGGGTTGAAGAGGCAAGTTGGGAGACGCGTGTGAGAGGAGCTACTCACTTGATCGTCGACCCAAAGTCCATGAGAATGGGCGTATCATCGTCGGCGAGCATCACATTCCCCGGCTTGATGTCGCGATGAGCGTATGGCACGAGCTCGCCCTCTTGCCCCGGCTCGTCCTCTGGAGCGTCGAAAACAAGCTCAGGTTGGTTAAGAAGTGGCTCGTCGTCGCGCGTCGGAGGGTATGTTGCCGTGACATTCGGTAGGCGGTATTGGTGCATGGCACGGACGGCGAGACAGGTGCCGTGGAAGATGCGGAGAAGGCGGTCCTCGTCAATCCGGTTTCCAGTCACCCCGTTCTGCGTCATCAAGTCCTGCAGGTTGCCTTTGGGGTAGTAGGGAAGGAATCTGGTGTGAGCGTGGGAGCGACATGAGGAGCGGTGCGGAACGCCGAGCGACCCTCGGCGGCGGATGCCAGATTGGCAAGGGGTTGCGCACTCACAGATAGATGATTTTACCGTCGCCGCTCTCGTCCTGCTGCACTGCCGAGTCCAGGAGCTTGATGATGTTTGGATGACGGAAGCGGCGCATCATCTCGACCTCCCGCATTGCCTGCTGCACACCCTCCTGACCTGTGGTAACGAGCATCTTCTTGAGGGCGAACAGCTGCCCCAGGCTCGTGTCGTGTATAAGGTACACGAAGGAGAAACCTCCCTCGCCTAGCAGCTTGTCAACCTTGTACTGCCTCCCGTTGATCTTGAGTGTCGCATCGCTGAGGTTAGCACCGGCGATGAACGGAAGCCCGCGGGTGTTGGAGGGAAGGTAGTCGGGTTTCCGAGACTTACGGACGGCAAATGCACTGCTATCAGCAAGCCCTAACGCAGCAGACGCACCTGTGTCACAGTCATGAGCGCATCCTGCGCGTAGAACTTCACGCGGTCAAGCGCGATGAGAAGGTTGTCGTTCATGGTGGATGTGGAAAGATGAGAGCTCGGCGCGTCCTGTTGCGGTGAGGCGCCAACAAGGCGGTGTGGGGTCCCCGGTGGTCCCTGCCCAACTCGATTATTTGCTGAGTTCGACTGTGGCCTCTTCCAACTTCTGCATGCTCTCCAACCGTCTAGCACGACCACTCCGCCGCTTCTACATGGCCTCCGCCCGTCCCGTTATTGCCGCAGGCGCCATCCGCCTCTCCGACACCGAGGACAAGTTCGTGACTCTCCTCGACGAGTTCTCGCGTGGCTACAACCCCCCAATCGAGTGCCGCATTGCGGGCGGCTGGGTGCGGGACAAGGTGAGCGCTGCATCTCTCTCTGTCTCTCTCTCTCTCTCTCTCTCTTCGTTGTCTTACTTTGGGCTTCTGCTGAAGCCAGATCCTTGATCTTCCCTCTCATGACCTCGATGTTGCGCTGTCCACGACGAGCGGGTATGCGTTCGCTGAGGCATTCGTCGCCTTCCTCCATGAGCACGGCGTGACCACAGGCAGCGTGGGGCGCGTCGCTGCAAACCCCGAGCAGAGCAAGCACCTTGAAACGGGAACTACAAGAGTGCTGGGTTTAGAGTGCGACTTTGTTGGCTTGCGCAGTGAAACGTACACCGACTCTCGCATCCCGGACCAGGTCAAGCTCGGAACGCCGCTCGAGGACGCCTTGAGGCGTGACCTGACGGTCAACAGCTTGTTCTTCAATGTCCACTCGCGCGAGGTCGAGGATTGGACGCGACATGGCCTGTCTGATTTGACGAAGCGCATCGCGCGCACTCCGCTTCCTCCGAAGCAGACATTCCTCGATGACCCCCTCCGTGTCCTTAGGTGCATCCGCTTCGCGTCCCGCTTTGACCTCGCCATTGAGCCCGACGTGAGCGCAGCCATAATGGAGGGCGATATTAAGGCTGCTCTTAAGACCAAGGTGTCCAAGGAACGCGTTGGTATTGAGACGACCAAGATGCTTCAGAAGGCCCCACTGCGCGCCATGGAGCTCATTGACGAGCTCGGCCTCCACTCCAGCATCTTTGTGGTGCCGGATCAGAACATCCAGCCGCCGCATGACCGCGGAGAAGGTTTGAAGGCCACTCAAATCCTCGCCGCTGTACTTGAGCGCGAGGGACGGTGGAAGGGCAGCGAGGCACTGTGGCTCGCGGCGGCCGTTTGCCCCTTCCGGGGCGCGATCGCCGCCGAGAAGAAGAAGGATTCGCCTGCAGCAGCAGTGGTGGTCTCAGAAGGTCTTAAGGTGAGACGAGACGAGTTTGGTAGCTAATGACAGCTGTCTAACGAGCTCAAGCTCGGTGTGTCGAACCTGTTCGAGGCGGCCTCGCTCTTGGATCCCAAGGTCCAAGGACGCGCGCGCATTGGCACGACGCTTCAGCTCCCCGCCGTGAAGCCCTGGGAGAGCAGCATTGTCTGGGCTGTGGTCGACCGCATCTTGCCCACTTGGGAAGGAACATGGGGCGCAGAACAGGACGCGATTCTCGTGGAATGGACCACATTCTACGACAAAATTGTAGCCCTCGGACTGCCGGAGAGTATCAAGCAGCCCCCACTGGTCAACGTGGGTTACAATCCATTGGGTTGGGCGCTCACACCAGGGCAAGGAGCTGCAGGCCATCCTGAGTCTGCCACCAGGCCAGCTTATCCAGGTCATTCTCAAGGCCATCAACTGGTGGCAGCTGGACCATCCTGAGAAGACGAAGGAAGATGCAGCGGCGTGGGTCGCGGAGCAGTGGGCGGGCGAGGCTCGGGCCAAGTGGGAGGCGGATATCCCTCCCCACATTCCAAAGGCGAAGAAGAAGGGCGCGGAGAAGAAACAGCAGCAGCAGAAGCAGCAGACTCAGAAGAGGCCATAGGGGGGCGCGGCGCGCGGCTCTCCCAGTGCCAAGCGCCAATGCGTACGATAGACTCTACATAGTACATATATACACTTTACAAGCGATCACCAAACGAGATTGTGAAGGGTCGCAATTCTGGCGGAGCGTCCAACCCAGAAGTCACCAGTGACAGGCAAGTCACCGATTTCGATGTCCTCGCCGACCCCTAGATCCGCACGCACATCCACCACTCCGCCAATGCCGGCGCTCGCGCCGCCCTTGAAGATGACTTTGCTCACGAAGGCGCGGAAGATGCTCTCCCGGCCCTCAAGCACGTCAAGGGGCACATTCTCAAACGGCGCGCGCACTACCAGCGCGTCGGGGGTGGCGGGGTCGTCGGAGCGCACCGTCGTGGAGTGGAGGAAGTGGGATGGGTGAATGCGAGCGAAGGCTCCCTGCGGCGGATTGCGGGGGTCGGGCCGGTCATCGGATATGGCCGGACCATCGTAGATGAGGACATCCGGTTGAATAGCGGAGACGTTGAGATCCACACCCTCGAGGCCGTCGGGCAACTGCACAAGCGCGACAACGGTGCCGCTGGCCTCTATGGCATCGCCGCCGCCAAGCTTCATGCCCTCCACTGTGACAGACCGGACAATCTGTGGTGCAGGGTGCGGCGCTGGGAACTTGAGGTTCAAAGAGAGGCTGGGGAGGGTCTGGAGAACGAACTGTGGTGGTGAGGGGCCTTTGTACCGCCGTGGCATGTCGTGAAGGCCGCGCACAGTGATAGGAGAGTCCTGGCCGTGCAGGAAGCGCCGGAGGAATTTACCCAGCGCATCAGAGCTGCTCGTGGCCATAATGTCGCCCTCGAGCGACAGCTCGATCCTCTCCTTTGACACGCTGGCGGTGTTTGCCACGACTTCAGCCATACGCGCGCCCTCGTACTCAATCGCGAAGGGCAAGGGAAACGGGATGTCGGCGACTCCAGGGTTGGGCAACGCCGCCAGAGCGATGATACGAAGTCCGTCCCTGTTGGTGAAGGTGTAGTTGTGCAATGTCACGAGTTTACTTAGGTCGAGCTTCTTGCCAGGCTGAGGAAAATTGGGGAGCGCCGGCACTGGCATCAGAGCGTGAACGAGCGGGGCACTGGTTCAGCGCCATCTAGATACCACTCACCGTCGAACTTGATGGGAAAGGCAAGGTCCGCTTGAGTGAATGTGAAGCCTAGAAGTCGGGCCTGAGCCTCCGGCACACCCAAGATCACCTCGGCGTCGCCAGCAGCCCATGCCTTCTGGACCCAACCCCAGATCTCACCGACCGACGCTATCGGTGCCCCAACCGCCTCCACAGAGAGCGGGCGAAGTTCATCCCCGCGCACGAGGGGCACAAGGATGTCGCCCGGGAACGTGATGTTGAGTAAGGGCAAACCGCCGCCGCGCGGGTATACCTGTAGCTGCGGAATAGTGACTCGCACGGTGTCCGGGAGGGGCACGGCGTGTGCGGCGCCGCGCCTGAGGCCCTGCCACCAACTACTTCCGCGGCGACCATCCAGAGCGAGAGCGGAATCGATGTCCAGCCCACCTGAGAGTGTGACGTTGACGCGCACGCCCTCGTCACTGACATTCTGAATGTGGAGCGTGGGAGTACCGTACTTGAAGCTGTCGGGGAGGTCTTGGATCTCACGCTCGGAAGGTACGAAAGAGGCGGCGAGGATGGCGATGAAACCCACACTTGCGAGAAGTGCTAGCAAGGCGACGTAAACCCCCAAACGACGAGGTCGGGGTGGAGCCTGAACACATGCGGGAGGCAGAGAGGAGGACGAAGATGAGGAGGGGTCACCAAGAAGTGGGGAGCGCTCGGTGGGCGGGGCGGCGCGGGCCTTGCCCTTATCCTTGGCAGTGGGCATCGTCGAGCTGCGAGAAGGGGAGGTAGATGTGAAGTGGGTGGCAAACGCGGGTCTGGGAGGTGCTCTCAGCGCATCCAATACAGCGTCGTCGTCGGCGAAACGTACGGAAAGATAGCGCTTCCCGTTAAGACAAGGGAGATGTCGCAAGGCAGTAGATTGAATGAGAGACAGTGGAGAAGTGATGAGAAGACTCGAGTTCGAGTGGCGTGGAGATCGCATTCTCAGGGGTGGATGGGTGATGAGCTTTCGGCTGGATTTGTGTTGGTTTCCAGTTCCGTGCCTCCGACTAACAACTCAAATCACCAACAACCTCCGTGACGTCTGTCTGTGCGCCATGTTCGACCGACCCACCTCCCTCCCCGAGGGCAGGGTGGCCACACTCGGTAAGTCCATGGTCCCATGGGCTATGAGAGCGGCAGAGTGCCTGACCGCTGACTGGAGGTATGCTAATCATCGACCACTTCGCTGTCTGCGACGAGGACGGCCGAGAGGTGCCCGTGGACGAGCCAACAGTGAGACACCAGTCGGTCGGCACGCGGAAGGGTAGAGTTAGAACTGACACTAGCTCGGTGGCGGCGGCTTGTACGCGACCGTGGCTGCGCGACAATTCCTCCCCCCCGCTAACGTGGGGTTCATTGCAGATGTTGGGCCTGACTTCCCGGCCTCCTTCCGGTCGCAGCTGGAACGGCTTGGGGAGATGGTGTCATTTCGCCCGAGAGACGTCACAACGCGTGCGCTCAACATCTATTCCGGAGCCAGGGTTGGGTATGCCGGAGAGTGGGCAGGCTGATGCCAGGGAGGGGACGCAGAGCTTTCGATACCTTGTCCCCCGTAAGCAGATCACGCCGCGCGACTTCCTGCCACCTTGTCCAGTAGGAGGCGTGCGTTGGCTTCACGTTGTGTGTGATACGCAGCGTGCGGGGGCAATCTTGGATGAGATCCAAGGCATAGGGGTCGGGTGGAGGACAGCATGGGAGCCGCTAGTCCGCGTAAGCTGCTCCATCCAGCTCAGGCTTACGCCAGACAAACGCAGATTTAGACGAATACGCCGCACTGGCAGCCCGCTTCGATATCTTCAGGTGCGTATACGTGCTATGAGGCTGATGTAGTCCAAACCATCTCGAGCTCGCGACTATCCTGGGCCGGGACGATGGGGTGGAAGTTAACGCCGCTGCCTTTCGCGCTCGATGCTCCACCCCGATCGTAGTACGTGCGGGTGCTGACGGTGCGTATGCTCTCTCCTACGAGTGGAGCGGCAGGGTCCCCGCGTTTTGGCGAGATGGAAGCCGCATTCTCGATGTCACGGGCGGGGGCAACGCGTTCATGGGTGGTCTCCTTGCGGGATTACTGCTCACGAACGATATGCGAGCTGGTGCGTCACAGCAGCGACTGAGCTGAGCACAGGCTGTATCTATGGCTCCACGGCCGCATCTTTCGCCATTGAGCAACGAGGAATTCCTCAGTTGTCAACAGAACATGGCGAGGAGCTGTGGAATGGCGACGACGCTTGGGCGCGGCTCAAGGAAATGGCGCGGCGGACGGAGCTGCTCGAGATAGAATCGTCCAACTGACACTCTTCTTGCGTCTCTACGCCTGCTCATCTCAGCATCTCATCGTCCACTTCTGACACATCTCACCTCATGCAATGCATCAACCCCAGCTTGACTCTTGTCGAAATCATCAACTGCATCCAAAGAACGAAAAGAGTCCATACAGATTGCAACATACACGAATACACAACACCTAAGCTCCAACCTTTTTCGGCTTGAGACCCGACGGCTTGGTGACAAGTGTCTGGCGTGAGCAACAGACGTACAGAAGGCGCACCTTGTGAATGTGCGGGAGTACTCCGCCACCGGCGATGGTAGCGCGAATGAGAAGGTCGAGCTCCTCGTCGCCGCGGATTGCGAGCTGCAGGTGACGCGGAGTGATACGCTTTACGCGCAGATCCTTGGCCGCATTGCCTGGGATCAGTGTCTATCCTCTTTTCCCTACGACGTCCCACCCCGTCTGTGACAGGGCTAGTGGAGACGCACCAGCAAGCTCTAGTACTTCGGCGGTGAGGTACTCCATGATAGCGGCAACATAGACTGCAGCTTTCGCGCCGACGCGCACATTGTTGGCGTTCTTGTTGCGGAGGAACCTAAAGTCAGGCGCGTCAGTGCGCTTCGTACCTGTGGATACGGCCGACAGGGAACTGTGGGGGTTAGGGCGCGCGCGAGATGGGGGTAAGGGCGTACCTGGAGGCCGGCCTTAGAAGAGCGAGTAGTGAGCACTTTTGCCTCGGAGGATGTCTTGGCCTTGCCGCCCTTTCCGCCTGTGGTCTTGGATGACATTGCTGAGTTGATGAACGGATGGATTGGATGGAAGTGTCGCTATTAGGGGTAGAGTGGGATCGAGTTGGCGACTGCCGAGACGTGGTTGTTTTGATCCAACCCGCGTCTGGGGTGTATTTGCTCCCGTTCACTCAATTGCTTCACGTGGCTATTACCTAACCTCCCTCCACCGTCATCGATTTGCCTCCGTCCCACAACCGCTTCACTCCTCGTCGCTGCTCACCACAACTTTGTCCACCAAGCCCAAACAAACCTCGCCCGCTTCATCCATTTCACCACGTCCTCTTCCACACCATGTCGCGGCTCCCACTCGCGCAGTGGGATCCCTCCCTTTTCACAGAACTCCTCCATCTTCTCACCTTAGTCGCATCCCGCCCCTCCACTTCTGTCCTGCGCCGCTTCTTCGACAAGCTCGATGAAGCTCGCCCATGGATACTCGCCCTCACGGCTCTCCCCAGCCCCAACAATGAGGACAAGGAGTTCATTGGAAAGAGGTCCATTTCAACGTCTGATGGGGTCGAGGTCCGCGTCACCGACGAACTCCTCGTCACGACAAACACTGTTGCAGACAGTCTCAACCTCTCCCACCTCCTTTCTGCCATGCTCGCCCTCCATGCGGTCCAGCAGCGCCCACGGTTCCCCGAACGCTCCGATCCAGAAATTGCTGTCTACTTGCTGCACGAGTACCTGCAGAGCATGCTCGACTTTGTCGTGGATCTTCTCAAACTCACTCATGGCGAGGACGCTGAGCAGGGGGAGGCATTTGACGACTTGCGCGGCTGGGTCGAAGACCTGCTATCGGAACGGGGCACTCACGGATTTTTGCCGGACGTGGCCATCGACCAGGTTGATGTGCTCCAAGGACGTCTCGACAGCGTTGTGCGTACACAGGCGTCGGGCGCGCAGTTCGAGCTCCTCAATTTCCGCGCCTCAAGCTTGCGTCGAGAGCAGAACCGTCTCGCCGGCATCGTCGCTACCCTTGGTCTGAGCGGCCTTCTCAAAACGTCGCAAGTGGTCAAGATTATCAAGTGGTTGAAGAAGTCGCGACCAGATGCTGTCGTTGGCACTATGCTCGCCGCCTTCTTTGCCGCTACGCCGCCATTGGAAGAGGCCCAGGGCACCCCCCAGAACGATACGGTGCAGGCATACGCGGGTGTGTCAAAATTCATGCTTGTGATGTGCAACATCATTGTGAGCTAAACTCGAAGGAAGGACGCTGACGCCCAGTTCAGCGAAAAGGACTGGCAGAGCGCTGAGGTGCACGATGCAGCCAAGGTACAGTGGGCTGTGTTCTACACAAGTGCTCTCAAGTTTGAGCCGTCGTTGCCGCAAACGGTAGGACTGGACGAGAGCGGCGCGGAGCGGCATCTTCAGGAGGCTGTGAATGGGGAGGCGTTCAAGTTCCTTACCAATCTCGTTGCGCATCTCGAGGAGGAACCTGAGGACCCCACCACCGCACTCGCGACGCGATCAGATCCCGACAACAACGCCTTTATCTACTCTCAATTGCAGAGGCTGGTGGGCTGGCTGGCGAAGCGGCGCCACTTCCTCCGCGGACTCAAAAACAAGGAGGAGGACGTCGGGGTCGTGCGGCGATCATCAGGAAGCCCGCCAGCCCAAAACTTCCAGTCGTTCCTCACCCTGATGGCAGCAGTATACCAGCACTTGCCACAAGATAGCGCAACGGCGCTGTGGGACGAATCGACATTCACGGGCGTCGTGCTGGACTTGCGTACGCCATACCCTTCCGATGCGTTCTGGGACGTTTTGTGTGCCATCTCAAAAGGTCCTGAGTGCGCGAGCAAGTGCTACGAGAAGCTCAAGGACACGAGCTTGTCGTGGAACGCCTTGTTCAAGTTCTACCAGCATTACATTGATCTCATGCCGCCGCTGTACGGTACGCTCAAGACTACACACCAAACATCGATCGAGGGTATGAGCCACGACGAGTATCTGGCCGCCGATGGGTGGACAAGGCTGCTGGCGATTGTCGTGCGCGACTCAACGATCGCGCGCGGGTCTCTCCTTCAGTCTAAGCCGTACCCTCTCCAGACCCTCTTCGACATTGTCAACTGCGATATTGCTACCGATCTCAAGGCTGTGGTGTTCGACGCGATCAACGCGTTCGTCCAGCGACGTGGTGATTCGGCCGATGATGATGTGGTCTCGCGCGCCGTTGAAAACTACGAGCGCGTGACTTTTGCTGACCCCACACTGGACGTCCGCGAGGGTAGTCGCGTGCCCCAGCCCATCGGCTGGATCCAGCGCATGGAGCTCGCTGAGCAGGATCAGGGCATGTACCCGCTCACGCGCGCGTACATTAGCTTCCTCACCACCCTCATGCCCTCGGAGAAGGGGCGCGTGAACGGCGCCTTGCGTCGTGGCGCCATGTACGTGATTGACCGTGTGCTGCTCGGCTCTAGACCCCAGGCGTCGACTGCCGAGCACTGGTCCAACTATCAGGTCATCATGGCCTTTTTCGAGAAGGCGCTGCAGACCTTCGACCTCACGGACCTGCTTTCCCCGGCGCGTGGCACGGCCACTGCTTTGTCCGAGCAGCCGGGCTTCCTTATTCTCCTGCGCCTTCTGAGTGAACCTTCAGTGTTCGCCCCTCTTGGCGACATTATCGATGGCGCCGTGCCCATGGCACCCAACAGGCCACGCATCGCCAACGAGTGCCTCCTCCGCGTACTCCGCATCTTCTACCGCATTCTCGACATCCAGCTTGTTTTCAGCGACGTGCTTCTCCTCACCTTGCAGTCGACCGCCGGCTTCAAGCGCCCGCTGGGCTTCCAGTCGCTCGACCACCTGCTGCTGAACCGTCTCTCGAACGTAATTCACATTGCCCTCTCGGTCGCGGACCGGGACAACAGCGTCGCCTTTGTTTCCCTCAAGATCATCGCAGCGCTGGCTCAGTCTCCTGTCTTTTCGAGTGCGGACATGTTCCATGGCGTTTACGCAAAGGTTATGAACCGCCTTGCAGGTGTCATCGACTCGTCTGACGAATCCATTCGCATCGCACAGGCCTTCTCGTCGAAGCTAGCGGAGGAAGGTGAGGACATCTCCCCGGACTACGTCGCCCTCGAGTCGAAGGCGGTGCTCCGCGGCGAGGACTCTGACCACCTTCCTATCCTCATCCGAACCGCGATTTTGGACATGCTTGTGGACAACACGGCAGACGCTACGAGCCCTAATATTGCGCACTTCCTCCTGGGTTTCGACTTCCGCGCCCGTGAGCTCGGCCTGCATGATCCTCGCGCTCCAGGATCGCGTCGCTCCTGTCTCCAGGTCATCCTGGAGCAGCTTAACGAAAGGCCGCCCATGATTCAACTGCACCCCGTCCTTGCTGCTAAGAGCGCGCAACTCATTCACCAGCTCTTCGCCCACCCCGTCACAGGGCCGTGCACCATGGCCTACACTGAGTCATACGAGGGCTTCCCAGCGCGGCAGCTGGGCGCCCTACCGCGGACGTGTCCCGCAGTTTCCGCCGACGTTGTGGGCATGGGCATCGCATCTACGTCCACTGACCAGGTTGAAACTTCAGCTGACGTCCTCGTGGCGTACCTGAACTACCAGAGATTCATACTTGCTTGCGTCGGCATCCAGTCATTTGCATTTGAGGGCCACGGCGCATCGTCTGAGTTCATCTCTCATCAGCTCTTTGCGGATGATGACGAGGAGGAAGTGGACAAGCGCCCGCCCCTTCTCATCGACCTTGTGTCCAACATTGCCATCAGGTTCGATGAGACCGACGCCGACGCCCAACAAGACAAGACGCTCGAGTTTTACTATAACTTCAACTTCGACCAGTATAAACAACCTGGAACAGATTTGTTCGACCTCGATGTACTCGCCCGCGCGCTCAAGTCGAACCGCCGCCAGCTTGAGCGCCAGGGCGCCGTGATCCAGGGTACCTCCGCCGACGCAATGGCTAAGGAGGCACAGTACATTCTTGCGCGCTTGGCCTTCAAGAACCGCCAGAATCAGATCTTCGTTGCAAAGGGCGACTTCCTGCAGGCATGGAACGAGACACTCAAGGTGGCGCTGGCGTTGCTCTTCCACTATGTCGCAGAGGACAGGCAAGAGGTCCTGCTCTTCGAACTGCTCAACTCCGTGCTGGACAGAATGAGCGCTGACGTGCCGCCTGGGGTGCTCGACCTGCTCTCAGAAGCTGTTCTGATGTCTGTCAACACGCTCATGACCGCTCTATCGACGCTTGAGGCCTCAAACCTTCCGCTGGACCAGATGTCGACGGTACTCACCAAGATCATCGACGCGCTCCTCAAGCCGGGCACGACTGAGATTGTGCGCGGCAACCTCTACGCTGCCATCAGCCAGTACCTCCAGCTCGTGCCCTTGGACGGACCGCTTCGTCGCTCGGCGATCACCGTCTTGGCCGCCCGTAGGGACCGGTTCGTCCCCCTGCTGTGCCGCGACGCGATGGACATGCGGGATGTCTGGAAGACTGAGTGCTTCTCCCTCCTCGCGAGCGTCGTCGCCTTCGGGGACAACCACCTTCTTACCCCTGTGGTGAGCGGCCGGTTCCTCGCCCAGTTCGTCCGCTCTATCAAGGACCGCGAGCTCCAGCTCCAGGAATGCCTTGTGCCCGACCCCGACGGACTGCACACCTTCTGGGTATACGAGGCCAACGTTGCTTTCCTCACGGCGTACGCTGGCTCGGCAAAGGGTGCAAGTGACCTTGTCGACGCCGGCGTGTTTGAGACATTCGCCACGTGTAGTTTCATGGGTGTCTCGCCATTCAACGACGATGTGCTCTGTGGGTTTAGGGAGCCGGATGGTCAGTTGACAGCAGCTATCGTGTCCAATGCCGAGGCCGTTGAGCGTCAGCACCGCGTTCTCATCACCGCTCTGCAGCTTCTCGTGCGCGTGCTGGCGCACCCGTCGCGCGTCGGGCAAAAGAACGCGTTGTCCTTCCTCAGTGCGCATCGCGACTCGTTCCTCATCCTTTTGCGCGAGAACCAGGCGTACATTACGCCCACTGGCATTGACGAGAGCCGCCTCATCGTGGCGCTCTTCACATCAGTTGTGCCGAAGGTGTCGCCAGAGGAACTTCGGAGCTCCTCCGGTTTCGGCGCCTTCCACCACGCCGTCCTTTCCCTGGCAGCCAAATTCCTCGAGCCAACATGGGCCGACAACCTCCGCGAGGACGCTGCCGATGCTAAGGACAGGGTTCTGAACCTGAACCAAGTGATTATTGCCTACCTTGTCGCCACGACAACAGGGCTCAAGGCCGGGTCACCCGCTTCGCCTGGTCCAGTCTTCGTTGTGGACGCCGCCCGCTCAAACGGCGCTGTGCGTATCGGCTCTGCCCCATCCCTTTCGGCGGCGGTGGAGTATGTCGCGGAGCTGGCAGAGACAGTGCAGGACGTCTCCAATGCGTACGACGACATTGCAGACAAGCTCGAGGCCGGCGAGGACATCGATGTGGCCAGCCTAGGCGCTACAAGTGTCGAAGGTCTACAGGCTAGTTTTGCTGCGAAGACCAAAGCCATTTTCAGTAAGCTCTCGCTCGTCCGCTGTAGCTGACCTCCAGACATGATCGAGTCCCTCCTTCTCCTTATCTGGCGCCACATGATGTACTACACGGCCGACGCTGGAGGGGAGGGCATACGTCCGACCACGCTAAGTCTGAGCTTCTCCTCCGTGGGTATGAGTAGCGCCGCGCCAGGAGCTGTGAGCATGCGCGCCCTCGAACGCGTTGCCGCGTCGCTGCGCGGCGTGCTGGACCGCCTCGATGACGTCGACATCACCAACCGCAAGGGCGACGCGTATTACGCCATGCTGGTCCGCCGGTTGCGAGAGTTGTGTGGAGGTCTTAGCGAGTAGAAGCCAGGATATAGTGTAAACGGGTCTTGCGGCAGGCGGCCGACGAGACAGGTCATAGATGTGTAGCAACGTATGAGCATGCAATTGCAGTGGACTAGTAAGGACCTTCAGATTGGTAGGTGAGGACCGGTGTACGTATATCCCTCCATTGACTTGGACGTGCGGACAGATTGATCCCGCTCCAGTGCCTGAGGGTCGCTGTCCTGGACGCGTTGGGCGATCAAGCATAAGCATCCCGCGCCGTCCATCATCGCTCATCTCGACACTCAACATTCTCCCCCCACCTCTCCACGCTCCCTCTCCCCACTCTCCTTCCTACTCAACTGTTATCCCTGTCCACATAGCCCGCCATGGGCGAACGCGAAGATGAGCGCGCACTGAATCTCGCTTTCCAGACGTTGCTCGACGGCACGCGCGAGGCGACCGAGCAGCGCGTGGAGCTCACCGCGCTCCGGAAGCTGTGTTCCAGAGGTACGTGGCTCTGCGCGCTCGTTGTTTGATCCTTCAACTTCGTCTTCGCCTGCCTATCAGACTGTTCCCCGCTTGCTGGAGCTTGGTGCTGGGACTGGTTATCGCCTACTACTTTGCCAGTTCCAGAAGCCAAGTTGGCGAGCGCCTGACATCAGTCGCCCCGGATTTGTCTAGCGCCTGTATCGTCCGTTCCGCCGCACAGCAGTGCACTCTTTTGTTTTTCGCAGCTCCTTCCTCTCGCGACCTCGGCTTGCTACACCTCGGTCCGATTCTGCGCTACTGAAGACATCGCACCTCCTGTAGTCGGCTTGTAGCCCGCTAACCCCACAGGTATCCCCTCTCAACCCGCTTTCGTCCGCCCGCTAGCCTACTCGCTCGTTCTAGGTGTTCTACCACCCGAAAAGCGCGCATGGAAGCGGACACGCCGCGCCCAGCGCGAGAAATACTACGTGAGCTTGCATATGCCGGAGCTAATCTTAGAATCTCGTTCGCGCGGTCATGCAGGAGCTGGATGCTGCGCCATCGGTAGGTCCCCGACTGCCTTCCTATGATCCACACCGCATACCGACATTCCACGATCGCTTGTGAGGCATGAGCGCTTTCGCGCGCTCACTTACGCCGCTGTCATCGGCTTGTCTGTGATGACCGTCTGCACGATTGCCGCGCTCAAGCGTACAGCTCTCCGGTTCCATGGGCTGCTGGTCTCGCAGCTGCTGACGTACAGCCCACCGATCCACCTGCACCGGTAGACGCACTGCTACTCCGCATCGCGCAGGACCTCGAACGCCAGGCGCCAGACATTGTGCCTCTGCGGGCACGAACGCTTCCTCCTCGCTCCTCTCCTCTTGCACCCGTGCGCGATGACGGTGCTATAACCGAAGAGGAGGATTCGACTTCCGAAGAGGAGGGCACGGGCGCACGCAACGAGGACGTGAACCGCCGGGAGCGCGAGCGGCGCAGAAGGCCCCGCCCACCACCTCTTCTTTGCCGACGCGTCTTGTTTGCGCGCCTGGACCGCATCATCGCAGCCAAAAATGGCATTCCAGACAAGAGCAAACAGGAGGAGGCGAGGAAAGACTCCGAGCCACTGTTGTCGCCAAAGATTGTCCTTTCACCGGACGCTGAACACCCTCCCGCCAAGGATCACACGCCTTCGCTCTCCCTCACCATTCCCGCGGATGCCGAAGGCGCACATCCGCCCTCGCCCATCACGCTCCTCTCGCCGCAAGCTGTGCGCGACGCCTCACGCATCGCTGACCCCGCACAGGGCGACACGCACATTGAGGCCATCACGCGTCTCTTGTTCGTCTTCACTCGCTCCAACCCCGGTTGGACGTATGCGCCGTCGTTCATCGACATTGTGATTCCACTGTACTTGATTTATGGCGAACTCATCGAGCGCCACAGAGGCGATCCGGTGCATGGCAGCTACGCCGAGGAAGAGACGTTCTGGGCGTTCACCGCCATCATGGGTGAGCTCGGCGACGTCGTTTCCTCTGGCCCTGATGGCAACATCAACCTCGCTATGCAGCGCCTCGGGCGGCGCATGCGCTGGGCCGACGAGCCGCTGTGGACAACGCTTTGCAGCCGCAACCTTGACCCTGCACAGCCGCTATACACTTACCAGTGGCTCACGGGGCTCATGACGCACGATCGCGCCAACCTCCTCAACACCTGGGACTACCTGTTCTCGCAACCACCGACAACGCCCGAGATGCGGTCCAAGCTGGACACCCTCATCGACCTCTGTGTTGCCGTTATGTGCATGCTTAAGCAGCGTATTTACTGCCCGCCGGCGCCGTCGCCGCGTAGGCGCAAGACGCTGTGGAACGAGCCGGAGAATATTGTCGCGCCGTCCGTCATCGATGAGGAAGATCCGGAGACGTCGTTCGTGCGCGTTCTTCAGCTGTTCCGCAGCTATAAGCTCAGTGAGCTTGGCGGGACGCCTCATCTCCTCTTCACGGCCTTTGAGCTTCACCAGGAACGTCTGACCGCGATCATGGAGGGTACGGACCCCGATGCGGCCGGCTGGGCTGAGGAGCGCGACAAAGCAGCGGGGAAGAGCAGCTGGGCGACCGCCAAACTGCGCGCCGCAGCTCAAGGCGCGTGGTCGTCTTACTCTCAGTACACGTCTCAACTCTCACAGTCGAGCACCGCTGATTCTCTGGCGCGGGCCTCGGCCAGCGCCAAGGCCGCCTCGCAGGCCGCCATCAGCAATGCCCCCGCAGGACCAAACTGGAAGGGACTGAGTGCTGCGGCGAGCTCTGCCGCCGGGCGATGGCTAAAGCGAGCTCCTCGTGATGATGAGTCGATAGATGGGGAGGAGTTTGAGCACTTCTCCTCACTTCCTTCGACACCAGGTCATCCTCGCTCGCCTATCTATGGGCCTCTCTCGCCCGACAAGCGTAGCAGTCTCCCCAACCCTCCGCCGAGGAAGAGGAGCGATAGTAACGCGTCCAGCTCTGCCCTATCCGTGACAAGCCTGCACGACAAACTTTCCGGCCTGGCGCTCACAATCGGCGCGACAAAGGAGAAGGTCGAGCCTCCAAAGAAGGATGGCCATCTTGCAGCAGGGCCCCGGCCACTCCTTCTCTCGAGCTCAGTACGACGTGCAAGCAACTCGGGCGGGCAATCAGGCGGGCGATCACCTAACGGCCGATCGCGAGCGAGCAGCCCGCTGCCAGGTCACAGAGTGCCGTCAGGTGGCCGATCACCGAACGGCCGTTTGAGCGAGCCACTGCCAGGCTTGTCGACGCCTCCACCACACGGCGTGCACGGTGGCCTGTACCGGATAGGCAGCCGGAACCGCAAGCCATCCTCGCCGACCAAGAGCAGCTCAGACGGTCATCGCAACTCTGTGACGAGCTATGGGAGTGACTCGGATCGCACGCGCGACAGTGTCGCCTCGACCCCCTATGAAAGTGACGCTTCGAGGACCTCCAGCGCTGAATGGCACTCGGCCATCGCCTCGACACCTAAGGCGGCGCATGCACGTCTTGAATACGCCAAGCCGCCAGCGTCCTCACACGCCTTGTCCAGGGCGACCTCTGCACCTCCACCGCCTCCAGAGCCTGAACCAGAGCCAGAGCCGGCAGAGCCTGTCAGCATTCCGACGCCCGCAATCGGTCATCTCACTGAGGAGGACTATGAGCACGTGTACGAACCAGCTGAGGACAGCTTTATTCTGCTGGATGCATTGGAGCAGGACGCCCTCGCGATCCGGAAAGCAAAGCCGGCACTTTGTGTCGAGATCGGTTCCGGGTCGGGCATCGCATCGACCTTCATGGCCTCAATGCTTGGTCCTTCGAGCACCTGCATTATCTCAACTGACATCAACAAGTACGCTGCGGATGTGACGCTGCGCACTGGTGCTGCAAACGATGTGCCCCTTAACCCGGTCCTCTGCAACCTACTCGACCCACTCGCGAAGCGTCTCGCCGGCGAGATCGACCTGTTCATCTTCAACCCGCCCTACGTTGAGACTGAGGAAGCGGAGATGACTGCCACCCAGGCGGGTCGCGACATCGGCGGCGCCTGGGCCGGCGGCAACTTCGGCATGGCCGTGACGAATCTCGTCCTTGAGAAGCTTCCCGTAAGTGTTTTCTCCCTCCATTTCCAAATCACAAAGAAAGTGCGAGAGCTCACTCTAGACGCTCCTCGCTCCAGGAGGAAGATTCTACCTGGTCGCAGTCGCGCAAAACAAACCTGACGAGATCAATGCTCGCATGCGCGCCGCCGGGCTCGAGTGCAAGACAATCATCAAGCGCCGCGCGGGCCGCGAGCTACTGAGCGTCCTGCGCATGACGCGGCCAGCGACGAGTAGTATTCGGGCGCCTGTGGCGCAGCAACCTGTGCCCGAGCTCAAGGACAAGGTCGACGACGAGTATGGCGGTCTGCTCGATGCGTACGTGTAGTGTAGATGTAGTGTTAGTGCATACAAGCATAGGTCAGGGCATGCGGAACAGAGGACAAGCGTGAGTGTGGAGTGAGAGGGCGCATGGAGAGGAGACCAAGCCACAGCTGCTCTCTACTGGAGCGATATACACCGCCGCACCTGACGCATGAGAGAATGTTGGTTATAGAGGAGCTGCGAGGCAACTGCACAAGCGAGGCGAGGCACCTCCACCACCATAACACCACCATAACGGCAGGCTAGGATAAGTTCCGCACGTCGATCGCGGGCTCCCTGACGTAGCCAGCTCAGCAGCTCAGCACTTGACCTCGCTTCCACACCATCTCTCATCGTGAGCTGCTGCAGACGAGCCATCTAACCCAGACCATGGCTCAGGCTCCGCCCACCTCGGGCCTCCACCAACTGAGCACTGTCCTGTGAGTTAGCCTGTCTTCGTGGGCTGACGGACAGCAAGCGCCTCGAGGGTGCGTATGACGTTGGCCAGCGCCGGGTAGCGGAGAGGCTGGCAGGAGGGTGAACGCAGCGGCGATGGCTGGTTACGAGCATGTGGATCGGAGTGATGGCAGTCGCCCCGCTGCTGTGAGCCTAGGCTTTCGGTATCGTCGACGTGCATACCACCCTCCCCACGCCACACACCTGCGCCCCCGCACGATGCCGTTCGGGACACTCCACGCCATCACATTCCCCCTCTGTCTCCTCATCCTGCTATCTTCTGCTTCAACTGACCGTAGCCGTCACCTCGCGCCTCGAGGATGTCGCAATGTCCCAGCAGAGCGTCGGCACCCTCCGGTCGCCGACGGGGACGGCGCACGAGTCGCTCGTCGGCACCGTCGCCGGGGGCGCGGTCGGCATGTCGCCCTCGCCATCACGCGGCGGGGCGGCTGCGACCCCACCACCTCCGCCCCCGCCTCCCCCACCTCCTCAGGAGGAGGAGGTGACCCCACCTGTCAAGGCATACGCCGATGAGGTTGGCGAGGCAGTCAAGGAGTTCGAGGCGAACGCGAAGAAGGTCGGCGGGCTGGTTGAGCAGGCTGTGAGTAGGCTCGAGGGCGTGCGACTCCGTTGCCCGCCCCGCCGGCTGGGGCTAGCCATCTCGCCTGGGAGTGCAACTGACGCCAGTCCGCCCTCATCCCGCCCCTCGTCGACGCGCAGTACGCCTACCTCAAGATGGCCTCTGCGCACTGCAAGCCGGCCGCAGCACCTGCAGCTCAGGGCCTTCTCAAGCCGCAGGCGGACGCGATCGGCGCCATCATCGAGGCCAAGGACAAGCTCGGCCGCACCAAGGACGGGCGCGAGTGGGGGGCGGCGCTCTCCGTCCTCGGCGAGGGTGCAGCGGCGTGGGGCTGGGTCCAGGTCGAGCCTGCACCGGCGCCGTTTGTGGGCGAGATGAAGAACTCGGCCCAGTTCTGGATCGACCGCGTCAACAAGCAGTTCAAGGAGACCAACCCTGACGCTGTTACATGGGCGCGCTCCTTCGGTGCAATCATCGAGGCGCTGCAGAAGTATGTCAAGAAGTGGCACACCACAGGTGTGGTGTGGAACCCCAAGGTGAGTCGGAGAGAGTGCACATATCACACAACGTTACCCGTGCGGCGCTCTGCAGTGCGATGTCCCCTTTGCTGACGACAGGGCGCCCCAGCCCCCGCCACAGTCCCCTCTGCTTCGTCGGCTCCTAACGGAGCCGCTGGCGCTCCCCCGCCCCCTCCACCACCGCCTGCAGCTGCCGCCGGCGCCACGCCAGCCAAGTCGAGCGGCGGTGGCCACTCCGCGCTCCTGGCCGACCTCAACCGCGGCTCGGGTGTGACTTCCGGCCTCCGCAAGGTCGACGCGTCGCAGCAGACGCACAAGAACCCGGAGCTGCGCACATCTGGCGCTGTGCCTGACCACACATCGCCAAAGAGACCAGGGCCGCCGCCTACCAAGCCCAAGCCCGCCTCATTCAGCAAGACGCCGCCTAAGAAGCCTGCACGCACCGAGCTTGAGGACGGCAACAAGTGGATTATCGAGAACCACGAGGACAACAAGCAGATTGTTATAGAGGAAACCGCGCTGCACCACACCGTGCACCTGTTTGGGTGCAAGAACAGCGTGGTGCGCATTGCGGGCAAGATCAATGCTGTGACGATGGTGAACTGCAAGAAGACGTCGCTGGTTGTTGACACGCTCGTCTCGTCGCTGAGCATCACCTCGTCGCCCTCGTTTGAGGTCCAGATTACGGGTCTCGTACCCACGATCCAGGTGGACTCCACCGACTCTGGGCAAGTGTACCTGTCCAAGGGGTGCATGGACACTGTTGAGATCATCACGGCCAAGACCTCGGCGATCAACATTTCCATCCCGACCAGCGACGACGGGGACTACGCCGAGCGGCCGATCCCCGAGCAGATGAAGAGCCGCGTCGTCAACGGCCGCCTTGTCACAGAGATCGTCGAGCACGCCGGTTAGGTTGTACAGAATGCATGCAATTACACAGCCCCCGCCGCGCGGTAAAGGCTGACCTTTTTGTCGTCGCCCGCGATGGCGAACTGCTTCCCTGCGGGCAGGGCGCCTTCGTACTCGCCCTGCCAGGCCACACCCCACACCTCAGCCTCGGCCGTGCTGGTGCTAACGCATGCACGCTGTCCCACATCCCAAAGCTTGACCATCTTGTCGGCGCCGCTATGGTCAGCGCAAGGCTCGTACACTTCACTTACCCAGATGCAAGGAGCTTCGAGTCGGGGCTGGCCGCGGTACTCAGCACCCAGCTCTGGTGTCCCTGCAGAATCGCAACAGCTCCCTCACCACGCGCGCCTTCTCCGCCGGCCCGCACGTCGTGGAGCACGATGCGCGCGTCGTCGCTGCCCGAGTACAACCACTGGCTGTCGGGGCTCCAGTCGAGGGTGCGCACACACAGCGCGTGCGCGGCGTAGCTCGCCACGACGGTCGACGTCGAGACGTCAAGCACGGCGACATGTCCACTCTCCATGCCGACAGCGAGCTGTCGCCCGTCGGGCGAGAACTTGGCCGTCATTCCAAACCGCCCCTTCTCGAGGGTAGCCGAGCTCTCCTCGCCGGCCAGCTTATCGGAGATGCGCCGGAGCGCGACCTTCGTCCCGCGCCCAGCCCACGCCCAGGCCTCGGCTTGAGGATGGAGTGCGGCCGCGTACGCTGGAACGTCTGTTGTCAGGCATACGTAGGAGAGGGGAGGGAAGGAGGCCCGATGAAAGGGAGAAGGAACACTCACCACTCTCGCGCCCTGTATCAAACCTGTCAACCCACTTGCCATCCTCCGCGAGGGCTACGGTACCGTCGAGACTCGAGGCAATGAAGCGCCCGTCCGCACTTCCGCTGATGCTCGATATGGCCAAAGGCAGCGCCTCGAGCTCGTTCAGCGGGAGTGCGAGGTCCGTAGGGTCGTGGATGCGGACAATGCCGTCGGCACCGCCAGAAACAAGGCGGGGGCCGAGCCAGGCAAGCGCCCAGAGCGCGTCGTTTTGGACTGCTGTCAGCGGTGTCCGCAGCTGAAGGGCAGGAGAGAGGAGGAGATGAGCTGGCGCAGAGCGAGAAGAGCGGAGACACACCTGGAGTCGTCTCCTGCGGAAGGTAGACGAGAGACTGGAGTTAGATCTGTTGAGTTGTGCAGCTGCGCGCTCACCATCGGTGTGACGAGATTGTTGTGGACTGTGGACGAGGAAGATGGGTTCGATCGCGTTGTTGCTGGACATTGTGAGCATCGACCGTGGGAGAGCTGGGCTGGGCCGGCGGTAATGCGTCATAGGTCGAGGCCAAGCTGACATCTCTCTGCCATCCTCTGATTCTTCAGCTCGCTTTCGCTCTTGCTCCCTCTCTCGCTCTCTTCATCACTCTCTGCATCTCCTGATATCCTATCATGCCGTGGCAGAAGACCTTGTGAGTCCAGCTTGCAAAAGAGGAGCTGACGCCAGCCGCCTTCCGTACCAGACCAAAGGCATGCACCTCGTCACGCGCGAGGTCGTGCGCGAGTGTGAGGAAGGCCTGCGCGGTGTCGACGTCGGCATCTTCACACTAAACTGCATGCACACGAGTGCAGGACTGACTGTGGGTGACTTCTCTTCCTTCCTGCACAATCGAGGGGAGGCCGCTAGCGGGAAGCACAGCTGCGAGCAACTAACACCAGGTGAACGAGAACGCCGACCCGTGAGCTATACTCACGGTAGCCAATCTGACCCCAGCTCGGTGCGCACCGGTGAGCCTACTTTGACTAGCTGAACTGACGGCAGATATGGACATGGCGTGAGCTCCGAAGGTGACCTCCGGGCTGACAGCAGTCTGGACAAGATCGTGCCAGAGTCGTTCCCGTGGGAGCACACTGACGAGGGACCGGAGTACGTCTAGCGGCGAGATGCTGCCAAGCTGACTTTAGCGACTCAGTGTCGCACCTGAAGACGTCGCTCGTCGGCAACTCCATCACTCTCCCCATCTCGAAAGGCAAGCTCGTGCTTGGGACGTGGCAGGGGTGAGCTAAAAGTGTCAACCAGGCTGACAGCAGCATCTACCTCGCGGAGTTCCGCTACAGTGGGAATGGATGGGCAGGAAAGGGCGAGGGACGCAAGGTTGTCGCTACTATCTTGTGAGTTGAATTACTTCAGTAGTTGACAGGAGGCCGTAGACACTTTAACCGAGCACAAAGATCGCGCCGGCTGCATACCTGCCGACGCAGCTTGTCCCAGCCTGTCCCTCTACAGCATCTACATCTAGACTCTATGCACTATGCAAGACGCATCTTGGCGATCGGGAGACGGTAACCCGGGAGCTCCCAGTACTTTCGCCTAACGCCACGCCACACCTCCTCGGCCAGACTCTGAGGGATTGGCACGTCGTGCCATGTCGTCTCGAGGCCCACGTCGTCCATGTGGAGCTCGGCGAGCGAAGATGAGACGGCGTAGATTGTAGGGTCTGGTGTCAGCTCCATCACGCCTGCGCCTCACTAGTCGCGCCGAGGCCGTTCCAGAACGAGAAGATGCCATGCTCAGCCTCGAGGATGTCGGGCAGCACCTCGAAGAACGCCTTGAGGTCTGGTGTCAGTGCTCGATCTCTCTCTACCCTCGCTTCTCCGCCCCAATACACACCTTCGTATCCCTCCGCGAACGTGTCGACGAAAATGGCGTCGAAGCCCATCCCCCCACTCGCCTCAATCAACTCGCCCATCCGCTCCCCCACGAAGTCCTGCCACCGCCCCTCGAGCACCTTGACACCGGGCCACTCATACACGCCCTTGCTCTTCATGTACGCGAGGACCTGGGGATGCGCCTCGATGATGACGTGATGCATCGGCCGCGTGGCCTGGAAGAGGCGGTCGACGATGCCAAGCCCAAACCCGACATTGAGGACGCTCATGCCGTCCCCTCCCTTCTCGACGGCGCACACATGATCCGTCATAAGGCGGACGTGTTCGCGCACTAGCGTCAGCGCGCCCCTACACCGACGCACTCAACGGCTCCTCCCAGCCCATCATAACCCCGTTCCCGTCGGCGTCGAGCACGCGCTCCCGCCCGTCCTCCCCCACATCCCACGTAAGCTTGCTGGCGAGGAAGGCGAGGTTGTCCCCCGCGCTCGTCTTGTCCTCTGCGCGCAGCGTCATCGCGCCTGTCCCCGCCGCCGCCCCCTTCATGGCATGCACGAGCATTTCGGAGCGCACGCCCTCGTTCCGCACCGCCTCCCACCCCTCTTGGTCGTTGAGCGAGAGACACACCTCGCCCGCCGTGCGCCCCCACCGGTCCACGGCATTCCACACCGCCCCGCCGCGCAACAGCGCGCGCAGGAGCGCAGGCTCGCGCCGCTCCGCCGCGTAGTGCAGCGCCGACCACCCCAGCGCCTCGTCTTGGTACCATGCCGGGGCGCCGCGGTCGAGCAGGGCGAGGATGTCCGCGAGGGGCGAGGACTGCGCGGCCGCAAGGAGCGCGTGCGCGAGCGCGAGCGCTTCGGGAGGGAAGGCGTCGCTCATGGTCAGTGATGGAGAGGATAGATGGAGTAGTGGACCGAGCGGATGAGCTTGGGCGCGAAACAATTTCTGAACCGTGCCTGGAGATGAGGCAGACAGGAGGTATGGGCCCCGGCGTACGCCGCCGGCGTGCCGTGTGTTGCTTCCGGCAAGAAAACGGCTGCTGCATCAACGTAGAGGCAATGCGTCCTGCTGAGAACAGGAGTAAGACGTCGCTAGGCGGTCGCCATGATGGATCCGGGAGCGGGCGAGCGAGCAGCCCTCCTGAAGAGTATCCTGTACCCCCCTCCCCCCCCCGCCCCCCCGCACCACCACCTTGCGTTAAGTCATGCATCCGAGTCTACGGGCGTGGCCGAACCTGTCGGCCTCTCATGGTGCCTGTCTACTTCATCATGTCGATCCAGCGAGCTGTGCACGAGTACCCCTCAAAGTCAAAGTTGTCCTTCGGGTCGCACCAGCACTTGCCGCGCGAGTGGAACTCGCCCTGCGGGCAGTGCTGGAATGGCTCGTGGCGATAGCCTGGTGTCAGCGTTGCAGGCGCAGGTGCTGCAGTTCCGCCGGCTTGGCGCTCGCCTCCGCCTTGACAACCACCCCGCCCTCGCCTCCACTCACCGATGTCCTGGAACCAGTGGATCTCGTTCCGGTCGAGGAAGAGGGCCGCCGCGATCGAGTGTACCGGCGCATCGCCCCAGCGCTCGTAGTAGAAGCCGCCGGCCTTTTCGAGGTGGTTGAAGTAGGCCATGTAGGCGTCCGAGCGCCAGAAGTTGAGGTCTCCGATCTCAAAGTTGGACCAGAAGTGGCACAGGTTGTAGCTCTCGCCGCCGTTGTCCGAGATCCACGACAGCGCGTTGTTCTTGTGGATGTATTGGGGGTTCTCCTGGATAAACTTCTTGGTCTCGGACCACAGCGTGGGGATCGTGAGCTCGTACTCGTACAGCGAGAGCGTCCAGCCGTCTGCTGTCAGCATTGCGCGTGCGCGCGACTACGCACACTTGTACCCGTTGTCCTGCATGGTGAGGAAGGGGTCGTACGCGATGTCGCAGAAGAACTGGACGTCGGGCTCGACGCGCCAGTAGTAGTCGTAGTCGGCGAGCAGGGGGTGGCGGAAGAAGAAGCCCGAGTTGAAGCGGCACATGTTGCGGTATGGCACGCTGAAGCCGTAGATGACCTGCTTGTGAGCTAAGTACGCCGCGGAGTACCCACCTTGTTGCGGATCATCTCCTCGCGGCCAGCCTTGGCGCGCTCCTCGTCGATCCACGACGGCTGGTGCCAATGGTCGCTCTCGATCTTGCCGTAGTGCGCCTTGGTCCCGATGACATTTTGCGTGAGCTCCTTGAAAGTGTCGTCAAAGTCGTCGTCGTTGAGGAACACATAGTCGTACTTGGCCCAGTAGTTGAACCGATCCTCCATCTGCTTGACGCTCTGCATGACACCCGTCAGGTCAGAGTTGCGCGCCAAGATCACGAAAACGGCCTTGGCTTTGCGCCGGTTGTCCATCTTGTCCTTGGCGGCACGCAGGTCCTCTGTGCTCGGGATGGGGGCGACTGTGCCCGCTTCCGGGCCAGATGCGAGCGATGAGCTGAGATGGGCTGGTTCATCCCGCCATCCACTTGGAAGGAGCCCGAAGCTGGTCTTGTCTCTATATGTGGGGTGGATGCTTGCGAGGAGATGGAAAAGGAACTGGGATTAGGCCCACAGGGGCAAAAAACGCACGAGAACGCCGACGGCGGCACCGATGTACCGCAGTCGTGGCACCGACAACATTGTTGCGGAGGATCGCGTCTGTTGTCAGCGGAAAACAGGAGCTGCGGAAATGGGAAGGAGCGCGCAACATCGAACAACGGCGCGTCTCGCACTTTGTCCGCTGTGCATGGCTGCTTCATGGTCGCGTCTAGGCCACGAGACTTGGCGCCATTGATCGTAGGCAGCGACATGAGTGCACACCGTCTTGTGAATGCTCGCCGAGGTATCGGATACGGCGCCGCGCAACGCGACGCAGATGGCGCACTCACAAGCTACGCGGGAGCCGGGGCGAGTGGGGGCAAGCGCGGTTCCGGCGGAGTGTATGAACGTCGAGAGGGCTGAGTGGGGGAGAATGGGAGCGTGCTCGAGGACAATATGAACAGAGTGAGACGCGGAGATGAGGGTGGTCGAACGTGATGTGGTGGCGTTGCGTGGCCTAATCGCGTCGCGTGGCACCTCAAATTGTGTTTCCTTAACTCTAAGCGACTTTGCTTTTCGACTGCGCCTTATTAGTCTGCGGTGGCTGTGCCGTCTGTGCGACTGCGTGGTCGGAAGTGATCAGTCGAAATGGAGTTGAGGTAGAGGTTCAGAGAAGCCATAGAGATGCCAACTGATGTGTCTGGTGTAAGGATGGCGACGCCCGACCGAGATTGTGGGTGGTGGATGGAAATGACTAGTGCAAGGGGCGACCGTGTCATGTCATGACCTCGTCGTCGTGCCACATGACATCCATCTCCAGCACCAAGACCCATCGAGTGCTTCCGCATCCGTGACCAATGGCTCATAATATCCCCCCAACCCTTGCATGCCGCGCAGCAGCTGCGGAGCAGACATGCGCTCACCGCCTCTCTGGCCCCGCATGGCCGCGGCTTGCCTGCGCTCAACTGAGAAACTCTCCCACATCGGCGACCCGCCTCTGTGTCGTCACTGGGACCTCGGGGTGGAACGCTCACTGTGGCGTGGGAGTTGCCATCCGTGAGCCTGATCTAGCCTGATAGCAGCTTGGAACAGCGTGCAAGAGCGACACGCGGACATTGCGCTCGGCAGCGAACGGTGCCGTCAGTGGTCTGCATGCCGATGATGTGACAGCGTTGTCCGAAATAGGCTCCAGAGATAGTAGGCAAGCGATCTCGGAAGGCATGCGTGCACTTGACAAGCAACGTGCCGCACTCTCCCACGGTCCCCTCACACGACCACCATGGAGCGCGGCTCGGCGCGGCTTGAGGCTGAAACGTCTCCTGCAGGGTGACACCGAGACCACATCTGGCAGTCACGCATTCTCCATTTCTGTCCACCGCGCCGCCGCGCTCGCCTGCCAGTCTTCGCCCTCGTATTATGGGGTCGCGGGAGACGGTCCGGGTTCTCTCCACGCTTGATCTGGGTGCAGGGCACGCTTCTTCCGCTAATCTTGTACCCTTCACTTGGGCCGCTGGCTCTCTACTGGTCTCTGTGCGCATGTGCGCGCCAGCAGACACGACCACCGTGGCGCCGATCACTCGTCTTCGTGCTCGAGGCACTACACTGTACAGCCGTAATCTGCCGGCTGTCGGCATGGTGATCCTTGGCGGCAAAGTCGACGGCAGTAGATGGGGCAGGCTCAACGCGCTCAGCGATCGATGGAGCTCCAACGCGGGCGCGTCGTACGTGCGGGTCTCCGGACCCAGACCGGGCCCCTCGTCATCACATGGCATGCATGGGTCGTCCGCCGTAGTGGGCTCGCCAACGAAAGCAAACACGCACGAGGAACCGGTCACCGGGTCCTAGCGGGACCTTTCTACGGACCCTGGCCCCGTGTTCCGCGTCCATGCTCAGAGGCACTGCAGGGCGGCGAGTGAAGGCGGTGCAGGCGCGAGCGGGTGACATGATGGGCCCGAGCGGCTTGAGTGAGAGGGGGAGATGGTCAATGCGCTGGATTTTTGGTGTGAGAGCTCGCTGGCTAGCTGGCTGCTGGCTGCATGGCCTGCCGATACCACAGAAGTGCAGAGAGCGATCGAGCAATCCAGTGCTTCAGGTGGGGTTCCAGCTGCACATCTGCACAGACAGTGTCATGAACGGCGATCAGGCGCCAGGAGAGCGTCTGTCCGGCAGGCTGCGCACGATGGACATGTTTACGAGATGCGCTGACCGCGACTGACTTTGCATATGTAAGCGACACTGTGAGATGGACACGACACCCGAACCGAGTGGCTTTAGGTTTGAGTTGGAGTGCGGATGTCGGCCTGTCGGGTTCGCGGCCGAGGCGCGAGGAAATAGCAGCGTGAGGCGTTGCTGCAGGGTACAGCTGGCGCAGAGCTTCGACAGCTTTGCAGGCTTTGCAGGGTCGGAGGGGAGAGGAACAAGATCAACAAGAGGAGCAGAGAGTTTTGCCGTCTGCGCCGGCCAGCGGCCAGCGGCCAGACCATGCGCCGATGCCCAGATGCCAGATGCCCAGATGAAGCATGTAACATGCAACATGCCCATCCGTTTCCGCCGTTGTGGCTGCAATCGCCGCGATCGCCACAGACCGCTCGCCACTTGCTAATCTGCCGACAGTTCGCCACCGCCCACGCCCACTACACGCCACGGCGGCGCTCAGTCCGATTGGCCGAATGACGCGCCCGCTCAGGGATTCTGAGGCTGCGACTTCCGGAACGTGTGCGCGATTCCGGACTGTGCCGTACACTTGCCGGTGGGTGTGCCGCCTCCGCAGCTGCCGTGCACGATCTGGCAAGATTGCAGTTGGCGGATGGTGTGCCGCCTTCCGAACTTCCTGAGGAGGGTGCCTGTGGAAGGAGGAGAGCACAGAGGCCAGAGGGCACAGCGGGCTCAGAGGGCGCAGAAGTGGGCACGAGGGAGAAAAGGTCTCGACTACAGGGCTTTGTGTATGGTGTTTCAAAGTGCAAAGGTCTGTCCCGTCCATGCCATGCCGACGAATGCGAGCACCCAAAGAAAGGCCAAGCACAAGGGAGCGAGAGGGCAACGCACCCAAGACTCGAGATCGAGATTGCCGAAAGGAGTGGGCAGCGGAGGAGGCAAAGCCCGTAAAAGAACTATCGAGGAATCGAGGATGGATGAGGTACGCCGCCGGGTAAGGGATGGGATGGAGGGAGGGTCAGGATCGTGTGCCGCACGAAAAGGCTCAAGAACGCGCACTTGAGGCCTAAGACCCGAGGAGAGAGTCGCGACTGATTTGACGCTTCAGGCACCGAATGGACCGCGTCGACGCGCGCCTTGTACGCGCCGCGCGCCGCGAAGCAAAAGGGCGCAAAAGGGTGCATGGTGACCAAGGTGGGGGGGGTGGCAGTTGAAGAACCCTGTTGTTGTAAACAGGGTAAACACTCGGATGGCCCGACCACTCGTTGCACACGGTGACAAGCTCGATGTTTACTGGATGCGGTTGCAGGATGCATGCTTGCTACCATGCTGTCTTTGGCGTCCTGTACAGTAGGTTGATGGATGACAAAGGTCACGGGGGATGGAAAGCACTTATCGGGAGGCGGAATGAGTGATACCGCGATGCCGCGATGCATACGGCTTCTGGGACTGCGCTGAGGGTCCTTGCGGATGATGACTAGGCGCCGGGGGGCGTACCAACACGACTACTGTGGTTACAGTAATCGTCTGTTGCTTTTATTATCTTCTACAGTAGACTCCCTCCCACTTGCACCACCCAACCCACACTCGTTTACCCAAAGTCACTCCCTTTGCTCCCCTCGCCTCCGACACATCCCCCTGTCAACCCACCCGCCCTCGTCCCCC